TACTCTCTCCCTCCAATCTGATTTTTCAATCTTTCATCACCTAATCTTTTTGTTATCCTCATAACCTTACTCTTTCCTGTATTCCCCTTTTTAATTTTTCTTCTTTTGCCACCCAAACCAAATTCACCCACCAATCTCTGCAACTTCTCTTCAGAATCTCCCAAGAGCACAGTGTCATCAGCAAAGAGCAGCTGTGACAACCCCCAATTTTTGTGTGTGATTCTTTATCTTTTAACTCCACGCCTCTTGCCAAAACCCTCGCATTTACTTCTCTTACAACCCCATCTATAAATATATTAAACAACCACGGTGACATCACAATCCTTGTCTAAGGGCCTACTTTTACTGGGAAAAAATTTCCCTCTTTCCTACATACTCTAACTTGACCTCACTATCCTCGTAAAAACTCTTCACTGCTTTCAGTAACCTACCTCCTAACCATACACTTGCAACATCTGCCACATTGCCCCCCTATCCACCCTGTCATACGCCTTTTCCAAACCCAAATAAATGCCACAAAGACCTTTTAGCCTTATCTAAATACTGTTCACTTATATGTTTCACTGTAAACCACCTGGTCCACACACCCCCTACCTTTCCTAAAACCTCCTTGTTCATCGCTATCCTATTCTCCGTCTTACTCTTAATTCTTTCCAATTATAACTCTACCATACACTTTCCCGGGTAAAACTCAACAGACTTACCCCCCTATAATTTTTGCACTCTCTTTACCCCCTTTTCCCCTTTATACAAAGGAACTATGCATGCTCTCTGCCAATCCCTAGGTACCTTACCCCCCTTCCAAAACATTTATTAAATAATTGCACCAACCACTCCAAAACTATATCCCCACCTGCTTTTAACATTTCTATCTTTATCCCATCAATCCCGGCTGCCTTACCCCCTTTCATTTTACCTACTGCCTCACGAACTTCCCCCACACTCACAACTGGCTCTTCCTCACTCCTACAAGATGTTATTCCTCCTTGCCCTATACACGAAATCACAGCTTCCCTATCTTCATCAACATTTAACAATTCCTCAAAATATTCCTTCCATCTTCCCAATACCTCTAACTCTCCATTTAATAACTCTCCTCTCCTATTTTTAACTGACAAATTATAGTTTTAAATTAATGAATGTAACAAGTCACCTCTTTTCCTATGCTGGTGTGCCTCAGTGTAAATACAATCTACACTTCATTTTTGCCATTCAGAACTTTACTTTTCTACCCCTTTCACGATTTTGCATCACTTTTAGTAACCATTTTGCCATACATTTTAATGAGAATAAACGAAGTATTCATTCCTATATAATTTTTAACTTTTGTTTCATTATTCCTTACACAAATTGAACTCCACATGCTTTCTGCTTATCCATAGCAGACTTCTCTCATGTCATACATAACAGGAAACAAATGGACCTATAAATCCAACACTATCCCACCAGCTCCCAGGATATCATCCCAAACATCTCTTCACTTATTCTAATACAGTGGACCCCCGACATTCGATGGCATCGACATTCAATAAATCCGACATTCGATGCATTTTAACGCAAAAATTTCGCCTCGATATTTGATGGAAAACCCAACATTCGATGCGATTCATAAAAGAAGTGTCCACGTCTAACCACGGCTAACCCTGAGAATCCTATGCCAGTTGAGGAATCCATTGTGGCATTGGGGAAGTCCTTGGGGTTGGAGGTTAGTGGGGAGGAAGTGGAAGAGTTGGTGGAGGAGGACAATGACAAACTAACTACTGATGAGCTGCTAGATCATCTTCAACAGCAAGAGGCCAGACCTGAGGAAACTGCTTCAGAGGAGGGGAGAGAGAAATTGAAGAAGTTGTCTACTTCAAAGATTAAGGAAATGTGTGCAAAGTGGCTTGAAGTGCAAACCTTTTTTGATGAAAATCACCCTGACACAGCTACTGCAAGCCGTGTTGGCAACCTGTACACTGACAATGTTGTGAACCACTTTAGGAAAGTCATAAAGAAGCGAGAGGTACAGGCCTCTATGGACAGATATGTTGTGCGACAGAAGTCCAGTGACTCTCAAGCTGGTCCTAGTGGCATTAAAAGAAGAAGGGAAGTAACCCCGGAAAAGGACTTGCTACCTCAAGTCCTAATGGAAGGGGATTCCCCTTCTAAACAGTAACAACCTTGACACTCTCCCCTCCTCCCATCCCATCAGTCATCACCAGATCTTCATTAAAGGTAAGTGTCAATTATTCTATTGTTATTAATGTATTGTTATTGCTGTTATTGTAAATATTTTATTGCATTAAACTTAATATTTCATGTAGTAAAATTTTTTTTTCGTACTATTGGGTGTCTTGCATGGATTAATTTGATTTCCATTATTTCTTATGGGGAAAATTAATTCGACTTTCGATATTTTCGACATTCGATAGCCCTCAGGAACGAATTAGTATCGAATGTCGAGGGTCCACTGTACTTACTTATTTTTTTTTTTTTTTTCAACAAGTCGGCCGTCTCCCACCGAGGCAGGGTGACCCAAAAAAGAAAGAAAATCCCCAAAAAGAAAATACTTTCATCATCATTCAACACTTTCACCACACTCACACATTATCACTGTTTTTGCAGAGGTGCTCAGAATACAACAGTTTAGAAGCATATATGTATAAAGATACACAACATATCCCTCCAAACTGCCAATATCCCAAACCCCTCCTTTAAAGTGCAGGCATTGTACTTCCCATTTCCAGGACTCAAGTCTGACTATGTGAAAATAACCGGTTTCCCTGAATCCCTTCACTAAATATTACCCTGCTCACACTCCAACAGATCGTCAGGTCCCAAGTAAACATTTGTCTCCATTCACTCCTATCTAACAGCTCATGCACGCTTGCTGGAAGTCCAAGCCCCTCGCCCACAAAACCTCCTTTACCCCTCTTTCCAACCCTTTCGAGACGACCCCTACCCCTCCTTCCTTCCCCTATAGATTTTATGCTTTCCATGTCATTCTACTTTGATCCATTCTCTCTAAAATGACCAAACCACCTCACCAACCCCTCTTCTGCCCTCTGACTAATGCTTTTATTAACTCCACAAACCCTTTTCCTAATTTCCACACTCCGAATTTTCTGCATAATATTTTCACCACACATTGCCCTTAGACAGGACAAACTCCACTGCCTCCAACCGTCTCCTCGCTGCTGCATTTTTCCACCCAAGCTTCACATCCATATAAAGAGTGTGGTATACTATACTTTCATACATTCCCTTCTTTGCCTCCATAGATAACGTTTTTTGACTCCACATATACCCCCAATGCACCACTCACCATTTTTCCCCCATCAATTCTAAAGATTAACCTCATCCTTCATAAATCCATCCGCCGATACGTCAAAATCCCAAGTATCTGAAAACATTCACTTCTTCCATACTCCTCCCCCCCAATTTGATATCCAAATTTTTTTTTATCTAAATCATTTTATACCCTCATCACCTTACTCTTTTCTATGTTCACTTTCAACTTTCTACCCTTTACACACATTCTCAAACTCATCCACTAACCTTTGCATTTTTTCTTTAGAATCTCCCATAAGCACAGTATCATCAGCAAAAAGTAACTGTGTCAATTCCCATTTGAATTTTATTCCCCATAATTTTTAACCCACCCCTCTCCCGAACACCCTAGCATTTACTTATTTTACAACCCCATCTATAAATATATTAAACAACCATGGTGACATTACACATCCCCGTCTAAGGGCCTACTTTTAACCGGGAAGTATTTTCCCTCTCTTCTACACCCCCTAACCTGAGCCCACTATCCTCATAAAAACTCTTTACAGCATTTAGTAACTTACCACCTATTCCATATACTTGCAACATCTGCCACATTGCTCCTCTATCCACTCTATCATATGCCTTTTCTAAATCCATAAATGCAATAAAAACTTCCCTACCTTTATATAAATACTGTTCACATATATGCTTCAATGTAAACACTTGATCTACAATCCCTTCCCACTCTGAAGCCTCCCTGCTCATCCGCAATCCTACATTCTGTCTTCCCTCTAATTCTTTCAATTATAACGCTAACCGTATACTTTTCCTGGTATACTCAGTAAACTTATTCCTCTATAATTTTACAATCTCTTTTGTCCCCTTCCCTTTATATAAAGGGACTATACATGCTCTCCGCCAATCCCTAGGTACCTTCCCCTCTTTCATAATTTATTAAACAAAAGTACCAACCACTCCAACACTATATCCCTCCCTGCTTTTAACATTTCTGTCATGATCCCATCAGTTCCAGCTGCTTTACCCCCTTTCATTCTACGTAATGCCTCATGTACCTCCATCACACTTACATTCTGCTCTTTTTCACTCCTAAAAGATAGTATACCTCCCTGACCAGTGCATGAAATTACCGCCTCCCTTTCTTCCTCAACATTTAAAAGTTCCTCAAAATATTCTCGCCATCTACCTAATACCTCCCTTTTCCCCCCTCTACTAATTCCCCCACTCTGTTTTTAACTGACAAATCCATACTTTCCCTTTGGCTTTCCTTTTAAATTGTTTAACTCACTCCAAAAATTTTTCTTATTTTCATTAAAATTTCTTGACAGTGCCTCTCCCACTCTATCATCTGCTCTCCTTTTGCACACTCTCACCACTCTCTTCACCTTTCTTTTACTCTCCATATACTCTGCTCTTCTTATAACACTTCTGCTTTGTAAAAACCTCTCGTAAGCTACCTTTTTCTCTTTTATCACACCCTTTACTTTATCATTCCACCAGTCACTCCTCTTTCCTCCTTACTTATAACAATTCTTATTCCTCTTTATCCAAGGGAAATATAAACTTTCTATACATGTAAGAAATTGGATGATAGCATGAAATTTAAAAGTAATTTCTAAACTAACAATAAAGTTAGCTGATGGCAATATGGCAATAAAATAAAATATGCTTTTAATATTACAAAGAAGAAATAGTATAATGTGTAAACCAAAATTCAATTTGCATACCCGAGGAGATCCAAGTCCATAAGTCTTCACTAGTTGTGCTAGTGTGTTCACTTCCAGGAAAATCACATCCTGACCTCCATGTGGTGCGGTGGTTATTTCTTCAGCCTGAGGGGTATATTCCAATTACAGACACGTAAACCTAACATTATAATTATGATAATGGTATACAATACTGACCAAGTTGATAAGACACGAACAACAGTTAGGTATCTTTATTCCGAAACGTTTCGCCTACACAGTATGTTTCTTCAGTTGAAGACAGAGGCAGCAGAACCAGCAGAGGGAAATGGACTGATTACAGCGTCCTTACATCTCTACTGATTCTCCTGCTTCATATGTATTCGACTGAAGAAGCCTCCCATGTAGGCAAAATATTTTACAGTAAATATACAAGTGAACAGTATTTAGAAAAGGCTAAAGAGGTTTTTGTGGCATTTATGGATTTGGAAAAGGCATATGACAGGGTGGATAGGAGGGCAATGTGGCAGATGTTGCAGGTGTATGGTATGGGAGGTAGGTTACTGAAAGCAGTGAAGAGTTTTTACGAGGATAATGAGGCTCAAGTTAGAGTATGTAGGAAAGAGGGAGATTATTTCCCAGTAAAAGTAGGCCTTAGACAAGGATGTGTGATGTCACCGTGGTTGTTCAATATATTTATAGATGGGGTTGTAAGAGAAGTAAATGCGAGGGTCTTGGCAAGAGGCATGGAATTAAAAGATAAAGAATCACACATAAAGTGGGAGTTGTCACAGTTGCTCTTTGCTGATGACACTGTGCTCTTGGGAGATTCTGAAGAGGTTGGTGGATGAATTTGGTAGGGTATGTAAAAGAAGAAAATTAAAAGTGAATATAGGAAAGAGTAAGGTTATGAGGATAACAAAAAGATTAGGTGATGAAAGATTAGATATCAGATTGGAGGGAGAGAGTATGGAGGAGGTGAATGTATTCAGATATTTGGGAGTGGACGTGTCAGCGGATGGGTCTATGAAAGATGAGGTGAATCAGAATTGATGAGGGGAAAAGGGTGAGCGGTGCACTTAGGAGTCTGTGGAGACAAAGAATTTTGTCCTTGGAGGCAAAGAGGGGAATGTATGAAAGTATAGTTTTACCAAAGCTCTTATATGGGTGTGAAGCATGGGTGATGAATGTTGCAGTGAGGAGAAGGCTAGATGCAGTGATGTCATGTCTGAGGGCAATGTGTGGTGTGAATATAATGCAGAGAATTCGTAGTTTGAAAGTTAGGAGGAGGTGCAGGATTGCCAAAACTGTTGTCCAGAGGGCTGAGGAAGGGTTGTTGAGGTGGTTCGGACATGTAGAGAGAATGGAGCGAAACAGAATGACTTCAAGAGTGTATCAGTCTGTAGCGGAAGGAAGGCAGGGTAGGGGTCAGCCTAAGAAAGGTTGGAGGGAGGGGGCAAAGGTTTTGTGTGCGAGGGGCTTGGACTTCCAGTGGGCATGCATGAGCATGTTTGATAGGAGTGAATGGAGACAAATGGTTTTTAATACTTGACGTGCTGTTGGAGTGTGAGCAAAGTAACATTTATGAAGGGGTTCAGGGAAACCGGCAGGCCGGACTTGAGTCCTGGAGATGGGAAGTACAGTGCCTGCACTCTGAAGGAGGGGTGTTAATGTTGCAGTTTAAAAACTGTAGTGTAAAGCACCCTTCTGGCAAGACAGTGATGGAGTGAATGATGGTGAAAGTTTTTCTTTTTCGGGCCACCCTGCCTTGGTGGGAATCGGCCAGTGTGTTAATAAAATAATAAATATCTAACTGTTGCACATGTGTCTTAACAACATTATAACTGCAATATAGCTTTTTTTCACCCTTAATACTCAATCTGATCCCTAAAGCTTTAGAAGCAAGTGATACACTTTTGTAATTTACTTACAGTTTGTGCTGTAATATAGAGAGCAGCCATCTCACGAAGGAAAGTTCCATCTGGTTCCTGGGTAGCATTCAATACTTTGGTGGCAGGAAGAGAGCGGCTAACACGTTCATCATCAGAACTGTTGGATGCCATCATAATTATTCTCGCTGCGGTAAATGTATGTAAAAAAAATAGTTTATCCGATAATATAGTCAATCTGAAGTTTCTGTACTGTGCATCTTGAATTTTGTACAACGCACTGCTAAATATTCAACCCCTAACTCACTTGTCAATAACAGTAAGACGTTTGAAAAGCGTATGTCTCTGGGCTTTGGAGCCGTAGATGCTCTTGAGTCTACGGAAGACCTCATCAATGGATGTATCTTCTTTCAGTCCATATGAAGAGCCTGCCTGCCTGATGCTTGCACCACCACTGTGTACCTCTACCACCACTGCAGCAGTTGGTGGAGAAAATGGTGATGTGATGGTTAAGCCTTTCCATGAAGAGGACTGCAGAAAAAAAACAGACAGACTTAGGTTTCTCACATAAAATCACGAAAAAAACAAAAACAAATGCAGCTTCTTTCCTTCCTGTTGTTCTGGTTTAACATCAAATTAGCCCAGTAGCTGAGAGAATAGCATGAATAATGAGACTTTAAAGAACTAGATTTTATTACTGTGAAAGAGTGAATATTTAAACACTAGCCTTAGTGTTATTGTTCCTGGTAAAATATTCATTATACTACTTCAAAAATTAGCTATGAATTTAATGAAATATACCTAACCAAAATGTTTATCAATATGTAGACAATAAAAGGCTATTCGGTGAGCTTTTACAATTTGAAAACTATAATATCAGCATATTTAATACAGAGGTCTAATAAAAAAAAGTACAATCTATTCAACAACTGAACAGTGCACTCCGTATAGGTTGCATATAATTTATGTACATACATACATAATTATACAGTCATACCCCGCTTTATGTCATTTCAGCCTACGTCAAATTCACCTTTATGCCACTTTTCTAGAGTAAATTTCAGTTCAGCGAATGTCATTATGCCTGATTTTACGTCACTTGGCAATGTTATGTACATCATAATTTTCTTTTAATTGTTCATTATTCATTATGAAATATGACTAAAATGTGTTTTTAGTATTCTTTAAGGTTATTTACGCTAGTTTCATGGTGTCGTCATCAATTTAAGGCATTTTTAAGGCTAATCCGGTTTACATAAAAAAACCGGGTTACTTAGGGGTTCTTGGAACCAATTAACCCGTAAACGGTCCAAACGTATATATACGTTTTTTCAACATTTGAAAGTATGTAAAAAAAATAGATCTTCTTTTTGTTTTTTTTACATTTGAAAATGTGTAAAAAAAAACTGATCTACTTTTTTGTTATATTTGAAAATATGTAAAAAAACGTAGATCTACTTTTGTAGCACTACACATGTGAACGTAGATCTGCTTGGACCGTTTACGGGTTAATGACGTAAGGCAGCGGTGTGATTATATATTTTTTTCAACAAACTGGCCGTATCCCTAAGAGGAAAAACAAAAGCATTTTTTTTTAAATTTAGCAATTTATACAGGAGGGGTTACTAGCCCCTTGCTCCTGGCATTTTAGTCGCCTCTTATGACACTCATGGTTTATAAAGGAAGAAAATTTTTCCTCTACCAAGGCAGGGTGACCCAAAAAAGAGGACTCTTTCACTGCTATTCATTCAATCACTATCTTGGCAGAAGTCTGATGACATCACAGTTGCACATATCCTAACTGACACTAAGTATGATAATTGTACTTATGTGTACCTGTGCCTAAATAAACTTATTTACACGTACCTTGGCAGGAGTGTACCCAAGAGCGGCAGCCAAAACGTCATCAAGATCCGTGGCCCTCAAGACGCTTGCTGATCCAAATCTCACAGTCGGTGGCGAGTATGCAACATTTATTTCTCCACAGTAAACTATGAATATAAGATAACACTAGTCATTAAAAGTTAAAAATCAATGCATCAAAATTTTCAATGCTCAATAGTCACTGGATATAAAAAAAACGTAGAGTACTATGAAGTTTTTTGGGAAACCAAAATTCAAACATTTTGCAAATTTATATTAAATGATAAATACAGTAGCTATATACAGGAAATAATCGTCAAGTATGTCACCCAAAAATGTTTTAAAATACGTGTAAATAATAAATTAAATAATTTATATACATACATACTACAGTACATCAGTGTTCATTATAAAGCTAATAGAATTCTTGGCTTCACATAACAAAGTATAAGTAAAAGGAGTCCTCGGATTATTTTATATTGTTGGTTAGGCCTCATTTATATTATGCTGGCAGTTCTGGTCACTGTATTTCAGAATGGATATAAATGTGCTGAAAAATACACTGAAGGATGACGAAGTTGATTTTATGTACTGGAAATCTTTCCTATGAGGACAGACTGAGGTGTATAAATGGAAGACAGGAATACATAAAGAGTACGTATATAAATAATGTGCAAAAATATCTAACCAAGGCAGGATTTGCAACAAGATTTGATTTGTTCAGAATTTTAACCTGGAGGGTTAGCTACCAGGATAACCCAAGAAAGTCAGTGTGTCATTGGGAACTGTGTCTTATTTCCACTAGGGTTCTTTAATCTCAATGAAAATTAGACGTGTGCAGCATCTGGGAATCTTTATAGAAGACGTTTTGCTAATGGTTGGCGAAATATCTACAATAAAGATACCCAGATGTTGTACATGTGTCTAATTTTCATCCTGTTGGTACTGTACAGTATACCAGTCACGTACATCCTTTTTTAGTTTTGTCTCCCCAGGATGCGACTAACACCCAGGTACTTACTTAGTTGCTAGGTGAACAGGGACTGCAGGTGTAAGGAAACACACCCAACGTCTCCACCCATGCCAGGGATTGAACTGCGAACACCGTGTCAACCGAGCCACAGGTTCAGTCTGTATTGTTTAATTCTTAAGTGCTAAATCCATGTGGGTCATTCAGCACAAGACATGGTGGAGGCTTGACCCTCCGTCTGCTGACGTCCAGATTTAGAGAGGACATAGGAAAGCAATGGTTTGGAAAGAGTTGTCGAAGAGTGGAATAAATTCTCGACTGGCATCGTTGACACAAAATTTGTGTGGCTTTAAAAACAGGCTAGACAAGTACATAAGTAAGTATATTTAGGCACAGGTACACATAAGAACAATTTTCATACATAATATAAATTACACACGATAACCCCAAAAGTCAAAATGAATTATTTTCATTGGGGTCCCTGTGATATTATTTAAACAAGGATCCCAGTGGAAATCAAGAACCCCAATGGAAATCAGGGATCTGATGGAAATCAGGGATCCGATGAAAACCAGGGATCTGATGAAAACCAGGGTTCCGATGAAAACTAGGGATCCGGTGAAAACCAGGGATCCGATGAAAACCAGGGATCCGATGAAAACCAGGGATCCGATGAAAACCAGGGATCTGATGAAAACCAGGGATCCGATGAAAACCAGGGATCTGATGAAAACCAGGGATCCGATGAAAACTAGGGATCTGATGAAAACCAGGGATCCGATGAAAACTAGGGATCCGGTGAAAACCAGGGATCCGATGTAAATCAAGATCCTTAATGTAAATGAAGGACCCCAATGTAAATCAAGAACCCCAATGTAAATGAGGGACCCCAATGGAAACCAGGGATCTGAAGAAAACCAGGGATCCGATGAAAACCAGGGATCTGATGAAAACCAGGGATCCGATGAAAACCAGAGATCCGGTGAAAACCAGGGATCTGATGAAAACCAGGGTTCCGATGAAAACTAGGGATCCGGTGAAAACCAGGAATCCGATGTAAATCAAGATCCCCAATGTAAATGATGGACCCCAATGTAAATCAAGAACCCCAATGTAAATGAGGGACCCCAATGTAAATCAAGGACCCCAATGTAAATCAAGGACCCCAATGTAAATCAAGGACCCCCAATGTAATTCAAGGATCCCCAATATAAATCAAGGATCCCCAATGTAAATCAAGGATCCCCAATGTAAATCAAGGATCCCCAATGTAAATCAAGGATCCCCAATGTAAATCAAGGACCCCAATGTAAATCAAGGATCCCCAATGTAAATCAAGGATCCCCAATGTAAATTAAGGATCCCCAATGTAAATCAAGGACCCCAATGTAAATCAAGAGAACCTCATGCAAATCAAGAACCCAAATGGAAATAAGTCCCGGACTTTCTCTGGGTTATCCAAGATAATTTACGTGTTACCAGGTACGATAATTGACCTTATGTACCTGTACCTAAATAAACTTACTGGGCGGGTGTGAGTTAGACCTACCTAGCCTGGGCCTGTAGGCCTACCCCAGTCCTCTTATTATGAGTTGAATAAAAGCCCAAATTACCCAGTAAAAGCTTTGAATATTTACCCACATAAATTATTAATACATACCACAACTGATTTCAAAATAATATAGTTGAAATAACATAAAATAGCTTAAATAAGGACCTGTACGTAAATAAGGACCACAATGGAAATATTTGGGGGGGGGGAGGGTTATCTTAGGTAATTTATATATATGTTAGTGTGTATAATTGTTTATATAAGTGTATTTATATGTATTTGCACATAAATAAAGTTCCTTAGCATTTTACACTCAAAAATAATTCAAAGATACGTCAGTGGAAATGATTAATTTCGAAGGATTTCAGGTGACTCACTGCCATAGCAGTCATCACACATGTCATCCATACTCCCATAATGGTGTAACAAATGTATGGTGATGGTAGGAGAGCCACAAACCTGAGAAAAACAGAGAGAAGAGAGCTACGAGTGCTGTCACCTGACTTGCCATCTTGCGACTGATGGGAATCAATATGCAATAGGGAAAACCCGGCTTATTCTTTTGCGTTTATTGCTGTGTTAGTAGGTTTAAGGGGCATATTAGCCTATAGGCCGTGTCCAGAGTAGTCCCTTTGTGATATATAGCGGGTTAAATTGGTGAAAATGTAGGTATTTTTTGGTTAATAAGTAATATTTACTCTGGCTTCCCGTTCTTCACCATCATGTGACAGCCATGATCGCTATTCCGCACGAAATATTTGTACCGTATTTTGTATATATTAACGCTAAACCGCTACCTTAATACCAATAACTAATATCTAGAAAATAACTTTAACAGTCGATTTTATTTTTAGAAGCCATCCAAGATTTTAAAAATGACGTTAGCGGGGTAAAAAAAGGGTTTTGTGTTGGTAGGAAAGCAAGTAACGGAATGGAGAGTGGGCCATATTGACAAGTGTTGGGCCACAACCACAACAAACTGCTGGCTGGCCACTGCTTTTTCCTGCTCCTGTGGCCTCTACATGGCTCCCACCACCCTCCACGCACGCTCTTACTGCCCCCACGCCACCCTCTCATAGGTAGTCCAGCTCTAGCTCCGGGGCCGCCCCCTGCAAGAAAACAGGAGGGCTGTTTACCCTGTGGGACAGTGTGTGGGACAGTTGTTATCCCCTTCCTGGGACAGTGTGGGGTTGTTATATACTGCCTGGGACAGTGTGGGGCTGTTATATACTGCCTGGGACAGTGTGGAGTTGTTATATACTGCCTGGGACAGTGTGGGGTTGTTATATACTGCCTGGGACAGTGTGGGGCTGTTATATACTGCCTGGGACAGTGTGGAGTTGTTATATACTGCCTGGGACAGTGTGGGGTTGTTATATACTGCCTGGGACAGTGTGGGGTTGTTATATACTGCCTGGGACAGTGTGGGGCTGTTATATACTGCCTGGGACAGTGTGGGGCTGTTATATACTGCCTGGGACAGTGTGGAGTTGTTATATACTGCCTGGGACAGTGTGGGGTTGTTATATACTGCCTGGGACAGTGTGGGGTTGTTATATACTGCCTGGGACAGTGTGGGGTTGTTATATACTGCCTGGGACAGTGTGGGGCTGTTATATACTGCCTGGGACAGTGTGGGGTTGTTATATACTGCCTGGGACAGTGTGGGGTTGTTATATACTGCCTGGGGCAGTGTGGGGCTGTTATATACTGCCTGGGACAGTGTGGGGCTGTTATATACCGCCTGGGACAGTGTGGGGCTGTTATATACTGCCTGGGGCAGTGGGGCTGTTATATACTGCCTGGGACAGTGTGGGGTTGTTACATACTGCCTGGGACAGTGTGGGGTTGTTATATACTGCCTGGGACAGTGTGGGGTTGTTATATACTGCCTGGGGCAGTGTGGGGCTGTTATATACTGCCTGGGACAGTGTGGGGCTGTTATATACCGCCTGGGACAGTGTGGGGCTGTTATATACTGCCTGGGGCAGTGTGGGGCTGTTATATACTGCCTGGGACAGTGTGGGGTTGTTACATACTGCCTGGGACAGTGTGGGGTTGTTATATACTGCCTGGGACAGTGTGGGGTTGTTATATACTGCCTGGGACAGTGTGGGGCTGTTATATACTGCCTGGGACAGTGTGGGGTTGTTATATACTGCCTGGGACAGTGTGGGGTTGTTATATACTGCCTGGGGCAGTGTGGGGCTGTTATATACTGCCTGGGACAGTGTGGGATTGTTATATACTGCCTGGGACAGTGTGGGGTTGTTATATACTGCCTGGGACAGTGTGGGGTTGTTATATACTGCCTGGGACAGTGTGGGGTTGTTATATACTGCCTGGGGCAGTGTGGGGCTGTTATATACTGCCTGGGACAGTGTGGAGTTGTTATATACTGCCTGGGACAGTGGGGGGTTGTTATATACTGCCTGGGATAGTGTGGGGTTGTTATATACTGCCTGGGACAGTGTGGGGTTGTTATATACTGCCTGGGAGAGTGTGGGGTTGTTATATACTGCCTGGGATAGTGTGGGGTTGTTATATACTGCCTGGGATAGTGTGGGGTTGTTATATACTGCCTGGGATAGTGTGGGGTTGTTATATACTGCCTAGGATAGTGTGGGGTTGTTATATACTGCCTAGGACAGTGTGGGGTTGTTATACACTGCCTAGGACAGTGTGGGGTTGTTATATACTGCCTGGGACAGTGTGGGGCTGTTATACACTGCCTGGGATAGTGTGGGGTTATTATATACTGCCTGGGACAGTGTGGGGTTGTTATATACTGCCTGGGATAGTGGGGGGTTGTTACATACTGCCTAGGACAGTGTGATGTTGTTATACACTGCCTGGGACAGTGTGGGGTTGTTATATACTGCCTGGGATAGTGTGGGGTTGTTACATACTGCCTAGGACAGTGTGGGGTTGTTATACACTGCCTAGGACAGTGTGGGGTTGTTATATACTGCCTGGGATAGTGGGGGGTTGTTACATACTGCCTAGGACAGTGTGGGGTTGTTATACACTGCCTGGGACAGTGTGGGGTTATACACTGCCTGGGACAGTGTGGGGTTGTTATGCACTACCTGGGACAGTGTGGGGTTGTTATGCACTGCCTGGGACAGTGTGGGGTTGTTATGCACTGCCTGGGACAGTGTGGGGTTGTTATACACTACCTGGGACAGTGTGGGGTTGTTATGCACTGCCTGGGACAGTGTGGGGTTGTTATACACTACCTGGGACAGTGTGGGGTTGTTATACACTACCTGGTACAGTGTGGGGTTGTTATGCACTACCTGGGACAGTGTGTGGTTGTTATACACTACCTGGTACAGTGTGTGTGGTTGTTATACACTACCTGGGACAGTGTGTGGTTGTTATACACTACCTGGGACAGTGTGGGGTTGTTATGCACTACCTGGGACAGTGTGGGGTTGTTATACACTGCCTGGGACAGTGTGTGGTTGTTATACACTACCTGGGACAGTGTGGGGTTGTTATGCACTACCTGGGACAGTGTGTGGTTGTTATACACTGCCTGGGACAGTGTGGGGTTGTTATGCACTACCTGGGACAGTGTGTGGTTGTTATACACTGCCTGGGACAGTGTGTGGTTGTTATACACTACCTGGGACAGTGTGTGGTTGTTATACACTACCTGGGACAATGTGTGGTTGTTATACACTGCCTGGGACAGTGTATGGTTATGCACTACCTGGGACAGTGTGTAGTTGTTATACACTGCCTGGGACAGTGTGTGGTTGTTATGTACTGCCTGGGACAGTATGTGGTTGTTATACACTGCCTGGGACAGTGTGGGGTTGTTATACACTACCTGGGACAGTGTGTGGTTGTTATACACTACCTGGGACAATGTGTGGTTGTTATACACTACCTGGGACAGTGTATGGTTGTTATACACTACCTGGTACAATTTGTGGTTGTTATACACTACCTGGGACAGTGTGGGGTTGTTATACACTGCCTGGGACAGTGTGGGGTTGTTATACACTACCTGGGACAGTGTGTGGTTGTTATACACTACCTGGGACAGTGTGTGGTTTTTATACACTACCTGGGACAATGTGTGGTTGTTATACACTACCTGGGACAGTGTGATGTTGTTATACACTACCTGGGACAGTGTGTGGTTGTTATACACTACCTGGGACAGTGTGATGTTGTTATACACTACCTGGGACAGTGTGTGGTTGTTATACACTACCTGGGACAGTGTGTGGTTGTTATACACTACCTGGGACAGTGTGTGGTTGTTATACACTACCTGGGACAGTGTGTGGTTGTTATACGCTACCTGGGACAGTGTGTGGTTGTTATACACTACCTGGTACAGTGTGTGGTTGTTATACACTACCTGGGACAGTGTGTGGTTGTTATACACTACCTGGGATAATGTGTGGTTGTTATACACTACCTGGGACAATGTGTGGTTTTTATACACTACCTGGGACAATGTGTGGTTGTTATACACTACCTGGGACAGTGTGTGGTTGTTATACACTACCTGGTACAATGTGTGGTTTTTATACACTACCTGGGACAATGTGTGGTTGTTATACACTACCTGGGACAGTGTGTGGTTGTTATACACTACCTGGGACAATGTGTGGTTGTTATACACTACCTGGGACAGTGTGTGGTTTTTATACACTACCTGGGACAATGTGTGGTTGTTATACACTACCTGGGACAGTGTGTGGTTTTTATACACTACCTGGGACAATGTGTGGTTTTTATACACTACCTGGGACAATGTGTGGTTTTTATACACTACCTGGGACAATGTGTGGTTGTTATACACTACCTGGAACAGTGTACAGAATGTTGGGTATACTTTGCCTGCCACAGTGTACGGGATGATTGTTATATCTTGCCATGGATAGTGAAGATCTATGGAACAGTTGCTAGTTCTCATGGACAGAAAATCTTGAAAACAATTGTTGTGTTCTGTTTCGTACAGGAAAAGTGTACAAAATGGTTATATCTGACAAGGACTGTGCACAGAGCGGTTGCTGTTCACTGTTGGGTATGAGGTGTGTGAAAAGGTTTTGATAATAAGTTATTACAAGGACCCCATTGGAAATAAGTCACTTTGACTTTTTTTTGGGTTATTTTGGGCAATCTACACATATACTACACTATGTATGATATAATTTATGTAACTATTTGTGTACTTGTTCCTAAATAAACTTACCTACTAAATGCAATAGTTGTTATACTTTGCAGAGAGGGACTTCAGCTGTGACCTTGGTGGAATGTAGACAACTAACTCTGCCCTGCCCTGAGCATTGGTGACCAACTAAGCTCGTAGTGAACTTAACTTTTATATCCTTCACAGGACTTGGAAAAAACCATGGCAGCCCTTGAGAAGTTGATTCGTGCCTTTGAGGCAGTAAAACTGTCCCAGGGAGGCAATGGTACAAATGGAGGTGCTCCCTCAATGACAGCAGCTGGGGCCCAGGCTGGCGAGCAACGCCCTGCAGAGCACCCCAGAACTATGGCCTCGCTAGCATCGTCACTGTCACAGCAGAGTCAGGGATTGCTCAGGTGAAGAGCATTGAATCAGTTCAAAGTATTAGTACATACTTAAATTGTACTATTGTTCATTTAGCTACCTCTCATTATTTGTATATTTAAAAAGCTACTTAATAACCCATGTCTAGTTCTTAAGTAATTTTTAAGCATTACGATTAGTCTTCCCAAAATGCATCACATGCTAGTAGCTTCCTTTTGTGCCTAACAATATTTGATTAAACTTAAACTGCATTGTGATGAATGGTTCGAAAAACCGACAAGTTGAAGAGTGAGACACTTATGCAGCATATGGGAATCTTTATTCAGGAACCGTTTCGCCACACAGTGGCTTCATCAGTCCAATACAAAGAGGAAGGCGTAAGGAGAGGAGGAGTATGAGGTAATCAGTCCCTCAGCCTGGAGTCGATGTGTTCAGTCCATCAATCTTGTAGATTGATGGACTGAACACATCGACTCCAGGCTGAGGGACTGATTACCTCATACTCCTCCTCTCCTTACGCCTTCCTCTTTGTATTGGACTGATGAAGCCACTGTGTGGCGAAACGGTTCCTGAATAAAGATTCCCATATGCTGCATAAGTGTCTCAATCTTAAACTGCATTACCTGTATAGTGAAGAAAAATAAAATTATTGTTATTATTAACTCAGTTTTTAAGTACGAATGTCTTGGATTCTGAATGGTCTTGAAATTACCTTCACTGTTAAATGAAATCATTAAAGCTTCCCTGTTTGAAAATAGTGTACTATACAGTGTTTACCTGAATAGGTGAATAATTAAATTACTATCAGTTGTTTTGTCAATAGGTGTTAAAAAGTACTGTATATAAAAAATATCATAAGCTATTTTATGAGATTTTGTACAGTCAAAGGTTGTCCATACAAATTTGTGAACTTCGGTATTTACATATTTTGACTGTCCAGTGCTTATATGAAAGGCAACAAGTGAATTGATTCAGTTATGCAATAGTTTTCTGGCTCAGTGGCTCTCCCATGCACCAGTCTCTGTTCCAGCCATTATTTCTATGAATGTCAGTGTTGTATTTACCAGATTAAAGTGATGTATTACAGATTTGGTCTTCGAAATAAAATGAACCAAAATTTATTAGGTAGACTTAACTCTGTATTATTTGTAGTTTCGAGCATCATGGGGTTTTATTGGACTATAACCCTGCCCTGTGAATTTGTGGGGAAAATTGTATTCTCTATCAATCTGTGTATCTATCTATCTATATGTATATATATATATATATATATCTAATATATATATATATATATATATATATATATATATATATATATATATTTTTTTTTTTTTTTTTTTTTTATTATCACACCGGCCGATTCCCACCAAGGCAGGGTGGCCCGAAAAAGAAAAACTTTCACCATCATTCACTCCATCACTGTCTTGCCAGAAGGGTGCTTTACACTACAGTTTTTAAACTGCAACATTAACACCCCTCCTTCAGAGTGCAGGCACTGTACTTCCCATCTCCAGGACTCAAGTCCGGCCTGCCGGTTTCCCTGAATCCCTTCATAAATGTTACTTTGCTCACACTCCAACAGCACGTCAAGTATTAAAAACCATTTGTCTCCATTCACTCCTATCAAACACGCTCACGCATGCCTGCTGGAAGTCCAAGCCCCTCGCACACAAAACCTCCTTTACCCCCTCCCTCCAACCCTTCCTAGGCCGACCCCTACCCCGCCTTCCTTCCACTACAGACTGATACACTCTTGAAGTCATTCTGTTTCGCTCCATTCTCTCTACATGTCCGAACCACCTCAACAACCCTTCCTCAGCCCTCTGGACAACAGTTTTGGTAATCCCGCACCTCCTCCTAACTTCCAAACTACGAATTCTCTGCATTATATTCACACCACACATTGCCCTCAGACATGACATCTCCACTGCCTCCAGCCTTCTCCTCGCTGCAACATTCATCACCCACGCTTCACACCCATATAAGAGCGTTGGTAAAACTATACTCTCATACATTCCCCTCTTTGCCTCCAAGGACAAAGTTCTTTGTCTCCACAGACTCCTAAGTGCACCACTCACTCTTTTTCCCTCATCAATTCTATGATTCACCTCATCTTTCATAGACCCATCCGCTGACACGTCCACTCCCAAATATCTGAATACGTTCACCTCCTCCATACTCTCTCCCTCCAATCTGATATTCAATCTTTCATCACCTAATCTTTTTGTTATCCTCATAACCTTACTCTTTCCTGTATTCACCTTTAATTTTCTTCTTTTGCACACCCTACCAAATTCATCCACCAATCTCTGCAACTTCTCTTCAGAATCTCCCAAGAGCACAGTGTCATCAGCAAAGAGCAGCTGTGACAACTCCCACTTTGTGTGTGATTCTTTATCTTTTAACTCCACGCCTCTTGCCAAGACCCTCGCATTTACTTCTCTTACAACCCCATCTATAAATATATTAAACAACCACGGTGACATCACACATCCTTGTCTAAGGCCTACTTTTACTGGGAAAAAATTCCCCTCTTTCCTACATACTCTAACTTGACCTCACTATCCTCGTAAAAACTCTTCACTGCTTTCAGTAACCTACCTCCTACACCATACACTTGCAACATCTGCCACATTGCCCCCCTATCCACCCTGTCATACGCCTTTTCCAAATCCATAAATGCCACAAAGACCTCTTTAGCCTTATCTAAATACTGTTCACTTATAGTGTTTCACTGTAAACACCTGGTCCACACACCCCCTACCTTTCCTAAAGCCTCCTTGTTCATCTGCTATCCTATTCTCCGTCTTACTCTTAATTCTTTCAATTATAACTCTACCATACACTTTACCAGGTACACTCAACAGACTTATCCCCCTATAATTTTTGCACTCTCTTTTATCCCCTTTGCCTTTATACAAAGGAACTATGCATGCTCTCTGCCAATCCCTAGGTACCTTACCCTCTTCCATACATTTATTAAATAATTGCACCAACCACTCCAAAACTATATCCCCACCTGCTTTTAACATTTCTATCTTTATCCCATCAATCCCGGCTGCCTTACCCCCTTTCATTTTACCTACTGCCTCACGAACTTCCCCCACACTCACAACTGACTCTTCCTCACTCCTACAAGATGTTATTCCTCCTTGCCCTATACACGAAATCACAGCTTCCCTATCTTCATCAACATTTAACAATTCCTCAAAATATTCCTTCCATCTTCCCAATACCTCTAACTCTCCATTTAATAACTCTCCTCTCCTATTTTTAACTGACAAATCCATTTGTTCTCTAGGCTTTCTTAACTTGTTAATCTCACTCCAAAACTTTTTCTTATTTTCAACAAAATTTGTTGATAACATCTCACCCACTCTCTCATTTGCTCTCTTTTTACATTGCTTCACCACTCTCTTAACTTCTCTCTTTTTCTCCATATACTCTTCCCTCCTTGCATCACTTCTACTTTGTAAAAACTTCTCATATGCTAACTTTTTCTCCCTTACTACTCTCTTTACATCATCATTCCACCAATCGCTCCTCTTCCCTCCTGCACCCACTTTCCTGTAACCACAAACTTCTGCTGAACACTCTAACACTACATTTTTAAACCTACCCCATACCTCTTCGACCCTATTGCCTATGCTCTCATTAGCCCATCTATCCTCCAATAGCTGTTTATATCTTACCCTAACTGCCTCCTCTTTTAGTTTATAAACCTTTACCTCTCTCTTCCCTGATGCTTCTATTCTCCTTGTATCCCATCTACCTTTACTCTCAGTGTAGCTACAACTAGAAAGTGATCTGATATATCTGTGGCCCCTCTATAAACATGTACATCCTGAAGTCTACTCAACAGTCCTTTTATCTACCAATACATAATCCAACAAACTACTGTCATTTCGCCCTACATCATATCGTGTATACTTATTTATCCTCTTTTTCTTAAAATATGTATTACCTATAACTAAACCCCTTTCTATACAAAGTTCAATCAAAGGGCTCCCATTATCATTTACACCTGGCACCCCAAACTTACCTACCACACCCTCTCTAAAAGTTTCTCCTACTTTAGCATTCAAGTCCCCTACCACAATTACTCTCTCACTTGGTTCAAAGGCTCCTATACATTCACTTAACATCTCCCAAAATCTCTCTCTCTCCTCTGCATTCCTCTCTTCTCCAGGTGCATACACGCTTATTATGACCCACTTCTCGCATCCAACCTTTACTTTAATCCACATAATTCTTGAATTTACACATTCATATTCTCTTTTCTCCTTCCATAACTGATCATTTAACATTACTGCTACCCCTTCCTTTGCTCTAACTCTCTCAGATACTCCAGATTTAATCCCATTTATTTCCCCCCACTGAAACTCTCCTACCCCCTTCAGCTTTGTTTCGCTTAGGGCCAGGACATCCAACTTCTTTTCATTCATAACATCAGCAATCATCTGTTTCTTGTCATCCGCACTACATCCACGCACATTTAAGCAACCCAGTTTTATAAAGTTTTTCTTCTTCTCTTTTTTAGTAATTGTATACAGGAGAAGGGGTTACTAGCCCATTGCTCCCGGCATTTTAGTCGCCTCATACGACACGCATGGCTTACGGAGGAAAGATTCTTTTCCACTTCCCCATGGACAATAAAAAGAAATAAAAAGAACAAGAGCTATTTAGAAAAAGGAGAAAAACCTAGATGTATGTATATATATATATATATGCATGTGCGTGTCTATGAAGTGTGACCAAAGTGTAAGTAGGAGTAGCAAGATATCCCTGTTATCTTAGCGTGTTTATGAGACAGAAAAAGAAACCAGCAATCCTACCATCATGCAAAACAGTTACAGGTTTTTTGTTTCACAGTCATCTGGCAGGACGGTAGTACTTCCCTGGGTGGTTGCTGTCTACCAACCTACTACCTATATATATATATATATATATATGTGGATGTAGTGCGGATGACAAGAAACAGATGATTGCTGATGTTATGAATGAAAAGAAGTTGGATGTCCGGGCCCCTAAGCGAAACAAAGCTGAAGGGGGTAGGAGAGTTTCAGTGGGGGAAATAAATGGGATTAAATCTGGAGTATCTGAGAGAGTTAGAGCAAAGGAAGGGGTAGCAGTAATGTTAAATGATCAGTTATGGAAGGAGAAAAGAGAATATGAATGTGTAAAATTCAAGAATTATGTGGATTAAAAAGTAAAGGTTGGATGCGAGAAGTGGGTCATAATAAGCGTGTATGCACCTGGAGAAGAGAGGAATGCAGAGGAGAGAGAGAGATTTTGGGAGATGTTAAGTGAATGTATAGGAGCCTTTTAAACCAAGTGAGAGAGTAATTGTGGTAGGGGACTTGAATGCTAAAGTAGGAGAAACTTTTAGAGAGGGTGTGGGTAGGTAAGTTTGGGGTCCCAGGTGTAAATGATAATGGAGCCCTTTGATTGAACTTTGTATAGAAAGGGGTTTAGTTATAGGTAATACATATTTTAAGAAAAAGAGGATAAATAAGTATACACGATATGATGTAGGGCGAAATGACAGTAGTTTGTTGGATTATGTATTGGTAGATAAAAGACTGTTGAGTAGACTTCAGGATGTACATGTTTATAGAGGGGCCACAGATATATCAGATCACTTTCTAGTTGTAGCTACACTGAGAGTAAAAGGTAGATGGGATACAAGGAGAATAGAAGCATCAGGGAAGAGAGAGGTAAAGGTTTATAAACTAAAAGAGGAGGCAGTTAGGGTAAGATATAAACAGCTATTGGAGGATAGATGGGCTAATGAGAGCATAGGCAATAGGGTCGAAGAGGTATGGGGTAGGTTTAAAAATGTAGTGTTAGAGTGTTCAGCAGAAGTTTGTGGTTACAGGAAAGTGGGGGCAGGAGGGAAGAGGAGCGATTGGTGGAATGATGATGTAAAGAGAGTAGTAAGGGAGAAAAAGTTAGCATATGAGAAGTTTTTACAAAGTAGAAGTGATGCAAGGAGGGAAGAGTATATGGAGAAAAAAGAGAGAAGTTAAGAGAGTGGTGAAGCAATGTAAAAAGAGAGCAAATGAGAGAGTGGGTGAGATGTTATCAAAAAAATTTTGTTGAAAATAAGAAAAAGTTTTGGAGTGAGATTAACAAGTTAAGAAAGCCTAGAGAACAAATGGATTTGTCAGTTAAAAAAAAGGAGAGGAGAGTTATTAAATGGAGAGTTAGAGGTATTGGGAAGATGGAAGGAATATTTTGAGGAATTGTTTAAATGTTGATGAAGATAGGGAAGCTGTGATTTCGTGTATAGGGCAAGGAGGAATAACATCTTGTAGGAGTGAGGAAGAGTCAGTTGTGAGTGTGGGGGAAGTTCGTGAGGCAGTAGGTAAAATGAAAGGGGGTAAGGCAGCCGGGATTGATGGGATAAAGATAGAAATGTTAAAAGCAGGTGGGGATATAGTTTTGGAGTGGTTGGTGCAATTATTTAATAAATGTATGGAAGAGGGTAAGGTACCTAGGGATTGGCAGAGAGCATGCATAGTTCCTTTGTATAAAGGCAAAGGGGATAAAAGAGAGTGCAAAAATTATAGGGGGATAAGTCTGTTGAGTGTACCTGGTAAAGTGTATGGTAGAGTTATAATGAAAGAATTAAGAGTAAGACGGAGAATAGGATAGCAGATGAACAAGGAGGCTTTAGGAAAGGTAGGGGGTGTGTGGACCAGGTGTTTACAGTGAAACATATAAGTGAACAGTATTTAGATAAGGCTAAAGAGGTCTTTGTGGCATTTATGGATTTGGAAAAGGCGTTTTGACAGGGTGGATAGGGGGGCAATGTGGCAGATGTTGCAAGTGTATGGTGTAGGAGGTAGGTTACTGAAAGCAGTGAAGAGTTTTTTACGAGGATAGTGAGGCTCAAGTTAGAGTATGTAGGAAAGAGGGGAATTTTTTCCCAGTAAAAGTAGGCCTTAGACAAGGATGTGTGATGTCACCGTGGTTGTTTAATATATTTATAGATGGGGTTGTAAGAGAAGTAAATGCGAGGGTCTTGGCAAGAGGCGTGGAGTTAAAAGATAAAGAATCACACACAAAGTGGGAGTTGTCACAGCTGCTCTTTGCTGATGACACTGTGCTCTTGGAGATTCTGAAGAGAAGTTGCAGAGATTGGTGGATGAATTTGGTAGGGTGTGCAAAAGAAGAAAATTAAAGGTGAATACAGGAAAGAGTAAGGTTATGAGGATAACAAAAAGATTAGGTGATGAAAGATTGAATATCAGATTGGAGGGAGAGAGTATGGAGGAGGTGAACGTATTCAGATATTTGGGAGTGGACGTGTCAGCGGATGGGTCTATGAAAGATGAGGTGAATCATAGAATTGATGAGGGAAAAAGAGTGAGTGGTGCACTTAGGAGTCTGTGGAGACAAAGAACTTTGTCCTTGGAGGCAAAGAGGGGAATGTATGAGAGTATAGTTTTACCAACGCTCTTATATGGGTGTGAAGCGTGGGTGATGAATGTTGCAGCGAGGAGAAGGCTGGAGGCAGTGGAGATGTCATGTCTGAGGGCAATGTGTGGTGTGAATATAATGCAGAGAATTCGTAGTTTGGAAGTTAGGAGGAGGTGCGGGATTACCAAAACTGTTGTCCAGAGGGCTGAGGAAGGGTTGTTGAGGTGGTTCGGACATGTAGAGAGAATGGAGCGAAACAGAATGACTTCAAGAGTGTATCAGTCTGTAGTGGAAGGAAGGCGGGGTAGGGGTCGGCCTAGGAAGGGTTGGAGGGAGGGGGTAAAGGAGGTTTTGTGTGCGAGGGGCTTGGACTTCCAGCAGGCATGCGTGAGCGTGTTTGATAGGAGTGAATGGAGACAAATGGTTTTTAATACTTGACGTGCTGTTGGAGTGTGAGCAAAGTAACATTTATGAAGGGATTCAGGGAAACCGGCAGGCCGGACTTGAGTCCTGGAGATGGGAAGTACAGTGCCTGCACTCTGAAGGAGGGGTGTTAATGTTGCAGTTTAAAAACTGTAGTGTAAAGCACCCTTCTGGCAAGACAGTGATGGAGTGAATGATGGTGAAAGTTTTTCTTTTTCGGGCCACCCTGCCTTGGTGGGAATCGGCCGGTGTGATAATAAAAAAATAATAATATATATATATATATATATAATATATATATATATATATATATTATATATATATATATATATATATATATATATATATATATATATATATATATATTAGTACTGTACACTGTAAATTAATTTTTTTATTTTCCTTGCCAGTAAAAAAGATCAAGTACTGAGTAGCAAAGAGAAAGCTTCCACATGTTCCATCATAGCTGATGCACTAGTTGGGGCTAAACCCACAGAGATACAGAAGTTGCTCTCAGTTGGCATAGAGACTTTGCTGCTGCTGACGGCTGATACGGATCCAGATGTCAGGATGAATGCCAATGAGTCACTGAATAGAGTTATCAGAGTAAGGCATTTTGAAAATTCATATTGATATTCACTATTCTGTGTAAATTTTTTTTTTTTGCTCTAGCCATGGGTAGTCCAAATTAAATATGCCATGTTCCTGTTAATACTCGTCTTTCAAGATGCCAGTAAGGTTTGTACTCTCACTGTCTGCTCTTTGACTGCCTTTTTCACCCAAAATGCTCTGTATAACTTAGGGGTGTTTCATGCAAGAGGTGTAATGTTATCCAAAATTGTACAAATAATGTATCGTGTAGATATAAATTGATTGATCGATTGATCAATTCAGGCGTCACCATTCTCTCTCTCTCTCTCTCTCGTCAACAACTGTGCACTTTCTATAGATGGTTATTGTAATTTTTCAGCATTTCTAGGGACCCTCTATTTGCCTTTGATATTTTTTGGCAGTACCTATTGCTTTTCAAGATGTTCTTTAAGGATGAATATTTACTTTGCCTGAAACACCGGATTTATGATACCCATTTTGACTGCCCAGTTGTCCCACTGTCAGGGTGCACTAACTTGTTTGTTTGCGATGCTTCCTATATGTGGATAACTTAAGTGTAATGAACACTCGTCATTGTTCAATAATAACCCACATGGAGACAGAAACTCTGAAGATTAACTGATGTGTATATTTTGATATGTTGAGGGTAGAATGGTCCCTCATTTGGGGCCCATTTTTATTAGACTGTACCCATTTTTATTAGTGCTTTACCCCATATGGCTACCTCCTACTTTGGAGGGCTTGACACCCCTGTGTGCTCACTTTATAGGGGTACTCTGTTGCCTGCTGCCTCAGGCTTAGGTTCATAGGGGGTTAGCCAGCTACATTCCTGGGTTCTGGGGGCTCCTCATAACCCAGGTTTCAGCAGCTTGTCTATCTACTCTGTCTGGTACCTAGGAATGGCATGATGTGATGCACTTTGAGGCCCCCTTTATTTCCGAGAGCCTTGTTCATATATCTTGACTACATTCTGTGTACTACATTGGACAGGGATTCTTACATTTGATGCCACAGGCTGTTTCACAATGGCCAACACTGTCTTTTTGACTAAAGCTCTTGCTCTCCATTAATTTTGAAGAGTTTCTTTTTCTTCTCCAGGATCTACCAAGTACTGTACTCCAAGGAAAGTTGTGTCTTCTGACTCTTTTACTCTGCATTTCAGTATACAGGAGGGCCCCATTCTTACAAGTGTTGTGTTCCTGATACCTTGGCAATAAGCGAAAATCACTTGCAGGTGGAAAAAGAGTAGTTTTTCAATACTGAATGCATCTAAAACACCTGATAATGTGTTTACACTTTTTTTTTTTTTTCAACAAGTCGGCCATCTCCCACCGAGGCAGGGTGACCCAAAAAAGAAAGAAAATCCCCAAAAAGAAAATAATTTCATCATCATTCAACACTTTCACCACACTCACACATTATCACTGTTTTTGCAGAGGTGCTCAGAATACAACAGTTTAGAAGCATATACATATAAAGATTCTCCATGGGGAAGTGGAACAGAATTCTTCCTCCGTAAGCCATGCGTGTTGTAAGAGGCGACTAAAATGCCGGGAGCAAGGGGCTAGTAACCCCTTCTGCTGTATATATTACTAAATGTAAAAGGAGAAACTTTCGTTTTTCCTTTTGGGCCACCCTGCCTTGGTGGGATACGGCCGATGTGTTGAAAGAAAGAAAGAAGACATATAAAGATACACAACATATCCCTCCAAACTGCCAATATCCCAAACCCCTCCTTTAAAGTGCAGGCATTGTACTTCCCATTTCCAGGACTCAAGTCCGACTTATCATATATTAAGTACAGCCAGGCATAAAAAAACAGATGCATAAGTAAAATATGTACACACTACATACAATACTTACCTTAAAATATGACTTTAGTTGCCTTTCCCTTGTGAAACATGGCAGAAAAGTGGAAAAAGCACTGAATATAATGAACAATGGTTCAGTTGAAAAACCACTGAAAATGTGGAACACCAAAAAGAGGGTGTCAAATATGCAGAGCCTTAATGTACCTTGATCTACGCTTAAGGTGAAGTTCCTGTCCAGAATTTGCTTTCCCAACTGTCCTCTAGAAGTCCTATTATGCTCAGTTTTATAACATTATTTTACCTTTATATTGATGGATGCACTATGTGGGTGTGCCTATGCTTGTTGCTCCTCTTATCATAATAAGTAACAGGTTGTGGTTGTAAATGACAGCATAACAACTTTATAAATAAAATGCCATAACCCAAATACTGCATCTTATTTACATACTGTTGGTATATTCTGCTATTGTATTGCCAAGTTATGTCTGGACATAAAGATGGCATTTGGCCTTGTTGGGGAATAGAGAGCTGAGAATCTGTGTGAATGAGGTGTGGCAAATATTAGGTGGCCCCCAGGACATCATTTATTACTTAAAGTGTAGTGACAGTGGGATACATTCATTACAGTAGCTATTAAAAAAATAAATCCCAACGAACTACAGTAACTCTAGACTATATTTTACTTTCTCAGTCAACAAACAGAACTATGTTTTGGCTGTATTACTCTTTTAAACAAGCTCTTAATTTTTTCTGGAATATATTAATTAAGTCACATTTTTTTTTATTCTGCATGAAATACAGTATATGTATATGCATTATATGTATATGCATTATATGTACAGTATATACAGTATATGTATATGCATTATTGTAACTGCTCCAAAAAATTGTAAATTATATATTGTTCCATAATCTTCAATGTCTGTCATCCTTTTATGTTTGTATTTCTAAGTTAAAATTGTTTCATTACTTTATAAATCAATAAGAGAGATTTATATATGCATGGCAAATTTCAGAGTCTGTCAGAAACTCAGTTGGGCAAAATTCAAGTTGAACTGTACAAGGAAATCAAGAAGAATGGGTCGGTGAGGAGCCTGCGGGCGGCTCTGTCTAGATTTGCTGCACTGTGCCATCACATCAGGTGTGTATCTTGCAGCAGACTCTTTAACTAACAAAAAGGCACAATACTGTGACCGGAACAATACACAATATCTGTCTGCTGGCCTATATATACTGCCCCCTTCTCTCCTTTATGTTAGTGTGACTGTAAATGGTCCAAGTCTGACCAAAACGTCGTCTTAAGCTCCTCTCTCTTATATGTGGGTTATTAGTGTATTGAGTAGAATCTTTTTCTTTGCTGAAGTGATGTATGGTTGTTATTGAGAATACTGGGGCTGTGGAGTCTGCACATAAAAGCTTCGACTCTGACTCCTTTATTTATGGCACCTCCAACTCCAGCTCCTTTAATTACATTTTATGAACTCCAATTCCAACTTCAGTAACCCAAGAATTGCTTCCAACTCCGACTCCACGACTCCGACTCCATATCTTTGGAGTATACTATCCGGAATTTTGTATTGCCTATGTATTCAAATTTTTTTTTTACCCTTTCAAGGTACCAAGATGCTGATGAGAGGCTTTTGATCTGATGAATTGGAGCCACCCTCCCTTTTATTGAATCAAACTTCTATTCCCCAGGCACTGTATGATCCCCATGGGTTTAGTGCTTCGAAGTTAATATACAGTAACAATAATGCTGCACTTGAAAATAATTGAAATTATGTATGAGACAGAGTGGGTAATCTAAATGACTTGAACTCTACAGGTTTTGGGTCAACTGAGCTCATGGATTGATGAATGGATGCTGAATTTTTTTAATGCACTGGCTGTCTCCCACCTAGAAACATCATTTATTCAAGTCTTGCTAACTTGTTTCCCTGAATCCCTTCATAAATGTTACCTTGCTCACACTCCAACCATAAAACCAACTTGTCTGCACTCAGTCTGATCTATAACACACTCACATGGAATTTATAGTATACAAAATGATAATAGGGAAGTGGGTTATAATCCTTACTCTCTTAGTCATGCATGTTGTAAGGAAAATAAGTCACTTTGTCTGACTTTGGATTTTTTTTCTTTTTTTTCAACAAGGCGGCCATCTCTCACTGAGGCAAGGTGACCCAAAAAGAAAGAAAATCCCCTAAAGGAAAATACTTTCATCGTCATTCAACACTTTCACCTCACTCACATAATCAATGTCTTTGTAGAGGTGCCCAGATACAACAGTTTAGAAGCATTGGATTATCCTATGTAATTTGTACTATGTATGATAATTGTACTTATGTGTACCTGTGCCTAAGTAAACTTACTGGCATGAGCTTTGAGCAAGATGGTCTGTATGATATTTACCCATAGGTAAATATCATACAGACCATCTGATATTTAAAGTTGCTTAAGTCCAGGTTTATACTCTGTCATAATCCTGTGTGTCTGTATTTTTCTGTTGTATCTTTCTTAAAAATCATTATAATCACTTTAATTTTTTTTTTCAGGCCTCAGAAAGGTCGAGCCTACGTTCAAAACCTTTTACCATACGTGACACGAATGGCTCGCCGGCCAGAAGAACCCCTGTTAGAAACACTTGCTGCTGCTCTTGAAAAAATTATGCCAACTCTTGGTCATTTCACTAATGACAATGAAATTAAGAATCTTCTTAAGGCATTTCTTCCCAATCTTAGCCACACCTCCTCGGCTGTCCGCCGCTCAGCCGTATCCTCTCTCACAGTTCTCTGCCGTCATTCTCGGAAGCCACCAATGTTCCTGGGCTGGCTGCTGAGCACCATTCTGCAGATCCTGGTACCAGTCCAAAATGATATACCAACAAGCCAAGCTCTTGGCTGCCTTCTGTGCCTACGCTCATTGGTGCCTCATATAGGGGAACTATGTGCTCCTGTTATACCCTCAGATACACACCATGCACACCATACCACTCATCTACACCCGGCAGAGTATACTGTCTCATATGATCAGATGCTTCAGGTAAGCATTAGAATTTTTGGTAAATTAGACACATGTACAACACTTGGGTATCTTTATTGTGGAAATGTTTCTCCCTACAGCTGCATCATCAATCCAGTACAAAGAGGATTAGTGAATTTTCAGATCTTCACTGTTCTTCTTTGTACTGGACTGATGAAGCCACTGTGTGGTAAAATGTTTCTACAGTAATGACACCCAAATTTTGCACATGTGTGTAATTGATCAACTTGTCTGCTCTTTGAACCATTCATCTACATTAGAATTTGTGCTCATACAATATACGTTTTTTATCAAGGTTATGATCAGTATAAGAGGGAGATGAAATTTTTTTTTATTTGTAGTTTCATCATTCATCGAAGAAAAAGGTTCAAGGAAGGTACCTTAATTGTGAGGTAGTTTCTTAGATCAAATCTGATTACCTCTCACTCTCCAGGTGTTGTATGACCCATAAGAGTTTAGTGCTTTGTAAGAATATAATAATAATCATGTAAAAAAGGTTGGAAACTAAGAGTTTAGCACATGTGTGAAAAACTTTGAATCAGGATTTGTTTTTATTGACAGCATGAAAGAATAACAAGATGGGGAGGGAGTAAACATTCATTTTATTGTATTAAATAGTACAGTGGAACATTATCTATGGAGGCAAAGAAGGGAATGTTTGAGAGTATAGTGGTTCCAACACTCTTATATGGGTGTGAAGCTTGGGTTGTAAATGCTGCAGCGAGGAGCTGGCTGGAGGCAGTGGAGATGTCCTGTCTAAGGGCAAAGTGTGGTGTAAATATTAGGGGGAGAATTCGTAGTGTGGAAATTAGGAGGTGTGGAGTTACAAAAAGTATTAGTCAGAGGGCTGAAGAAGGGCTGTTGAGGTGGTTTGGTCATTTTGAGAGAATGGAACAAAGTAGAATGACTTGGAAAGCATATAAATCTGTTGGGAAAGGAAGGCGGGGTAGGGGTCATCCTTGAAAAGGTTGGAGGGAGTGGGTAAAGGAGGTTTTGTGGGCGAGGGGCTTGGTCTTCCAGCAAGCATGCGTGAGCATGTTAGATAGGAGTGAATGGAGACGAATGGTTTTGGGGGCCTGACGAGCTGTTGGAGCATGTATAGGGTAACATTTTGTGAAGGGATTCAGGGAAACCGGTTAGCCGGACTTGAGTCCTGGAAATGGAAAGTCCAATGCCTGCACTTTAAGGGAGGACTTTGGGATATTGGCAATTTGGAGGGATGTCTAACAGCTGTTGTATCTGAATGCCTCTACAAAGACAGTGGTTATGCTTGTGATGGTGAAAGTGTTGAATGATGATGAAAGTTTTTTCTTTCTTTTTGGGTTTTTCTTTCTTTTTTGGGTCACCCTGCCTTGGTGGGAAAAAAAGAACCCCTATATCTGTGGGTCTGGTTTCCACGGTTTCTGTTATCCAGGGTTTACTGTGGCCAGAAAATTAGCCTTAATTTTGCTTAATAATGACATTAAAGCAGAAAAGTAGTAGTGTTGGTAGTTTTTTGAAGCCTAAGAGAAGCTATGAAGTGTTTCCTGTCAGTGAAAAAGTCCTAATTCTCCACTTATTGTGCATAATTTACCAATTAAACTTTATCTTAGGTAAGTACGTAAACAAAAATGACTTACATAATGTATAGGGTTTACTACTATCCATGGTTTCGGGCATCTACAGTAGGTCTTGGAATGTATCCCCTGCAAATACATGGGGGACTACTGTAATAATTTTGCTTAAAAAAGTCTCATGGGTCATTGAAGTTTTTCCCTTTTAATTTATGATTTATTTATTTTTTCAGCAAACCGGCCATATCCCACTGAGGCAGGGTGACCTAAAAAGAAAAATGAAGGTTTCTCTTTTTAAATTTAGTATTGTATACAGGAGAAGGGGTTACTAGCCCCTTGTTCCCAGCATTTTAGTCGCCTCTTATAACACACACAGCTTATGTAGGAAGAGTTCTGTTCCACTGATCCATGGAGTAAATTTTAGTTATATTACATATTTATTTTGTAGGAAGATAAATTTATTTATTGCTTTTTTAATGTATTATAGTCTTCCTTCATGAGATGAAACCTAAAATCTTGAAGGACTTGTTATGATTATATTTTGTGTTGATTTGAAAATAGAATCAATAGGAATAATATCCACAGTTATTGGGTGTCCAAGATTTTGTAGATAAATAGTCATTTTGCCTTCATAGGGAAGTGGAGAAGAATCCTTCCTTCGTTAGTCATGTGTGTCGTAAGAGGCGACTAAAATACCGGGAGCTAGGGGCTAGTAACCCTTTCTCCTGTATAAGTTGCTAAATGTAAAAAAGAAGAAAAACTTTTGTTCCTTCTTTTTTGAGTCACTCTGCCTTGGTGGGAGACAGCCAGTGTGTTTAGAAAACAAAAAAATAGTCATTTGATCTATTCATGGCTTGCAGATGCAGAGTTAGAAGAGATAAGGAAAGGCCATGGGGGAGAAGTTCATGAATATGATGCATAATGTGTCATGCTAGATATTTATAGTGAGTTGAGGTATCCTGGTGTGTTAATACTTTTGTCTTGTTTCAGGTTTATGAATTATGTCTTCATTTTAGCAAATCTTCGGATCACAACATAGTCACTGCAAGTTTAGAAACACTTCAGGTGAGTACTCACTGTGTTTACAACTTCCTTGAATGTAGTCAGTTCACAGTGAAATGCATTGTAAATTATTTGAAAGTTTTGTGGTCACAGTGGTGGTCCATGCTAACTTCCCTATGGTATTGAGAAAAATACCTAGTTGGTTGAATCTTAGAGCCAGCTGGCCAAGTGGTTAATGCACTGGCCTGGGTTCAACCCTCACTCATTCCATGGTTTAGTTGAATGTTTTGTGTTTCCTGATACTTCTTTGGTATTTGTTGTTCATACAGCTTGTGTGTTCTTTGGCAGTTCTGGTACTGTATCTATCAGAACATTTCAACATTTTAAACATGTTATAAACATAAAGTGCCTTTGTTCCACACTGATCACCATGTTGTATTTCAAAATGTCCTGCAGACACTGCTTCAGAACCCACCAGTAGCTCTCCTCCTGACTCTCACTTCTCCTGAGGGGATCACACGCTCGAGGATCATGGCTGATCCTCGAGCTAGTCTGCTTTCATCAAGAGTGTCCAGTGAGTGAGCTTTATGGATATATATATATCTATATATTAATTAATAAATGCATGATTGAAGACTGCTATTTTAAGAATAGGGAGCTAGTATTACTAAATCATATCACATGGTCAGTAGCTGAAAAGGCTATAATACATGGCAGAATGTCAGGATGCTACTCAGTTGACAGACACCAGAGTACCTATTTACTGTACTGATATATGAATGTGTAAGACTTGCCCATATATATCTACTCATCTGGGATTGAACCAGGGTCTTTTAGTTGTGAGCTGAAAGTGTTACCACTGAGCTACTAACCACTGAATTTATATGTGATATGCCTTTAGTGTGATGATGTCATCTGTATTTATATGCATGAATCCTGGAATGTACATGACAAAAATTGATGACCCCCTCACAGGAGGTTTCTTGATTCTGGCAAGGGGCTCTTGATCGAAGGAATTGAACTAATGCTCCAATTCCTTGAATTAAGCCTGAATTCCATCTGTTAAACCATGATTGTGTTTTCTTTAATCTGATGTGAATATTCACCTTTTTTTTATTTAGTAAGCTTCCAGTTCAGGGCATTTGTTTCTTTTGGGTATATTTTTTGTTATACTGTATTTTGCAACTAAAAGTTTTGATCATTTTATTTTTTTGACAAAATTAATGTACAGACAACTTTTACAAATTGTTTAGTGTGCTTGAATCTTCATTAACAGAAGGGTTTTGGGTGTACTTACAATTTTGGTAGCTTATGTAGATACGGAAGTTATGCGCCTGATATCTCATTCTTTCAGTTCATTGATAAATATTGTTTTCTTCTTTCAGGTCAGATCAGTGTGGCTCCATCACTGTTTGAAGAGGATAACTTATTATTAGATCTGGAAGGTGGCAGTGGGAGAGTTAGTATGGACATGGACACCCCTGATGAAAAACTCGATTTTGAGGAGAGTACAAAAGAAGAAGATGACAAAGGAGGAGGAGGAGGAGGAGGGGGAGGGGGAGGTGGAATAGGAGGAGGAGGAGGAGGAGGAGGAGGAGGAGGAGGAGGAGGAAGTGGAGGAAGCACAGAAGTACAGCCAGCTGACACTGCTGTAGATGAAACTGATAGTAGAGTTAGTGCTTTATACTCCAGCATTGAAATTGGAAAACTTACAGGTGTGTTTATGCAAACTCCCACTGTTTCCTGATTCAAGATCTATGTATTTGCTCTTTTTCTTACATAGTATATAAAGCTGGTTTCTGAGATACATATACAGAATGTGACATTTCCAGCATTTACTCAAAGATTGTTTTAAAAATGCTGTAAAAAATTTTTTTTGCTTGATTAAAGTGCTTGAAGAGTGTGTGTTAATATTAAAGGTGTTTTTGAAAGAGGAGAAAATTGTAGTTGAGAGGATTTGGTCATGTGGAAAAGTTAAGCAAGATTTAACAAAAAAAGGCACAATACCTGGAGGGTGTTGCAGGGGTCATCACCCCCTGGCTTGGTCGTAAACATCAGATGAATGGAAGATGTACGGAATTTCTGACGAAGGATTGAAAGGATGTTGTGAATGAGGTGTTGAGGGGTCGGGAATTGAACATCCAGCAAGCGTGTATGAGTACATTAGATCAGGATGGTGGCAAGAGATGCTTGGAATTTGGTGTTATGTTGGAGTACCTACAGTTTTGTCATCTGGTGGGTGTATTACTGTATGATCTAGTAGGTATGTTACTGTATGATTTAGTGGGAATGTTGCTGTACAATTTAGTGGGTGTGTTCCTATATGATTTCATGAGTATGTTACTGTATGATTTAGTGGTTGTATTCCTGTATGATTTAGTGGGTGTGTTATTATATAATTTAATGGGTGTCTTACTGTATGATTTAGTATATCAGCATTAGACCATGATTTTTTTCTGTACCTTTCCATTTTCTATTTTTTTTTTTTTGCTATTATATTTTTTCAACGTGTGTTACAGATACCTCTGTGCTTTTTGGTAGAGGAGAGATAAATTTAAATGGCGAGAAACGTTGCATTGAACGTGACAAGAGGAAACACATTTACCACATATCATCTCATTCTCATAATAAATCCCTAGAAGACAAATCAGTCTCCATTGATAAGGTAGGTCCTGGTTCAAAGTAAGATAAATTTTTGTCTTCTTCTTCTTTCAACAAACTGGCCATATCTCACCAAGGCAGGGTGGGCCAAAAAGAAAAACAAAAGTTTCTCTTTTTGAATTCAGTAATTTATACAAAAAAAGGGGTTACTAGTCCCTTGCTCCCGGCATTTTAGTCACCTCTTGTGACACACATGGCTTACGGAGGAAGAATTCTGTTCCACTTCCCCATGGATTATTATTATTATTATAATCAAGGGGGAAGCGCTAAACCCGTAGGATTATACAGCGCCCAGGGGAGGGGGGATGTGGAAGGCATTCAGGCTTAATTCGGGGAACTGGAGCACAGATCCAATTCCTTAAATCAAGAGCCCCTCACCAACATCAAGGAACCTTCCATGAGGGGTCTTCCCCATGGAGAAATTTTTGTCAATAATTTAAATACATATAAAAAAATACGAGCAGCTTGTTGTGACTGTACATTACAAAATGAAAGGCTTTGTAAAAAGAAATAGTCACTGTGAGGGGTATATTTTATGAAAGTGTTGGAGATAGGTTTTTTTTATTTTTTTTTTAGAAATTCTTGAAAGAACCATAAGGAAGATTCATGGAAGACTGAGGTTACTCTCTCTGGCTTAAACCTCTAGAGCAGAGGTTCTTAACTGGGGGTATGGGAACCAAATAATGGGAATATGGGACTCGATCTTTGAAAATTTAAAAAAAAAAAGTTGTGGTTAAATTTGAATAAAATATCAGCTGTTCTGTTCCTGCCTCTCCATTTGTAAAATAGAACCAAGCCATAACGGCTTGACAAAGCACCTGGAGAACGGAATGTTGCCACAGTAAAATGCCACATTAGTTGCACTTGTATCCTTTTACCTAACATAAAACCAAGCTATTGACATCTTTTGAAGTCATACTGGTACCTAATAGGACTGGTGGTGATGGTGATGATTTCAACAGTTTAGTGAAGGGGGTATGGGGACATATTGAGAAATCCATTAGGGTCTGTAATTATGAAAAGGTTAAGAACTCCATCTCTTAGAGATAATGGTAAACATTGATTTATTGACTATAGACAGCTGAATTGTTTATTAGAGTGCTTTTTGTTTAGTGGAAGAGGCAAAAATATATACCATTTTGCTTGACACATTATTTGATTAGAATGATAAGATGTTGGATTTATTAATGAATAATGTTGCCTTTATTCAAGTGAAAGTTCTAGATGTTATTATTTTTTTTTTTTATTATCACACTGGCCGATTCCCACCAAGGCAGGGTGGCCCGAAAAAGAAAAACTTTCACCATCATTCACTCCATCACTGTCTTGCCAGAAGGGTGCTTTACACTACAGTTTTTAAACTGCAACATTAACACCCCTCCTTCAGAGTGCAGGCACTGTACTTCCCATCTCCAGGACTCAAGTCCGGCCTGCCGGTTTCCCTGAATCCCTTCATAAATGTTACTTTGCTCACACTCCAACAGCACGTCAAGTATTAAAAACCATTTGTCTCCATTCACTCCTATCAAACACGCTCACGCATGCCTGCTGGAAGTCCAAGCCCCTCGCACACAAAACCTCCTTTACCCCCTCCCTCCAACCCTTCCTAGGCCGACCCCTACCCCGCCTTCCTTCCACTACAGACTGATACACTCTTGAAGTTATTCTGTTTCGTTCCATTCTCTCTACATGTCCGAACCACCTCAACAACCCTTCCTCAGCCCTCTGGACAACAGTTTTGGTAATCCCGCACCTCCTCCTAACTTCCAAACTACGAATTCTCTGCATTATATTCACACCACACATTGCCCTCAGACATGACATCTCCACTGCCTCCAGCCTTCTCCTCGCTGCAACATTCATCACCCATGCTTCACACCCATATAAGAGCGTTGGTAAAACTATACTCACAGTAATGTAAAATGTTCTTTTGTAGGATTAGTTATACCCTTTTTTTATATATATTCAGAGGCACTTTGTTTATGCCTGCTCTTTCTCAGGCAATTTGAGTGCATATTATTGTCTTAACATTTTTGTTAAATTTAGGTAGTAGGTTGGTAGACAGCAGCTGCCCAGGGAGGTACCACCGTCCTGCCAAGTGAGTGTAAAATGAAAGCCTGTAATTGTTTTACATGATGGTAGGATTGCTGGTGTCTTTTTTCTGTCTCATAAACATTTAAGATTTCAGGTACATCTTGCTACTTCTACTTACACTTAGGTCACACTACACATACATGTACAAGCATATATATACACACCCCTCTGGGTTTTCTTCTATTTTCTTTCTAGTTCTTGTTCTTGCTTATTTCCTCTTATCTCCATGGGGAAGTGGAACAGAATTCTTCTTCCGTAAGCCATGCGTGTTGTAAGAGGTGACTAAAATGCCGGGAGCAAGGGGCTAGTAACCCCTTCTCCTGTATATACAGTGGACCCCCGGTTAACGATATTTTTTCACTCCAGAAGTATGTTCAGGTGCCAGTACTGACCGAATTTGTTCCCATAAGAAATATTGTGAAGTAGATTAGTCCATTTCAGACCCCCAAACATACACGTACAAACGCACTTACTTAAATACACTTACATAATTGGTCGCATTCGGAGGTAATCGTTATGCGGGGGTCCGCTGTATTAATAAATTTAAAAGGAGAAACTTTCATTTTTCCTTTTGGGCCGCCCCGCCTCGGTGGGATACGGCTGGTACGTTGAAAGAAAGAAAGATTTTTGTTAAAAGTTTCACAAATTTGAATAATGTTATTTCAGCTAAATATTGTGTGAAATTAATACAAAGGTTTATAGCAACAATAATGTGGTAATTTAATAATAACAAACGTCTAAAAAACTGCACAATAATAGGTTTAATTCTTAATAAGTTTTAGGATAATTATTAAATGTGATTTCTGTTGTCCTGCAGCCAAGTGGTTCAGTTGGCTCTTTCTTGGATGAAGATCTTCCTGTACGGTATCTCGTACGATACCTGACTTCCTCATTCCTTTTATCTGGGCATGCTGGGTTATTAGTTCCTGACCGGGCAGTCCGAGTGAGCGTCAAAGTGTTGGCTCTTAACTGTGTAGGGTTGGCTGTGATGGTGATGCCTTCTCTGATGGCTGAACCTCTCTATACAGATGCAATTGGAGAATTGGGTAAGTCACTAGTTTCTGACAGTGAGTTGATTGCATTTTTGTTTGCAGTGTAATTAGGGTATTTTCTGTGGTAATATTGGTAAGTTAATAATAAGACAGTATAATACAGTAACTGGAACCGGCTGGGTTTGATTAGTACTTGAGGTACTGAGGCAAATTCTTGGGTAGTTGTGGAAAAAGGTTGGACAAATACATGGGTGGTTTTTATAAGGACTTGCCTTGTATGGGCCAGTAGGCCTTCTGCAGTGTTCCTCCATTCTTATGTTCTTATGAAACGTATGATGATGTTTCAGTCCGACTTGGACCATTAACAAGTTGGACGGAAATGTCATCACAAGTTTCATTCTCCTATGTGTCGGTATTTGTGTATTGGTGAGTAGCTTTTATTCCGATAGGTTAGGGATGGTGAGTTAGTCATGATGATAAATTGATTGGGTTGTTGCTGTTAAAATTAACAAGTAATTTATTAAATTATTTTGTTCTTCCAAAGACTTCCTGACTCACAAATTAAACATTTACATAGAAAATCCAAGTTCAGAATCCTGTAATATTTTGATCATGATTTTGCATTAGTTAGAATTTTGTCTAAAACAATTGATAAAAGAAGATTAACAAAATTTAGCATTAATACTAAGCTTGAAGAAAACTGGTAGAAAAATTGTGCCAGGTTACAGTAATTTAAGATTAAGGCACATATGCATTAGTTTCACCTACTGTGTTGGCAAAACGTTTTATCAATAAAGATACCCAGCTGTTGCACATGTCCTAATCTTCAACTTGTTGGTTTTTTAAACTGTTTTCAACAATAAGGACAACATGGCATGATTAACATGCAATGTGAATTGTGTATTGTATATTGGGAAGCAAATCCAGAGTTATACTAACTGGATGAGTTAATGTAGCTATGGATGTGCATTGCCATGGACAGCAGTTCGGTTCCTAGTATGCCTTAAAGAATTTGTTACTTGTATGATATGGTGAGATTCTCATTTTAAACAGTCTAAATGTTATTAGGAGAATATATAGTTAATTGACCATTCAGGGTGTATGGCATACTATGAAGCAAAACATTATTGCTTGAAGCATAACCCTTAAACTGTCCAAACAGATTTACGATCACATGCGTAGTGCTCCAAAAGTAGATCTACCTTTTTTTTTTTACGTATTTTCAAATATAACAAAAAAAAAAAATAGATCAAGTTTTTTTACACGTTTTCAAATGTAAAAAAAAAATGATCTTCATTTTTTTACATACTTTCAAATGTTGAAAAAAATGTAGAGCTACTTTTGGACAGCTTAAGGGTTAAGTAGAAGACAATTTTGTACGAGAGCCTTACAGATACTATTTTGCATTAATTCTTTCATTAGTAAATATGGCCCAATTTTTTTAAAATGACTAGCATTGTTTTAATTGTATAGTCTTCTAATCTCCTGACACACAACTTTGCTCATGCACACCATAATATGCGACTCTCTCATTGTTTCAGAGCTACAGCAACACATTGATGATGTTTTGAGGTTTCATAGTCATTCCGACCCTCAGCTTGGAGCAAGTGTGGGCACTGTCATTGGACAGTTCATTCGTGCCAGTCTTGTCCATGGATGTGGACAGTATAATGACTTTGGTCGACCGGGGTTACCTTTATCTTCACTTCTTGAAGTCCTTTGCAAGGTTAGCACATGGCTGTCTTGCTTGCATGTCAGAAATCTGATTTGAATTAAAAATTCTGAATTTGTGAAGAAATTTGTGTAAGAGAGATATTGTTGCATTTTTTGCAGCAAGTATTAATGTCTTATTAAACATACAGTTTATAATTGCCTCTTGAATATCCTGATTTAGTATAAAGACAATTGTAAGGTATGGTTTGAGAGATGGAAATAGATAGATATACTGTATATGACACATGGAGGCATTCCTCTCCATTTGTTTGGGAATCAGTTTTGAGATCTTTGAACATCACTGGGACTACAGTCACTGGGGTAATTTAAGCTCTTGGATGAAAAATGAGGATTGTGAAGAGAAAATGTTTTTCTAAATTTACTTATAATATTGGTATCTTTTTTTTTCAACACATTGGCTGTCTTCCACCAAGTCTAAGTGGCCCAGAAAAGAAAGAAACGGTTTCACCATCATTCACACATAATCACTGTTTTTGTAGAGGCACTCAGATATGACAGTTTAGATGTCACTCCAGACAGTCATTATAAATATAGGATACAAAGAATTCTGCAGCAGTTGTTTAACACAGTGTAAACAGCTTTCTCCAAAGAACTATAGCTGTCCTCCCTTTCCTTGACTCAAACTTGATTTCAGTACCTTTCATTCCCCAGAGGATTTATAAGTTTTGTGGGATTTAGCGCTTCCCCATGAGTATACCGGGTACTATTACTACTAGCAATATATAGAATGAAAATTAATATATTGTATCATTACAGTTGCTTGTACACGAGTCAAGTGTAACAGCACGTGGAGCTCTGGGTGGTCTGGGGCTCTGCCTGGGTGAGCTACTTCACTCGTTGCATGCCGCAGTCATACTGTCTGTTTTACCGCATTTGGTAAATACAGCCTCAAATCTATATTGGTTGGTCAAAGTAAGTTACTTTGTATGAGTTCTAGTATTATTATTTTACGATTTTAAAATACACAGTTCCATATTTGTGTACGTAATCAAAGTCATGATTTACATTCATGTTTGGTGTGTATCTTGCTGTGTCAACAGTATTCATATTTCAGGTTGAACTGTGTGATCTCCTCTCAGGATTGCCTCTGAGTTATACAGACCATGTAGAGAGTAGCAGCAGCTACAGCACTACAGGAAGTTCCATTCCACTTAGACCTGCCGACAGGTTTTCTCATCGTGTATTAACAGCAGTTCTTATTCCTCTCCTGGCCGATCAGGACCCCAGAGTTCGTTCAGCAGCTGCTTCAGCTTGTGTCAAGTAAGTTAAGTACGAGAATTTTGTCAGCTGACACCTGTTGGAGTGTGAGCAGGGTAATATTTAGTGAAGGGATTCAGGGAAATAGTAGGTTGGTAGACAGCAACCACCCAGGGAGGTACTACCGTCCTGCCAAGTGAGTGTAAAACGAAGCCTGTGATTGTTTTACATGATGGTAGGATTGCTGATGTCTTTTGTCTGTCTCATAAATATGCAAGATTACAGGCATGTCTTGCTACTTCTACTTACACTTAGGTCACACTACACATACATGTACACATTTATTTATACACACTCATCTGAGTTTTCTTTGATTTTATCTTAATAGTTCTTGGTCTTATTAATTTTCCTTTTATATCCATGGGGAAGTGGAATAAGAATCTTTCTCCGTAAGCCATGCGTGTTGTAAAAGTCAACTAAAATGCCGGGAACAATGGGCTAGTAAACCCCTTTTCCTGTAAAGATTACTAAAAAGAATAAGAAGAAGAAAATTGTCAAAGTGGGAAGTCTGAATGTGCGGTGGATGTTGTGCAGATGATAAGAAAGAGATGATTGTGGATGTTATGAATGAAAAGAAGCGGGATGTCCTGGCTTTAAGTGAAACAAAGCTGAAGGGGGTGGGAGAGTTTCAGTGGAGAGGAATAAATGGGATTAGGTCGGGGGTTTCAAATAGAGTTAGACTAAAGAAGGAGTAGCAATAATGTTGAAGGATAAGCTATGGCGGGAAAAAAGAGGGACTATAAATGTATTAATTAAAGGGATTATGTGGAGTAAAATAAAGAATTGGATTTTGAAAAGTGGGTTAAAAATAAGCGGGGTATGCACCTGGAGAAGAGAGAAGTGTAGAGGAGAGAGAGAGATTTTGGAAATGTTGAGTGAATGCGTGGGGAGTTTTTAATCAAGTGTGGGGAGTAATGGTGGTTGGGGATTTTAATGCTAAAGTGGGTAAAAATGTTATGGAGGGAAGTAGTAGTAAATTTGGGGGGCCAGGGGTAAATGTAAATGGGGAGCCTTTTAATTGAGCTATGTGTAGAAAGAAATTTTGTAATAAGTAATACATATTTTATGAAAAAGAGGATAAATAAATATACAAGGTTTTGATGAGAGAGAGATTTTGGGAAATGTTGAGTGAATGCGTGGGGAGTTTTGACTCAAGTGTGAGAGTAATGGTGGTTGGGGTTTTCAATGCAAAAGGGGGGAAAAAAATGTTATGGAGGGAGTATAGGTAAATTTGGGGTGCCAGGGTAAATGTAAAGGGGGGACCCTTTTAAAAATTGAGCTAGTGTAAAAAAAATTTTGGGTTAATAAGTAATACATTTTTTAGAAAAAGAGGATAAATAAATATCAAGGTATGATGTAGCAGAATGAAAGTAGTTTTTTGATTATGTATTGGTGGAAAAAAGGGTTGATGGGTAGGTCCGGGATGTAATGTTTAAGAGGGGCAACGATATATGGATCATTATTTAGTTTGTACTACAGTTAGAAAAAGGGGAATGGGAAAAGGGGAAAGGGGGCAAAAACAAGAAAGGGAGGTAAAGTGTATAAACAAAGGGGGGAGGGGGAAGTTGGGGCGAGATATAAGCGACTATTAGCAGAAAGGGGGGTTTGGCAAAGATGGTAATGGGGGGGTTGAAGAGGGTTGGAAAATTTTTTTAAAAGAGATTAGAAAGTGGGGCGAATTTGTGGTTATGGAGGGTGGGGCAGGGGGAAAGAGGAGTGATTGGTGGAATGGAAGTAAAGGGTGGGATAAAAGGAAAAAAGGGAGCTTTTGAAGAGGTTTTTAAAAAAAGCAAATGTTTAAAAGAGCAGAATATAAGGGGAGTAAAAGAAAAGGTAAAGAGATGGTGAGAGAGTGCAAAAAGGGGAGAATGATAGAGTGGGAGAGGCACTGTCAGAAATTTTAATGAAAATAAGAAAAAATTTTTGGAGTGAGTTAAAAAAGTTAAGAAACCAAGGGGGAAAAAATGGTTTGTCATTTAAAAAACAAGTAGGGGATTATAATGGGGGATGGGGGTATTTGGGAGATGCGAGAATATTTTGAGGAAATTTTTAAAAGTTAAGGAAGAAACAGAGGCAGTAATTTCATGCACTGGTAGGGGTATACCCTTTAGGATGAAGAAGACAAAGTAAGGTGGGGGGGGACTGAGGCTTTTCGTAAAATAAAGGGGGTAAAGCAGCTGGTACTGTGGGTCATGACGAAAAGTTAAAAAACAGGGGGGGATATAGTGTTGGGGTGGTTGGTACTTTTTTTTTCAATAAATGTATAAAAAGGGGAAGGTACCTAGGGATTGGCGGGAAGCATGTATAGTCCCTTTATATAAAGGGAAAGGGGGGCAAAAGGACTGTAAAAATTAGAGGAATAAGCTTACGAGTATACCAGGAAAAATGAAAGGTAGGGTTTAATTTAAAGAATTAGGTAAACAGAATGTAGGATTGCGGATGAGCAAGGGGGTTTCCAGGGGTAGGGGAGGGTGTAACAAGTGTTTACTTTGAAGCATATATGTGAACAGTTTTTTAGAAAAAGGGGTTAGGAGGGAATTTTTTTTATTGCATTTATTGTTTTAAAAAAAGGCAAATAAAAGGGAGGGATAGGGAGCAATGGGGCAGATTTTTGCAAGAAATTGGAATAGGTGGTAAGTTTTTAAAAAAATGCTGTAAAGAGTTTTTATGAAGATTTGGGGGCTCGGTTGGGGGTGGGGTAAAAAGGGGGGTAAAGACAAATTTCCCCGGAAAAAAGAAAGGCCCTTAGACGGGGATGGAAATGCCCACCAGGTTTTTTTTAATATATTTATAGAGGGGGGTTTTTTAAGGGGGAAGAAATGCTAGGGGTGTTTGGGAGGGGGGGTGGGGTTTAAAATTTAATGGGGAATAAATTCCCAAAATGGGAATTGACACAGTTTACTTTTTGTGATGATACTGTGCTTATGGGAATTCTAAAGAAAAATTGAAAAGGGTTTTAGTGGATGAGTTTGGAATGTGTGTAAAGGTAGAAAGTTGAAAGTGAACATAGAAAAGAGTAAGGTGATGAGGGTGTCAAATGATTTAGATAAAGAAAAATTGGATATCAAATTGGGGAGGAGGAGTATGGAAGAAGTGAATGTTTTCAGATACTTGGGAGTTGACGTGTCGGCGGATGGATTTATGAAGGATGAGGTTATCATAGAAATTGATGAGGGAAAAAAGGTGAGTGGTGCGTTGAGGTATATGTGGAGTCAAAAAACGTTATCTATGGAGGCAAAGAAGGGAATGTATGAAAGTATAGTTAGTACCAACACTCTTATATGGGTGTGAAGCTTGGGTGGTAAATGCAGCAGCGAGGAGACGGTTGGAGGCAGTGGAGATGTCCTGTTTAAGGGCAATGTGTGGTGTAAATATTATGCAGAAAATTCGGAGTGTGGAAATTAGGAGAAGGTGTTGGAGTTAATAAAAAGTATTAGTCAGAGGGCAGAAGAGGGGTTGTTGAGGTGGTTTGGTCATTTAGAGAGAATGGATCAAAGTAGAATGACATGGAAAGCATATAAATCTATAGGGGAAGGAAGGCGGGGTAGGGGTCGTCCTCGAAAGGGTTGGAGAGAGGGGGTAAAGGAGGTTTTGTGGGTAAGGGGCTTGGACTTCCAGCAAGCGTGCGTGAGCGTGTTAGATAGGAGTGAATGGAGACGAATGGAACTTGGGACCTGACGATCTGTTGGAGTGTGAGCAGGTAATATTTAGTGAAGGGATTCAGGGAAACCGGTTATTTTCATATAGTCGGACTTGAGTCCTGGAAATGGGAAGTACAATGCCTGCACTTTAAAGGAGGGGTTTGGGATATTGGCAGTTTGGAGGGATATGTTGTGTATCTTTATATGTGTATGCTTCTAGACTGTTGTATTCTGAGCACCTCTGCAAAAACAGTGATAATGTGCGAGTGTGGTGAAAGTGTTGAATGATGATGAAAGTATTTTCTTTTTGGGGATTTTCTTTCTTTTTTGGGTCACCCTGCCTCGGTGGGAGACGGCCGACTTGTTGAAAAAAAAAAAAAAAAAAAAATGATGTAGCACGTAATGAAAGTAGTTTATTAGATTATGTATTGGTGGATAAAAGGTTGATGGGTAGGCTCCAGGATGTACATGTTTATAGAGGGGCAACTGATATATCGGATCATTATTTAGTTGTAGCTACAGTTAGAGTAAGAGGTAGATGGGAAAAGAGGAAGGTGGCAACAACAAGTAAGAGGGAAGTGAAAGTGTATAAACTAAGGGAGGAGGAAGTTTGGGTGAGATATAAGCGACTATTGGCAGAAAGGTGGGCTAGTGCAAAGATGAGTAGTGGGGGGGTTGAAGAGGGTTGGAATAGTTTTTAAAAATGCAGTATTAGAATGTGGGGCAGAAGTTTGTGGTTATAGGAGGGTGGGGGCAGGAGGAAGAGGAGTGATTGGTGGAATGATGAAGTAAAGGGTGTGATAAAAGAGAAAAAGGTAGCTTATGAGAGGTTTTTTACAAAGCAGAAGTGTTATAAGAAGAGCAGAGTATATGGAGAGTAAAAGAAAGGTAAAGAGAGTGGTGAGAGAGTGCAAAAGGAGAGGCAGATGATAGAGTGGGAGAGGCACTGTCAAGAAAATTTTAATGAAAATAAGAAAAAATTTTGGAGTGAGTTAAACAAGTTAGAAAGCCTAGGGAAAATATGGATTTGTCAGTTAAAAACAGAGTAGGGGAGGTTAGTAGATGGGGAGATGGAGGTATTGGGTAGATGGCGAGAATATTTTGAGGAACTTTTAAATGTTAAGGAAGAAAGGGAGGCAGTAATTTCATGCCACTGGTCAGGGAGGTATACCATCTTTTAGGAGTGAAGAAGAGCAGAATGTAAGTGTGGGGGAGGTACGTGAGCATTACGTAAAATGAAAGGGGGGTTAAAGCAGCTGGAACTGATGGGATCATGACAGAAATGTTAAAGCAGGGGGGGATATAGTGTTGGAGTGGTTGGTACTTTTGTTTAATAAATGTATGAAAGAGGGGAAGGTACCTAGGGATTGGCAGAGAGCATGTATAGTCCCTTTATATAAAGGGAAAGGGACAAAGAGACTGTAAAAATGTATAGAGGAATAAGCTTACTGAGTATACCAGGAAAAGTGTACGGTATAGGGTTATAATTGAAAGAATTAGAGGTAAGACAGAATGTAGGATTGCGGATGAGCAAGGAGGTTTTAGAGTGGGTAGGGGATGTGTAGATCAGGTGTTTACATTGAAGCATATATGTGAACAGTATTTAGATAAAGATAGGAAGTTTTTATTGCATTTATGGATTTAGAAAAGGCATTATGATAGAGTGGATAGAGGAGCAATGTGGCAGATGTTGCAAGTATATGGAATAGGTGGTAAGTTATTAAATGCTGTAAAGAGTTTTTATGAGGATAGTGAGGCTCAGGTTAGGGTGTGTAGAAGAGAGGGAGAACTACTTCCCGGTAAAAGTAGGTCTTAGACAGGGATGTGTAATGTCACCATGGTTGTTTAATATATTTATAGATGGGGTTGTAAAGGAAGTAAATGCTAGGGTGTTTGGGAGAGGGGTGGGATTAAAATTATGGGGAATCAAATTCAAAATGGGAATTGACACAGTTACTTTTTGCTGATGATACTGTGCTTATGGGAGATTCTAAAGAAAAATTGCAAAGGTTAGTGGATGAGTTTGGGAATGTGTGTAAAGGTAGAAAGTTGAAAGTGAACATAGAAAAGAGTAAGGTGATGAGGGTGTCAAATGATTTAGATAAAGAAAAATTGGATATCAAATTGGGGAGGAGGAGTATGGAAGAAGTGAATGTTTTCAGATACTTGGGAGTTGACGTGTCGGCGGATGGATTTATGAAGGATGAGGTTAATCATAGAATTGATGAGGGAAAAAAGGTGAGTGGTGCGTTGAGGTATATGTGGAGTCAAAAAAACGTTATCTATGGAGGCAAAGAAGGGAATGTATGAAAAGTATAGTAGTACCAACACTCTTATATGGGTGGTGAAGCTTGGGTGGTAATGCAGCAGCGAGGAGACGGTTGGAGGCAGCGGAGATGTCCTGTTTAAGGGCAATGTGTGGTGTAAATATTATGCAGAAAATTCGGAGTGTGGAAATTAGGAGAAGGTGTGGAGTTAATAAAAGTATTAGTCAGAGGGCAGAAGAGGGGTTGTTGAGGTGGTTTGGTCATTTAGAGAGAATGGATCACAGTAGAATGACATGGAAAGCATATAAATCTATAGGGGAAGGAAGGCGGGGTAGGGGTCGTCCTCGAAAGGGTTGGAGAGGGGGTAAAGGAGGTTTTGTGGGTTAAGGGGCTTGGACTTCCAGCAAGCGTGCGTGAGCGTGTTAGATAGGAGTGAATGGAGACGAATGGTACTTGGGACCTGACGATCTGTTGGAGTGTGAGCAGGGTAATATTTAGTGAAGGGATTCAGGGGAAACCGGTTTATTTTCATATAGTCGGACTTGAGTCCTGGAAATGGGAAGTACAATGCCTGCACTTTAAGGAGGGGTTTGGGATATTGGCAGTTTGGAGGGATATGTTGTGTATCTTTATATGTTTATGCTTCTAGACTGTTGTATTCTGAGCACCTCTGCAAAAACAGTGATAATGTGCGAGTGTGGTGAAAGTGTTGAATGATGATGAAAGTATTTTCTTTTTGGGGATTTTCTTTCTTTTTTGGGTCACCCTGCCTCGGTGGGAGACGGCCGACTTGTTGAAAAAAAAAAAAAAAAAAAAAAAAAAAAAATTCAGGGAAACCGGTTATTTTCATATAGTCGGACTTGAGTCCTGGAAATGGGAAGTACAATGCCTGCACTTTAAAGGAGGGGTTTGGGATATTGGCAGTTTGGAGGGATATGTTGTGTATCTCTATGCGTATATGCTTCTAAACTGTTATATTCTGAGCACCTCTGCAAAAGCAGTGATAATGTGTGAGTGTGGTGAAAGTGTTGAATGATGATGAAAGTATTTTCTTTTTGGGGATTTTCTTTCTTTTTTTTGGGTCACCCTGCCTCGGTGGGAGACGACCGACTTGTTGAAAAAAAAAAAAAAAAAAAAATATTTTTATATGTGTATGCTTCTAAACTGTGTATTCTGAGCACCTCTGCAAAAACAGTGATAATGTGCGAGTGTGGTGAAAGTGTTGAATAATGATGAAAGTATTTTCTTTTTGGGGATTTTCTTTATTTTTTGGGTCACCCTGCCTCGGTGGGAGACGGCCGACTTGTTGAAAAAAAAAAAAAAAATTGGACTTGAGTTCTGGAGGTGGGAAGTACAGTGCCTGCACTTTAAAGGAGGGGTTTGGGATGTTGGCTGTTTGGAGTGACAACTAAACTGTCGTATCTGGGCGCCTCTGCAAAGACAGTGAATATGTGTGAATGATGGTGAAAGTGTTGAATGATGGTGAAAATGTTTCTTTCATTTTTGGGTCACCCTGCCTCGGTGGGAGATGGCTGACATGCTAAACAAACAAAAAAAATATTTGGATCTTTACTGATATGTTATGGCAGGAAATTAATTAGTATGTACTGTCTATCACCAATCATTGAAAAATATCTGGACCTAGAACCTTTTGAAGTGACCAAATTTCTAGCCAAAAAAGAGCAAAACACAAAAATCAGTGAAACAAACCATGGATTAGGTGGGGTTTGAACTCATGGCAAGGAAGTACTACAACTCCAGGTCAGTATGTAAGTCACTCGAGTGGGTTACACACTGGCTTGGAGTTTTATGACTCGCCATGAGTCTAACTTCACCCATTCTGTGGTTTGCAGTTGTGTTATTACAATTTCATGTGTCACCAATGAAATGTCATAAAATATAACGTCAGCTTCAAGCTTGCAGCTCGGCACCAGAGCCAGTCAGGCGTCCCTGAGATCTTCCGGACCAAGTCTCTCTTATCTATACCAGTATACTGTTGTAGTGTGATGGGTTATAAAATACACTATTATGGATGTGTAAGCAGTGAAATTTTTGACCTTACCAACTCATACAAATGGAAAACAAGCCTTTCTTCATTACTGTTGGCTGTATACTTTTGTATCTAGCACGGACAACATTGTGTTTTTGCTAAAATAATTTTATACAGTTTATAAATACATAAGGAGTTCAGTACTGTATACTGAAAATACATCAGTGCAGTAATGTGATACTGAAGCTGTTTTTAGATATCACTTTCATTTTAATTTGTTTTTTCCAGATTAGTACCTGAAATAATGAGCAGTGGAGACTTGATACACAAAGTGGCTTCCAGTCTTGTGCATAGTGGCTGCCTTAAAGGGGATAAAGAGGATTTGGGAAATAACCCACAATCACTTCAACACTGGTCTTGTAGGGGTCTTCCCTCGTTGCCAGTTGCACCACTTCATCGTCTCTTTACTGTGAGAAACATTACTCCACCTGAATGGTAAATGCTTAGTGTAAAATTATTCTGTTGTAGTATTAATCTTGTACAGTACTGTCAAGTGACAGTGTGAATGATGTGAAAGTGTTCCTTTTTTGGGTCACCTTGCCTTGGTGGGAGACGGCCAGTGTGTTACAGCAAAAACCGCCATAAAGTTGGTGATTTAGATACATGTGCAACACCTGTGTATCCTTATTTTGAAGAAATTTTTTCCAGTCAAGGCTGAGGAACTGATTACTTTATCTTCTGCTGTCTCTGGTTAATAAACTTTACATATTGAATTGAAAAAGCCACTGGTTGCACATGTATCTGATTCATAAAGTTTATACTACTGTGTGCTGATGATTCACAGAATCATTAACAGATATATTTACGATACAGCAAATGTAGTACAGGTGTCCATAATTTATGCTGTGGATATGTTCCAAACCCTTGGCATGTGTAGTTGGCTCAGTCAGCTCATAAATACTTAAAAACACATAATAAGTATCTTCATTGTGCTTTGTGAACCATACTGAGCTCGTATGGCTATCATAAATTGCATATATGGAATTACCAATAGAAACGTGACATCGCATAATGGTGAATACAAATAAAAGGAGGTAGATTTGTACATTTCATTCTGCAAAATGCCATACTGTACAGTCAGATTAGCAGTACATTTGGCAGCAGTGGTTTTCCTGTTGGACTGATGATTTATGAAGAGGCTTGAAGGTAGGTGTTACTGTAGAGTAGGGATGCACAGGCTCTATGTATGATGTTTTCCTCCACCATGAGGCCTGGTCATGGACCAGGCCACTGGGGCATTGACCCCTGAAACACCCTCCAGGTATACCACCTCTTGCTGTCAACCTGAGCACTGAATGAAATATGCCTACACATACATTTTTAATACTTGACGTGCTGTTGGAGTGTGAGCAAAGTAACATTTATGAAGGGGTTCAGGGAAACCGGCAGGCCGGACTTGAGTCCTGGAGATGGGAAATACAGTGCCTGCACTCTGAAGGAGGGGTGTTAATGTTGCAGTTTAAAAACTGTAGTGTAAAGCACCCTTCTGGCAAGACAGTGATGGAGTGAATGATGGTAAAAGTTTTTCTTTTTTGGGCCACCCTGCCTTGGTGGGAATCGGCCAGTGTGATAATAAAATAAAAAAAAACATACATTTTACTATTTCATGGTTTATTTTCTGAATTTGTACGTTTTTTTGTTCTTGCAAAACCTTATGAATGTGTCATTTCTTACAGCCACGGTTCAGCACAAGGCCCAGCAGCATCACAGGTGTCACATTCTCTCTCACGCCTTATCTATGCATTCACTACTCACTTAATGAGTACCAATAGCAAGTTTTTAATGGTTTGTATCTAGTATTTAGTTGTTGAAATAACTTTGACTTCAAAATATTTGAAAGTTATGATAATTCTTTGTACAATTCATAATTTTTATAATTTTCTTTTACAAAAAGAGTTTCTCTGACTAATGAATATTGCATGTTAAAAAAATGTGTGCAATTAAATTTACCAGAGGTGAGCAAGAGTAGCTATGGGGAGGACTTTAACCCTTAAACGGTCCAAACAGATCAACGTTCAAATTCATAGTGCTCCAAAAGTAGATCTACTTTTTTTTTCATATTTTCAAATATAACAAAAAAAAAGAGTAGATAAAAGTTTTTTTTACACGTTTTCACATGTAAAACAAAAAAAAAAAGATTACATTTTTTTTACATACTTTCAGATGTTGAAAAAACGTATATATACATTTGGACCATTTAAGGGTTAATGAGCAGTTTAGTAGATGTCTTGAGGAATACATGAGAAAAGTCCCAACAAAATTGTACATAACTTGTATAGAAAGCCATGGTTAAAGTTTTCTGCTGTATGCTATCATAAGATAACTTTGTTTCCCATTAGAATGTGTGTTTAGCACAGTGGCCATCTACACCCGAGGCAGGGTGACTTGAAGAAAAATGAAACGCAAAGTTTTCCTTCTTTAGGCAACGTAAAGTTTTCCTTCTTTAGGCAACGTAAAGTTTTCCTTCTTTAGGGGAAGGGGATACTGGCCTCTTGCTCCCAGCATTGTTGTCGCCTCATACAACACACATGGCTTACCGAGGAAAGATTCTTTTCCACTTCCCCATGGAGTATTAGAGTTACAATAGTAAGTTAATATTGTGTAGTGTATGTTACAAGGAAAAGCCCAAAGTTATGCATAGCATTTCAGGCAGTCTAAAGTTAGGACTAATACTTGAATTATAAAACTAAAACAATATGTTGAACAATGTACATAAATGTAGGTATATACATACAGCAGGCATGTGTGAGCATGTTATATAGGAATGAATGGAGACAAATGTTTTTTTTTTTTTGTCTTGATTAGCTGTTGGAGTGTGAGCAGGGTAATATTTTGTGAAGGGATTCAGGGAAACTGGTTAGCTGGACTTGAGTCCTGGAGGTGGAAAGTACAGTGCCTGCACTTTAAAGGAGGGGGTTGGGATATTTGCTGTTTAGGGTGACATCTAACCTGTTATATCTGTGCATCTCTACAAAGACAGTGATAGTGTGAATGATGGTGAAAGTGTTTTTTTTTTTTTGTCACCCTGCCTTGGTGAGAAGACGGCCAACTTGTTAACAGAAAACATGAAAAAATATAATTACATAATACTGCGACACAAATTTTAATGAACAGTGAGCATTAGTGAAAGACATTTAATGTTAAAATAAACTTAATTTCTGGAAAATTGAAAAGTCAGTAAGGAGATAACAGTGTGTCAGTGATTGGAGATATGATTATAGCAAAGGAACCTGGTTTAATTTATAATCTGGATATAAAAGTTACTCACAGGATCAGTAATTTAGAGGTAGATTCTTTTGATACTGCTTAATTGTTAATTGAAATTATGAGCAACAGTGGGCCTAAAATCAATCCTTGTGGAATGTCACTTGTGACTGGTTCCCATTTTGATTTCACCCTATTCTTTTCGGATGTTTTTTTTTTTTTTGTGGGCAGTGTATATTGTAGTGGGTTTGTATTTTAATGTTGAGGAATCTTGGAGAAATATCTATAGAATAGTTAATGTAGAAGGAAGTCATGTTCATATTGGTGGGATAGCACTCGCAGTTTGGTATAATAGTCCTAGCTTGTAACTTGCATCACTCTCACCAAGAAACTTCAGTGAAAGATAAATGATCCTTAATAAATAATAATAAATCTGACTCCATTGGAAAGTGGAAAAGACTCCTTCCTCTGTAAGCCATGCTTATCATAAGAGGTGACTGAAATGTGGGGAGCAAGGGGCTTGTAACCCCTTCTCCTATATAAATTACTAAATGTGAAAAGAAGAAAAACTTTATAGTGTTTTTTTCTTTACCGGGTCACCGTGCCTCAGTGGGAGACAGCTGGTGTTAAAAACAAAAGATTTAGAGTTTATCCAATGCAATAAAATAAGTAGTGAGTACTGAACCCATGTGGAACATTCAGTGCAAGGAATAGTGAAGGCTCAATCCCCTGTCTGCTCATTGCAAGATTGATGCATTATCTACTTATCTGTTAACTACTTCCTTCCCCAACACAACAGAGCCTGTAGTGCCATGCTCGATTGCTGTGACCTGTTGTTATCCACAGCTTGGATGTGTTGAGACCTTGTCGCAACTCAGTGAGAAGTATCCTCCTGCCCTGTACCCATCAGCATGGGGTTGCCACATTACTCCAGTGCAGTCAAGGTATTATATTGGTTTTATATTGGTATTGTTTGAAGCCATGATGCAGGTGTGTTTGTCTTATTGTAGTGCTGTGGAGGTTTACTTTAGGCATACAGTATGTATTTTCTTAAATCCTCAAGGTATTATTCTGTGACATTTCACCTATATAAAGTTTTGTGCAATTCTCACAAAGATAGGTATATTTATTGCATTAATTAGCAGTAGATAAAAAATCAGGTCAAAACATTAATGAAATCGAGATACATGTATATAAAGTTTAATTAAAATTGATTGAACTGAAAAATTTAACGCACATAACTCGCACTTAGGAGACTGAAATTTATAATGACATTTTGGCCCCACTTGGACCATTAACTAGGTGTCTGTTAATTGTCTGTTAATTGACTCACGAAATTGTAATGACACGATTGCAAACAAACCATACCACAGACGGGGATAGAACCCGCGATCAGAGAGTCTCAAAACTCCAGATTGTCGCATTAGCTACTGGGCCAGCTAGCCACAATAAGATTCATCCAAATAGGTATATTTCTACACCATAGGAAGATTAGCATAGGCACCACTGTGACCACAAATGCAAGTTTAACAGATACAACTGTCTGGAGTTTTGAGACATCGTGGGTTCTATCCCTGTCCGTGGTATGGTTTGTTTAGGTGTCTGTTATCCATGCCAGCATGGATAACAGACACCTAGCTGACATTCCAGTGACTGAGTGGTTGCACTGTTGATGTCCTTAATAGTTTTACAGTTGTTTTGTAAATGCCCCCAGTGTTGATTAACTTAAGTACGTAGGAGATGGTGGTGGCAGTACATATTAACTGTCAGACTGATCCATCTATCAAGTTCACTCCATTATATGGTGTTAGTAAATATCATGGTACCTATTCTCTGCAGTCCTTGATGAAATGGTATAGAAATTTCTGTTTTGTGAATGTTCATGATAATTATTGACAATCTTCCTCGAGGAACCTCTTCGTGCAGATTGTGTGTGCTCTGAGAAAGTAATTTATGAAAGTCATATTTATTTTTTTAGGTTGCAGGTTGGTAGACAGCAACCGCCCAGGGAGGTACTACCGTCCTGCCAAGTGAGTGTAAAACGAAAGCCTGTAATTGTTTTACATGATGGTAGGATTGCTGGTGTCCTTTTTTCTGTCTCATAAACATGCAAGATTTCAGGTACGTCTTGCTACTTCTACTTACACTTAGGTCACACTACACATACATGTACAAGCGTATATATACACACCCCTCTGGATATTCTTCTATTTTCTTTCTAGTTCTTGTTCTTGTTTATTTCCTCTTATCTCCATGGGGAAGTGGAACAGAATTCTTCCTCCGTAAGCCATGCGTGTTGTTAGAGGCGACTAAAATGCCGGGAGCAAGGGGCTAGTAACCCCTTCTCCTGTATAAATTACTAAATTTGAAAAGAGAAACTTTTGTTTTTCTTTTTGGGCCACCCTGCCTTGGTGGGATATGGCCGGTTTGTTGAAAGAAAGAAAAAGATATTTATTTTTGTGCAGTGTGAGTAGTTGAGTAGTAGTGTATCAAGTTAGGTAAAAGGACAAGTGTAACTAATGCAGAATTTAATCGTGGCAGCATTTTGCTCTCTAGGAACTTTGTCAAGTTGACAAAGCTCCTGGAGAGCAAAATGTTGCCACAATAAAATGTCAGATTAGTTGCATGTGTCCAAAATTTTACCTAACATCTTGTTGGTAATTCTACCAACATTATTACAGAGTGTATCAGGTTGTCTTTGTTAGTGGGTTTTCTATAATTGCTTCAGTGGTATGGTAGTGTTTTATCATCATGGTATCAAGAAATGGGAGGGAGTCATCTGTTTTGTCCACCTTGATTTATTCACACATTCTGTTTACAGTATTTGTATCACTTGTATGCGAATGACATGATTAGCATAAAGCTCACAAAAGAATTTTTTTACAGTGAAAATAAAATGCATACTGGACTGATCACCCACGTTCTCTCCTTGGCTGGAGAATCTCCATTTGCAGGAGATCTAAACGTACAACAGAACATTCTCACAATAGCTTCAAACATTCTTGCAGGTGATTAAGTAGTCTTATCACTTACTGATGATATGGTTTGCAGAGAATAATGCTATCAGGTATGCAGAGCATGCATTTATTTGCACAATATTCTTATCATGTGCATGACTTGAAAACGACTACGCAGAGTGGAATGTTATCCAAATACTGGCTTGTTCTGCATACTTGTGGTTTTATTCACACAATTGATGATGTAACATCTTGTTAGCTGACATCTGATGATTAAGACACACTTGCAACAGTTGTGTGTGTTTATTGTTGAAACATTTTTGCCTACACAGTAGGCTTCTTCAGTCAAATATAGAGGCAGCAGGTGTAGTAGTGAAATGAAGATGATGTAATCAGTCCATCACCCTCACATGTGTCTTAATCATCAATTTGTCAGTATTTTATAAAATTATCAACTGCTTGCAAGAAATGTTGATGTCCTGTATAATGATATACAGTGGACCCCCGCATAACGATTACCTCCGAATGCGACCAATTATGTAAGTGTATTTATGTAAGTGCGTTTGTACGTGTATGTTTGGGGGTCTGAAATGGACTAATCTACTTCACAATATTTCTTATGGGAACAAATTCGGTCAGTACTGGCACCTGAACATACTTCTGGAGTGAAAAAATATCGTTAACCGGGGGTCCACTGTACTATATACATACCGTACTGCATTTATTAATGATCAGTGTCCTCTTCAGGTATTGCAATTGAAGTTTTAAGACAAGGCAGAGAAGACGTTGTAGGAGCTAAGGCACCATGGGCATTCTTAGGGGCATCGCAGGTACAAGTCAATATTATCAAATGTCTCTTACTGATATTTCAGCATCTGTATGTAGAATATTTTTACGAATAGTTACAGCATTACTGTATAGTGCAAAGTTTAAATGTGGGAAGGATGGGATTGCATGTGGCAGTAACTTAACCAAATTTAGATATTTTCATTCAGTATTTTTTAAGAGGCTTGTTGATATTTTAAGCATTTGGAGATTTAAGAAAAACAAGTTGTACATATTTTTAGTAAAGCATTTCATGAGAGTTTGAAATCCTATAATTCATTTTGATGTTTGTTTTGTGACACTTTGGTGAATTTGAGATTTTGCACTATGTTATTTAGAGTCTTTGTATGATTTGCTTTTCATTTCTGTGCTTGTTTATGTGTAATTAATTTTTTTTTGTAGGGTAAATCATTTTAAAGAACAAATATTATTTTGAAGTTTGGTCTGTTTTTTTGTAATAGGTAAATAATGTTTTCATGTTGGCCATTGTTTCAGGTGCTATCAGGACATCTTGTCCATATATGCATCTTATGTTTATTACTGATATTTAAATACCTACATAACCTGCACATAGACCGAAAAGTCATAATAAGCTTTTCTCTTTCCTATTTGTGTATTTGTTATTGTTCCAGTCATGGTATTGTGCCTTTTTCTTGATTTAAATACCCATATAGACTGTCTAGTAACTCGTTACTAAGAAAAGATCCTGCACTCATCACTAGGTGACTGCTGTGGCAGAGTGTGTTGTTCAGCACATCCTGCGTATACTATGTGTATACACCCATGTGTTGGAAGATATCTTACCAGGTTCAAGGCCTACACTTGCTCCTCTTACTCCACAGTCAACGCTTTCTCCAATTAAAGTAATTATAACAGCGAAGTACAATGCCTGCACTTTAAAGGAGGGGTTTGGGATATTGGCAGTTTAGCGGGACATCTAAACTGTCGTATCTGAGCTCCTCTTCAAAGACAGTGATTGTGTATGAGTGGTGGTGAAAGTGTTGAATGATGATGAAAGATTTTTTTCTTTCTTTTTGGGTTACCCTGCCTCAGTGGAAAACAGCTGATGTGTTAAAAAAAAAAAAACAGTGACCTGTTGCGTCTGCATGTCTCTGGCAAGACAGTGATAGTGTGAATGATGGTGAAAGTGTTTGTTTATTGGGTCGCCCTGCCTTGGTGGGAGACGACCAGCATATAAAAAAAAAAAAATATGCTGACCTCCATGTGTATGTGGTACTGTATAAAGCCATTTATGTTGTTATGCTATTTTATACTGTAATCATGTGTATTATTTTATTACTGTAATGAGGATGAGGAACAGGGCATAATTCCATTTTTGATATGTGGTGGGTAGTCAAATACAATTAGTTGTTCCCAGTTGTTGCTCTCTGCATGCAGTGTCGTTCTGATAATACCTTTGTAGTACCTTTCTGTATCTCCTTCCTGATATTCATGCACTTCTGAATTAAACTGCCTCAAGCCTCTTAACATTTTAATCTTACAGAGAAGATCAAGAGGAGAGACTACTGGTGACAAGAACCGCACACATTCACCTAGCAATGGAGAAAAACCTGGTAAGTAGCAACAAAGTGTATTACAAGCATTAATGAAAGACCACAATTTATTATTATTATTATTATTATTATTAACACATCGGCCATTTCCCACTAAGGCAGGGCGACCCAAAAAGGAAGAAACGCTTTCATCATCATTCACTTCATCACTGTCTTGCCAGGGGCATGCCTACACTACAGTCAAAAAGCTGTAACATATTAACACCCCTCCTTCAGATATGTTGCAGTTTTTTAACTGTAGTGTAGGTAGGGGGGGTGGGGATATTTACTGTTTGGAGGGTCATCTGAACTGTAGTATCTGCACTTCTCTGGCAAGACAGTGATAATATGGAAGTGTTTCTCTTTCGAGTCATCCTGCCTCAGTGGGAGACTGCCAGTGTGTTAAAAAGTAACAATAATAATAATAATTTAATATGGAAGTGGATTTCAACTTGGAAGATGTGCTCTGTCACTACACATCTGCTTTGATGACTTTTTTTGTGTTCTGTTTATTGTAATGTCGTACACAGATGGTGAAGAGAAGGAGAGGAAGCCGCTGAAACCTGGACCTATTGGAGCTTTCTCACACTTGCCAGAGTATATTAAAATGTATGATGTGCTCAAAAATGCTCACACAAATTATAAGGTAAACAAAAATAAGTTTTTTCTTACATTTGAAAGATTATATTTAATTTTGTTTGTTATAGTAAGAGTATATGTATATACATCCTCTCCTCACTCAGTGATGATGGGCTCTCTGACCAGTATGCATATCTAAATAATGTATATTAACCCCTTGACTGTCGCAATCCCAAATCCTGAGGTGTATCCTGGTGTCGCAAAATTCCCCCCCCCCCCCCCCCCCCAAAAAAAAAAAAAAATTGTTTCTTATGAAATGATAGAGAATCTTTTCCCGATTGTAATGACACCAAAAGAATGAAATATGATGGAAAACTGATGGAATTATGCTCTTGCAAAGTTAGCGACCTAGGCAATATTTACGAATCGGCGATTTCACCCACTTTGAGCCCTATTTTCGGCAAATTCCATTGTTCCAGTCGACCAGACTCATAACTATTTCTTTAGAACTCCATTTTTTCTATCGACTGAGTACAAGAAACTGCCCATTTACCGATTTCAACTACCCAATAGCGTGGTCAGAAATTTGCAATTTGGCCAATTTCACGAAAATTAAAAAATATCACAATTTCAAAATAGGGTCCAGAATGAACAATGCAGACATTCCTGGCTTTAAAATAACATTTTCTTTGTTCATCAGTCATGTCTCCAGGCCTCTCTGATATTACTCTTGCTTTCTATTTTGAATTTTTATTCAAACAAAAAATAGAAGATTTACTGTCATGCAGACTACTGCAATACTGTAATAATTGTATAAATAACATCAACCCATTCATGACTGCATATTAGAATGGCTACTACGACATTTATTGGAAAATGACATCATTTGTTTACTTTTGAACATCGGCAAAAATCAAACATTTCCCCTACTTTGAGCTCCATTTCTAGGGTCTTTTCATAGTAAAACCAATCAAAATTACTTCTATTTCTATAATATGTTTTCCATTCTATCAAATGAGACCAAGAAAATGATAATACAACCATAAATACTATACAAAAAAGGACCACAAAGTCGGCATTTTAATTAAAAAAAACGGTTGGAGTTTTTTTTTTTTCTCATTATGCACTGCGTGCTGCAGGATTTTTTTTATATGGTGCACCGCACAGACCCATTCTCTCACATGTGGGCCTACCAACTTTCTCCTGCTTGATTTGAAGCCACTTGCATTTATGAGTATATTTACTTCAAAAACGGTGGCTCGTAAGACATACATGTATATATACGACCGAAACAGTCAAAGGGTTAATCTGATTTCCTCTCATTTTGTTTATTACAATATACAGTACACTACCGTAAAAGCATTCAGAAATATACCAGAAATGTTATAAATGGTGCAAAGGTGACATTAAAACAGTATCAAAAATGGTTGACACAAACTCACTACCATTATACAGTGTGTCCACAAAAACACTCCTTGATTTCAAACAGGTATAACATGTAACTTTATTGTAATAATCTTTCACAGTAGTTTCAGATGCAGGATTTCATTCAGATTCTTGTGGTGTAGGGTAGCATTAAAGGCACTTGATGTGCGCCCCTCTGGTTGCTCGGCAAACATCGATGTAACAGTCCAGTTCAGTCCAGACGCTCTGCAGCATATCTGGTGTTATCATACGAACTGGTTCAGTGATTGAAATTTTCAGCTCCTCCAGGGTTGCCGGTAATGGTGGTACATAAACTGTGCTCTTTACATAATCCTAAAGAAAGAAGTCACAAGCAGTTAGGTCCGGTGACCTTGCAGGCCACTTGCAGAGGTCACTGGACCTAACTGTTTGTGACCACTACCTGCAACCCTGGAGGAGCTGAAAATTTCAATCATTGAAGCAGTTCCCATGATAACACCAGATGTGCTGCAGAGCATCTGGACTGAACTGGACTGTTACATCGATGTTTGCCGAGCAACCAGAGGGGCGCACATTAAGTGTCTTTAATGTTACCCTATACCACATGAAACTGAATGAAATCCTGCATCTGAAGCTACTAACTGTGAAAGATTATTACAATAAAGTTACATGTTATACCTTTTTGAAATCAGGGAGGATTTTTGCGGAGACCCTGTAGTATGCTCGTCACTCAGTGACTAATTTGTTTACCGACATGGTTTTAGGAACGCAACTCCGTCATTAAGTGAGGAGAAGCTGTAGTCTTGTCTGTGGGTATAGTAATAAAATATAACTATATATGCAGAGGAGAGAGAGAGATTTTGGGAGATGTTAAGTGAATGTATAGGAGCCTTTAAACCAAGTGAGAGAGTAATTGTGGTAGGGGACTTGAATGCTAAAGTAGGAGAAACTTTTAGAGAGGGTGTGGTAGGTAAGTTTGGGGTGCCAGGTGTAAATGATAATGGGAGCCCTTTGATTGAACTTTGTATAGAAAGGGGTTTAGTTATAGGTAATACATATTTTAAGAAAAAGAGGATAAATAAGTATACACGATATGATGTAGGGCGAAATGACAGTAGTTTGTTGGATTATGTATTGGTAGATAAAAGACTGTTGAGTAGACTTCAGGATGTACATGTTTATAGAGGGGCCACAGATATATCAGATCACTTTCTAGTTGTAGCTATACTGAGAGTAAAAGGTAGATGGGATACAAGGAGAATAGAAGCATCAGGGAAGAGAGAGGTGAAGGTTTATAAACTAAAAGAGGAGGCAGTTAGGGTAAGATATAAACAGCTATTGGAGGATAGATGGGCTAATGAGAGCATAGGCAATGGGTCGAAGAGGTATGGGGTAGGTTTAAAAATGTAGTGTTAGAGTGTTCAGCAGAAGTTTGTGGTTACAGGAAAGTGGGTGCAGGAGGGAAGAGGAGCGATTGGTGGAATGATGATGTAAAGAGAGTAGTAAGGGAGAAAAAGTTAGCATATGAGAAGTTTTTACAAAGTAGAAGTGATGCAAGGAGGGAAGAGTATATGGAGAAAAAGAGAGAAGTTAAGAGAGTGGTGAAGCAATGTAAAAAGAGAGCAAATGAGAGAGTGGGTGAGATGTTATCAACAAATTTTGTTGAAAATAAGAAAAAGTTTTGGAGTGAGATTAACAAGTTAAGAAAGCCTAGAGAACAAATGGATTTGTCAGTTAAAAATAGGAGAGGAGAGTTATTAAATGGAGAGTTAGAGGTATTGGGAAGATGGAAGGAATATTTTGAGGAATTGTTAAATGTTGATGAAGATAGGGAAGCTGTGATTTCGTGTATAGGGCAAGGAGGAATAACATCTTGTAGGAGTGAGGAAGAGCCAGTTGTGAGTGTGGGGAAGTTCGTGAGGCAGTAGGTAAAATGAAAGGGGGTAAGGCAGCCGGGATTGATGGGATAAAGATAGAAATGTTAAAAGCAGGTGGGGATATAGTTTTGGAGTGGTTGGTGCAATTATTAATAAATGTATGGAAGAGGGTAAGGTACCTAGGGATTGGCAGAGAGCATGCATAGTTCCTTTGTATAAAGGCAAAGGGGATAAAAGAGAGTGCAAAAATTATAGGGGGATAAGTCTGTTGAGTGTACCTGGTAAAGTGTATGGTAGAGTTATAATTGAAAGAATTAAGAGTAAGACGGAGAATAGGATAGCAGATGAACAAGGAGGCTTTAGGAAAGGTAGGGGGTGTGTGGACCAGGTGTTTACAGTGAAACATATAAGTGAACAGTATTTAGATAAGGCTAAAGAGGTCTTTGTGGCATTTATGGATTTGGAAAAGGCGTATGACAGGGTGGATAGGGGGGCAATGTGGCAGATGTTGCAAGTGTATGGTGTAGGAGGTAGGTTACTGAAAGCAGTGAAGAGTTTTTTACGAGGATAGTGAGGCTCAAGTTAGAGTATGTAGGAAAGAGGGAAATTTTTTCCCAGTAAAAGTAGGCCTTAGACAAGGATGTGTGATGTCACCGTGGTTGTTTAATATATTTATAGATGGGGTTGTAAGAGAAGTAAATGCGAGGGTTTTGGCAAGAGGCGTGGAGTTAAAAGATAAAGAATCACACACAAAGTGGGAGTTGTCACAGCTGCTCTTTGCTGATGACACTGTGCTCTTGGGAGATTCTGAAGAGAAGTTGCAGAGATTGGTGGATGAATTTGGTAGGGTGTGCAAAAGAAGAAAATTAAAGGTGAATACAGGAAAGAGTAAGGTTATGAGGATAACAAAAAGATTAGGTGATGAAAGATTGAATATCAGATTGGAGGGAGAGAGTATGGAGGAGGTGAACGTATTCAGATATTTGGGAGTGGACGTGTCAGCGGATGGGTCTATGAAAGATGAGGTGAATCATAGAATTGATGAGGGAAAAAGAGTGAGTGGTGCACTTAGGAGTCTGTGGAAACAAAGAACTTTGTCCTTGGAGGCAAAGAGGGGAATGTATGAGAGTATAGTTTTACCAACGCTCTTATATGGGTGTGAAGCGTGGGTGATGAATGTTGCAGCGAGGAGAAGGCTGGAGGCAGTGGAGATGTCATGTCTGAGGGCAATGTGTGGTGTGAATATAATGCAGAGAATTCGTAGTTTGGAAGTTAGGAGGAGGTGCGGGATTACCAAAACTGTTGTCCAGAGGGCTGAGGAAGGGTTGTTGAGGTGGTTCGGACATGTAGAGAGAATGGAGCGAAACAGAATGACTTCAAGAGTGTATCAGTCTGTAGTGGAAGGAAGGCGGGGTAGGGGTCGGCCTAGGAAGGGTTGGAGGGAGGGGGTAAAGGAGGTTTTGTGTGCGAGGGGCTTGGACTTCCAGCAGGCATGCGTGAGCGTGTTTGATGGGAGTGAATGGAGACAAATGGTTTTTAATACTTGACGTGCTGTTGGAGTGTGAGCAAAGTAACATTTATGAAGGGATTCAGGGAAACCGGCAGGCCGGACTTGAGTCCTGGAGATGGGAAGTACAGTGCCTGCACTCTGAAGGAGGGGTGTTAATGTTGCAGTTTAAAAACTGTAGTGTAAAGCACCCTTCTGGCAAGACAGTGATGGAGTGAATGATGGTGAAAGTTTTTCTTTTTCGGGCCACCCTGCCTTGGTGGGAATCGGCCGGTGTGATAATAATAATAATAATGTAAAGTTGGGTTTCAAATGCTGCTGTGAGGAGGCGGCTGGAGGCAGTGGAGATGCCCTATCTATGGGCAGTGTGTGGTGTACATATTATACAGAGAATTCGGAGTATGTAAATTAGGAGGAGGTATGGAGTTACTAAAAGTATTAGTCAGAGGGCTGAAGAGGGGTTGTTGAGGTGGTTTGGTCGTATAGAAAGAATGGAACAAAGTAGAATGACTTGGAGTACGTATAAATCTGTAGGGGAAGGAAGGCGGGGTAGGGGTCATCCTCGAAAAGGTTGCAGGGAGGGGGTAAAGGAGGTTTTGTGGGCGAGGGGCTTGGACTTCCAGCAAGCATGTGTGAGCATGTTAGATAGGAGTGAATGGAGACGAATGGTTTTTCGGACCTGACAAGCTGTTGGAGTGTGAGCAGGGTAATACATGTTTTGTGAAGGGATTCAGGGAAACCGGTTAGCGGGACTTGAGTCCTGGAAATGGGAAGTACAATGCCTACACTTTAAAGGAGGGGTTTGGGATATTGGCAGTTTGGGGGGGACTTTTAAACTGTCATATCTGAGCCCCTCTGCAAAGACGGTGATTATGTATGAGTGATGGTGAAAGTGTTGAATGATGATGAAAGTTTTTTCTTTCTGTTTGGGTTTTTCTTTCTTTTTGGGTCACCCTGCCTTGGTGGGAAACGGCCGACATGTTAAAAAAAAAAAGTGAAGTTATATGTAAAATTTTGAATGTAAACTAACTAAATTTAAAAAAGAATCAAATATTGTAAATAGTTTTTTGACAGAATATCTAATGTAATATGCAGCTGTAACCATTGAGAGGCACAAGAGGTAAATTTGATTTGAGAATGCTTTCCCGGACTAGGGGAATGGTAATAATTTGCTAATATAAAATATGTAAACTCTCCCAGATGTCCTTGGAAGATAGTACAACAGAAAAGGTCTGTGGATTGCTCAGAGTGGCCCTCACTAGCCTGGGGAGACTCTTGGAAGTGGCATCAATGGTAGAATTTGGGAAACTTGCCGATGAGATGCTTCAGTACCTGAAAGTCGTCACGTCTCTCCTTCCAACACTCACAGTGCAGTGTGGACAGCAGGTGAGTTGATTGTACAGTTAGCTGTTGCCAATTGATAACTGCAGTTTGATGAGTAAAAGACCAGGAGATGGAATACTCTACACAGGTGGCCCATTCTTATATTCAAGCTGTGTTCCTTGTTTTTTCCAACTCCTAAATGAATTGCATTCCTGGGTTTTTCAACCTAAAAATTAGATGTTTGTATAGAAAACTGATACAAAGGATGACAGTTTTAAAACACTAATTTTTAAAAAAATAAATGTTTTAAAACATTTATGTTTTAAAACATTTATGTTTTAAAACATTTATGTTTTAAAGCACAAATGTGTTTCTAGGTGTTCCCTGTTTGTAAGTGTGAGATGTGACTTGTGGGACCAATAATTTAAATGTGATTTAAGGTTTCTAAGAATTTTCTTTATTACTTCTAATTTATCTTCCTGTATACACCTACCATCCGACTTACGACCTGCTCGACTTACAACCACTCGATTTACGACCGTGTTTTTTATGCCAAATTTCTGGGAAATAAACGACTATTTGTGTTTGTACACAGTGTTTATCCTAAACCTTACAGTATAAAATACAATACTAACAACATAAAAAGTAAAGTAAAACATGAAATACCAAAATAAAACAATAAAATAAAAGTCATTACAAAAATGTTTTGTTGATATTCAGTAGTAAAGTTCGACTTACGACCATTTCGACTTACGACCTGTTTCTCGGAACCGAACTCGGTCGTAAGTCGGATGGTAGGTGTATTCTCATTGCCTTATTCTCTCTTAGCACTCCTTATCCTTTAGAGAGGTGGTAAATGTTCATAATTACTCACACATTTTAAATATAACTTTTAATAATAACAATAAGAATAAGAATAATAAAGATAATAATCTATCTTTGGAATGGTAGAGTAGATAAAAATAGTACAGTACAATAATAGCAAACTTCGAATTTACTGGTAAATAATTGTTAGGTTTCATAGTCCTGGAACAAATTAAGAGGATAAATTTAAGAGGAAAATGTTAGTATAGGAGTATAGAAAAATTTGAAGCACAGATTATTACAACACCTGTGGTTTGTAGGGGAAATATTTGATAAGTTGTTAATGGTACAGGATGGACCACAATGTTGCCTAAAGTTTCCTGAAGATTGAGACACTTATGCAGCATATGGGAATCTTTATTCAGGAAACGTTTCGCCACACAGTGGCTTCATCAGTCCAATACAAAGAGGAAGGCGTAAGGAGAGGAGGAGTATGAGGTAATCAGTCCCTCAGCCTGGAGTTGATGTGTTCAGTCCATCAATCTTGTAGAAGATTGATGGACTGAACACATCAACTCCTGGCTGAAGGACTGATTACCTCATACTCCTCCTCTCCTTACGCCTTCCTCTTTGTATTGGACTGATGAAGCCACTGTGTGGCGAAACGTTTCCTGAATAAAGATTCCCATATGCTGCATAAGTGTCTCAATCTTCAACTTGTCGGTTTTTCAAACCATTCATCACACTAAAGTTTCCTCTTGAGATTATGGTCTGGGTGTGAAGTGTTCAAGCTATGACATTATAACATTCATTCTACACAGACCATTACTGTGGTCTGGTGATAGGTCAAACAAATGGATGTGCTGGTTTAGTCTAACATCTGTGATATTGAACTGAAGTCTTAGGAAATGCTAGTAGCAGTGTCGATATGTTTCATTGTTTTTCAGCTTCTGAAGTGCTTGTTTGGTTCAAATGTGATGGCACTCTTTGACCAGCTATACCGCAAGGTTTCCGAGCCTGTGCCCCATGTGTCAACAGATACAGTTGGAAGCACAAACAAACGGGCAGTGGAGGAGCCTGATATTACTGGTCTCCATCATCTTTGTTTCAATATTCCACTGGTTGAACTGGAGAAAGACCTGAATGAAATGTCTGTGGCCAGGAAAGACAGTGACCAAATCAGGTTAGTGTGGTTACCTATTAATGTAAAGTGGATAATTATCTCTTTGGGTTTGAAGAGGGAAGGAGGTGGGTTGTTGGGATTTGACCTCTTGGGCCCAAGAATTAACTTCGCCATATATTCAATAGAGTCCATATATGAAGATAATGTTTGTTCTTATTAAAGTCATATTTTATAACAGATGTTGATTACAATTTTAGTTTTAGTCTGAGTCAACGGAAAGGAAGCACTAGTGTCTTCAAGACCCTGGGACGTGGTAATGATAAATTATCATTGAGTTCTTACATAAGACTTTTTGAACCATTGGTCATCAAGGCCTTGAAGGTGAGTCTTGCATATATATTTTTCATTTCCTACAATATATCTATAATTTGTTTCAGTAAAATAATACAGATGCTCCTTATGATGATTCGACCTATGATAGTGATGCACATTCTGTATTGTAAAATACTGTACATTTATTGGTGGGATAAACTTGTATTCATTGTTTGCTTTCAGTAAGGGTATTTATTTTATTTTTTTTTTTTTTCTCAACAAGTCGGCCGTCTCCCACAGAGGCAGGGTGACCCAAAAAAGAAAGAAAATCCCCAAAAAGTAAATGCTTTCATCATCATTCAACACTTTCACCATACTCACACATAATCACTGTTTTTGCAGAGGTGCTCAGAATACAACAGTTTAGAAGCATATACGTATAAAGATACACAACATATCCCTCCAAACTGCCAATATCCCAAACCCCTCCTTTAAAGTGCAGGCATTGTACTTCCCATTTCCAGGACTCAAGTCCGACTATATAAAATAGCCGGTTTCCCTGAATCCCTTCACTAAATATTACCCTGCTCACACTCCAACAGATTGTCAGGTCCCAAGTACCATTCGCCTCCATTTACTCCTATCTAACACGCTCATGCACGCCTGCTGGAAGTCCAAGCCCCTTACCCACAAAACCTCCTTTACCCCCTCTCTCCAACCCTTTCGAGGATGACCCCTACCTCGCCTTCCTTTCCCTATAGATTTATATGCTTTCCATGTCATTCTACTTTGATCCATTCTCTCTAAATGACCAAACCACCTCAACAACCCCTCTTCTGCCCTCTGACTAATGCTTTTATTAACTCCACACCTTTTCCTAATTTCCACACTCCGAATTTTCTGCATAATATTTACACCACACATTGCCCTTAGACAGGACATCTCCACTGCCTCCAACCGTCTCCTCGCTGCTGCATTTACCACCCAAGCTTCACACCCATACAAGAGTGTTGGTACTACTATACTTTCATACATTCCTTCTTTGCCTCCATAGATAACGTTTTTTGACTCCACATATACCTCAATGCACCACTCACCTTTTTTCCCTCATCAATTCTATGATTAACCTCATCCTTCATAAATCCATCCGCTGACACGTCAACTCCCAAGTATCTGAAAACATTCACTTCTTCCATACTCCACCTCCCCCAATTTGATATCCAGTTTTTATCTAAATCATTTGATACCCTCATCACCTTACTCTTTTCTATGTTCACTTTCAACTTTCTACCTTTGCACACATTCCCAAACTCATCCACTAACCTTTGCAATTTTTCTTTAGAATCTCCCATAAGCACAGTATCATCAGCAAAAAGTAACTGTGTTAATTCCCATTTTGAATTTGATTCCCCATAATTTAATCCCACCCCTCTCCCGAACACCCTAGCATTTACTTCTTTTACAACCCCATCTATAAATATATTAAACAACCATGGTGACATTACACATCCCTTTCTAAGACCTACTTTTACCGGGAAGTATTCTCCCTCTCTTCTACACACCCTAACCTGAGCCTCACTACAGTAATTATTTGATAATTTACTTATTTAGTGACAATAGTTACTTATTTACTTATAATATCATAATATCGTATCATAATAATATCATAATACAGTGGACCCCCGGTTAACGATATTTTTTCACTCCAGAAGTATGTTCAAGTGCCAGTACTGACCGAATTTGTTCCCATAAGAAATATTGTGAAGTAGATTAGTCCATTTCAGACCCCCAAACATACACGTACAAACGCACTTACATAAATACACTTACATAATTTGTCACATTCGGAGGTAATCGTTATGCGGGGGTCCACTGTATATCAAATTGGGGAGGAGGAGTATGGAAGATACTTGGGAGTTGATGTGTCAGTGGATGGATTTATGAAGGATGAGGTTAATCATAGAATTGATGAGGGAAAAAAGGTGAGTGGTGCGTTGAGGTATATATGGAGACAAAAAACGTTATCTATGGAGGCAAAGAAGGGAATATATGAAAGTATAGTAGTACCAACACTCTTATATGGGTGTGAAGCTTGGGTTGTCAATGCTGCAACAAGGAGGCAGGTGGAGGCAGTGGAGATGTCCTGTCTAAGGGCAATGTGTGGTGTAAATATTATGCAGAAATTTCAGAGTGTGGAAATTAGGAGAAGGTGTGGAGTTAATAAAAGTATTAGTCAGAGGGCTGAAGAGGGGTTGTTGAGGTGGTTTGGTCATTTAGAGAGAATGGATCAAAGTAGAATGACATGGAGAGCGTATAAATCTGTTGGGGAAGGAAGGCGGGGTAGGGGTCGTCCTCGAAAAGGTTAGAAGGAAGGGGTAAGGGAGGTTTTGTGTGTGATGGGCTTGGACTCCCAGCAGGCGTGCATGAGCGTTTTCGATAGGAGTGAATGGAGACGAATGGTATTTGGGACCTGACGATCTGTTTGAGTGTGAGCAGGGTAATATTTAGTGAAGGGATTCAGGGAAACCGGTTATTTTTATATAGCTAGACTTGAGTCCTGGAAATGGGAAGTACAATGCCTGCACTCTAAACGAGGGGTTCGGGATATTAGCAGTTTGGAGGGATATGTTATGTATCTTTATACGTATATGCTTCTAAACTGTTGTGTTCTGAGCACCTCTGCAAAAACAGGGATTATGTGTGAGTGAGGTGAAAGTGTTGAATGATGATGAAAGTATTTTCTTTTTGGGGATTTTCTTTCTTTTTGGGTCACCCTGCCTCGGTGGGAGACGGCTGACTTGTTAAAAAAAAACAATCATTTTCAACTTAGAATATTTTCAACTTATGATGGGTTCTTCAGAATGTAACCCCATTGTAAGTCAAGGAGCACCTGTATTGTTAACAGTACTTGATATGTCAGATTTCAGTGGGATAATTTTATCAATTAATTTTGTACATGAGGTGCAAGTGGTCTTACGGGAATTAATCTACCAACCCCACAGGCATGAGGCAGGCACACTAACCATTACAATACCACAACTAAATGAATTCTAACGAGAATATTTACCCAACCCTACGATATGGCCCCTTGGCTATTTGTCACCAAGTTCAAGTTTTGGCATGATTGTTTTATGTGCTATACTATCCTTTCCTCATATATCTAGACAAGTAGAGATAACCAGATGGTAGTTAGCCCTTTTCATCAGATTACCTTATAAGCTTTCCTATGTGAGGGATATTTATGTATATACCTCAGTGTGCATTGTAAAGTTCTTCTGATGTTAACTTTTGTCATGTACTCCAGTGCACTTCGATGTATGTCTGTGGTGTTAGGAGCTAGGTTTCAGTATGAATCCTCTCTGCTCATGACTCACAAAACTGTAATAACACGTTTGCTAACAAACCATGGATTGAGTGGGGTTTGAACCCATGGAGAACAAGTTTTAGGACTCACCATGGGTTTAAAGCCCACTCATTCTGTGGTCTCTGCTTATATTATTATTCTCACAAAAGTGTAAAATATCACTTTGTAAATGTACCTTTATTTAATTTAATGTTTATTTGTGTTTGCCAGCTGTATACAGTATCAAGTGATGTCATCATGCAGAGATCAGTCCTGCAGCTGCTGATCCACCTCGTACAAATTCGTGTCAACTATTGCCTTTTGGACTCCGATCAGATATTTATTGGTTATGTGATCAAGCAATTTGAATATATTGAAGAAGGACAAATCAAGTAAGTTTTTCATAGTATTACTATATGCAATATATTTTTATTGTTCTTCTTCTTTCTTTCAACACACTGGCCGTATCCCTCCAAGGCGGGGTGGCCCAAAAGGAAAACTGAAAGTTTCTCCTTTTACATTTAGTAATATATACAGGAGAAGGGGTTACTAGCCCCTTACTACTGGCATTTTAGTTGCCTCCTACAACACGCATGGCTTACGGAGGAAGAATTCTGTACCACTTCCCCATGAAGGTAAAAGGAAATGAACAAGAACAAGATCCTGAAAGAAAATAGAAGAAAACCCCGAGGGGTGTGTATATATATGCTTGTACATGTATGTGTAGTGTGACCTAAGTTTAAGTAGAAGTAGCAAGACGTACCTGAAATCTTGCATGTGTATGAGACAGAAAAAAAAAAAGACAACAGCAATCCTACCATCATGTAAAACAATTACAGGCTTCTGTTTTACACTCACTTGGCAGGACGGTAATGCCTTCCTGGGCGGTTGCTGTCTACCAACCTACTCCCTGTAGTTTTTATTGTTATATATATTTTTAATTACTGATATATGAAAAAGATTTAATTTTATCTGTATTGCCTCCAACTTATTTTTTATCATGCTCAAGGATTTATAGTTTAATTACATCATCTTTCAAATAATGCAGGGTGCTTCAAAAAGATGGACCCGATCGTGAAATATACTGCTTTGAAATTGGGTCCATCTTTTTTTGAAACACCCTGTATAATACTGAACTGAATTTTTGAGAGATTTTTAATTGTAAAGCAATTACAGTAAATTTTTTATCAGTGAAGATACCTAGTGTTATAAATGTGTCTTACTTATCAAACTTTCAGTTGTCTTGAATAATTCTCAGCTTATATGTTAATGAAAAGTTATAGCATTTTTAATGAGACATATAGAAAATCCTAGCATTTATGTTTCAGGCAGGCAGAGGAGTTGATTCCCTCCATGTTTCGGTTCCTAGTACTGCTGTCTTATGAGCGGCATCACAGCAAGAGTATCATTGGGGTTCCCAAGATAATTCAGCTTTGCGATGGTCTTATGGCTAGTGGTCAGCCTCCCCTATCTCACTGTAAGTGTTGTCACCTGCCTTGGAATGAGTTGTCCAGAGAGTGTTACTGAAACAAAGTACTGGAACATTGTTTTTTCATGATTATGTAATTAATTATGTAATTAATTAAGAGGGGTTTGGGATATTGGCAGTTTGGAGGGACATCTGAACTGTCATATCTGGGCACCTCTGCAAAGACAGTGAATATGTATGAGTGATGGTGAAAGTGTTGAATGATGACAAAAAAAATTTTCTTTCTGTTTGGGTCACCCTGCCTTGGTGGGAAATGGCCAATGTGTTAAAAAAAAAATTGTAATTAAGACAGAAAAATCCTTGCTTCATAAGAGGCAACTAAAATGCTGGGAGCCAGGGGCTAGTAGCCCCTTCTCCTGTATGAATTACTGAATTTAAAAAGAAGATAAACTGTTATTTTTTTTTTGGGTCACCCTGACTGGGTAGGAGACAGCCAATGTGTAAAAAAAAAAATTAATTCAGAGTACAGTTCATTAATCCCTAGAATTACCTTTTTCCGTTTTTTTATGCTAAGGTAGGATAACCTTCACCATCTTCATTCCTTAGCAGCTGTGCCAGAAGTGCATGGACATCACAGTTCAATTGATCTCGTAAACCACATCACCTCCGGTTGTAAATTTTATTGTAATATTGACAAGCTGTTGATTAGGACTGATGAAGTCACTTGTGTCAGAATGTTTCCTTTTAGTAAAAGTCTTGAACTGTATGTTAATAAATAATCGTCTTGAACTGTATATTAATAAACGTCTTGAACTGTACATTCTTTCTTGTCATGTATCAGGTGTATTGGCACTACAACCACTAGTGGAGGATCTCTTCTTGGTGCGGAGCACAACGAGTGTGACTGATCAACGTGAGCTTGAAACTCAACGAGAAGTCCTCTGCTCAATGCTCCTAAGACTTGCACATTATCACCAGGTAAGTTTCATTTTTTTCTTTCTACTTTTGTATAGGGGTATGTAAATTTATTCAGGTATACACAAATGTAGTCACATAGATTATCATACATAGCAGCATATGTGTAGAGAACCTAGGATAACCCAGAAAAGTCAGACAGAGTGATTTATTTCCATTGGGGTCCGTAATAAGTACACACAACAGTTTAAAACAGTAAATTTTTCCTCAGTAGAATAATATAATGACATACTAGAGAGAGTAGTGAGTGTTAAAACAACTGAAATTAAATTATTCTTTTATGGATTGAATACTGAAGCTAGGATACTATACCTCTGCCCTTGTAACCTGTAAATATAAATTGATAATCACAGTTAGGCAGGCACACAAGATGGCACTTGAAATATTATAACCTGTGTATAAAGTAACTCTCATCCTTACCATGTTTCCTGCATGAATAGTTCAGGGATGGGGTGAACATAGCTTCTATGTAGGATTGTTATGGACTATTTAAAAACATTACCTATTGAAAAACATACAGTATATAGATCCAGGAGTGGAGAGAAGCTCATGGTGTATTACCTGCATTCCCTCTGTGGAATACTGCTTGTGAGTCATCTCCATTCACTGAAGTATTACCTGGAGTTTACCTGGAGAGAGTTCCGGGGGTCAACGCCCCCGCGGCCCGGTCTGTGACCAGACCTCCTGGTGGATCAGAGCCTGATCAACCAGGCTGTTACTGTTGGGTGCATGCAAACCAACGTACGAGCCACAGCCCGGCTGGTCAGGAACCGACTTTAGGTGCTTGTCCAGTGCCAGCTTGAAGACTGCCAGGGGTCTGTAACCTCTTCTCCTGTATATATTACTAAATGTAAAAGGAGAAACTTTCGTTTTTCCTTTTGGGCCACCCCGCCTCGGTGGGATACGGCCGGTGTGTTGAAAGAAAGAAAGATTATATATATGAGCAAGGTAACATTTATGAAGGGATTCTGGGAAACTGGTCAGCCAGACTTGAGTCTTGAAGGTGGGAAGTACAATGACTGCACTCTGAAGGAGGGAAGGAGATATGTTGCAGTTTTTCAGTTGTATTATCAGCATGCCTCTGGCAAGACAGTGATGAAGTGAGTGATGATGAAAATGTTTCTTCTTTTTTTTGGGGTCACCCTTCCCTGGTGGGAAATGACCGATGTGTTAATTAATAAAAATGGGAAGAAACATCCCAGCATTTTTAATAATATGCTTGAATTATAAAGTGAGGTATATACTGTACCTTAGATGGTTTCACCAAATAATTTTACTGTCAGGTTCTTCGCCTTATCTCCCTGGTGTTAAGTGCTACAATGGAAGCTCACAGGGAGCGCTGGAGGAAGCTCTCACGACAAGTGATTGACACGCTGCTTCCACTCTTGTCCAAGTTGCAAGTTAATCTTGATTCCGTGGTAAGATGGCCTGAGCATCTGTAAGAGTTTAGAGAATAATTCAAAATTGCCAAGCTTTGTGACAGATGTATTCAAAAATAAAAGAAATTAAGAGAATTATTTGGTATAATGATGTAAAACTATTTTATATTCTGATGACAAAAGCAATTTCAGAAATTTTGAAGTAATGTTTTTTAAATTACTTTGTTCAATTTTTAGTAAGTAATAATATGTGTAGGGATATTTTGCAATAAATTAGGGAAGAACATGCATAAAACGCTCTGAAGTAGCAATGCAGCAACACTAATGCTCAGAATTATATTATTAATTAAGTACTTGACATTGAGGAATTGCATTGTACTGTATTTATTCTTTTTTTTTTATTATATACCGTAAATATATATACAGTGATGGAGCGAATGATGGTGAATGTTTCTTTTTTGGGTTACCTTGTCTTTGTGGGAGATTGCTGCTGCTGTGTTGAAATAAAAAATATACTGTGTACTGCACTGATTTTTAGTGCAATAATTCTGATATTTTTGCAGGATTCCCTTGCAGCCGTTGAAGAAGTAATGCATGGAGTGTGTGCCAGTGTGTATCGTCCTGTTGACTGTGTACTGAAGGCTCTCTTTACTTCTCCTTGTGAACTAGTGAGTATTGCACGAGTCATGTATGTATATTCCACGGGTGACTGTTATATAAATCATAAAGGCGCCTGTCCCTTGATTTGCATGGTAGATGCATTTCTGAAAAGTTCCACTTAAGGTGAGTTGTTGTGATTAGTTATGATTCTTTCTGACTGGTAAAGGTGAACTTCACGTGAATTTTGGCAATGTTTATGTGTGTAAAAAACAAAAACTTGGTTTATCATTATATTTGTATTTTTACATGCATAAATCATTTTTGAGACAATTCTTTACCAAAATTCAGATATTGTTTTCTCAAAAATTTTAAGTATGTTCAAAGACTTGAATACCTGCAAGCTTATTTAACGAACAGTTAAGCACATTGTGGCCGAGCAAGTATAATGTGGGCTCACATCATTCACTTACTCGACATACACAACACTAGGTACCATTTAAGCAAACCATTCATGCCACTTTATAGACAAAGACAAGACACAGATTTATTACAGCATAATACAAGGTTTGTACAGAGATCGGTGACATTTGGGTGTGCATGCAGAAAGCCCATAGTTATGCAGAGCGTTTCGTGCAAGCTAAAGAGAGTTTGAATAATTTATTGTTCTGAGTTCAGTGCTTTTCTCATCAATAGATGTTGAATAAACCAGGCTTGCCTGTACAGTTCTCTAATTAGATAAATATATTTTAATGTATGCTTTGAAATATAAATTCACTAGATTTATTGTTCTTGAAATATTAGGGATGGTATAAATGGAATAATAAATTTTCCTACATTAGCTCTTTTCTTGCAGGAGACTACAGTGGGTGTAGAGAGATGGGTGGGCAGTGTGTTGCTGCTGCTTCGTATTCTTATAACCCACTCTACCCCGGAGTTGGTGCTGGCACGCCTAGAAGAGCTGGGCCTCAGTATGGACTATATACATACTGAAACACCTGCAGACGTTGTTCCTACAGAGGCTTCCTTAGCGCCAGAGGCTGTACAACGACAGGTTACAGATTCGTCAATTCGTTTTAGAGATCCTCTGAATGTTACCCAACCAGAAACTCTTCCGCAAGTAGCCATGGCCAGGTAATACACTACTTTTGTTTAATATTGTAGTGAAAAAGTGCTGTTGTATTCATAGATCAAGAATAGGCATATGAGAGGATCAGTCGTGGAATAGACAGTAAGCTGTCAGTGTAAAATGTGTTTATGAGGTTCATGAGGCACTTGCTGAAAAAGGGATGGATACCTTCTGGTGAGAGTGGAAAACTTAGAGAGTGCATAAGGAAATAGTTTTCGTGAGAATTGAAGGGTATTGTAGTAGAGAAAAGATTTGAGATATTTATAAAATTGAACATTTGTAACAATACTAGAAATACCAACAAAATATTAGGTAAATGGACACAGATGCAACTAATGGGACATTTTATTGTGGCAGTGTTTTGCTCCTCAGGAGCTTTGTCATGCTGTTATGGCTTGAGAGAGCTCCTGGAGAGTGAAATGTTGCCACAATAAAATGTCACATTAGTTGCATCTGTGTCCATTTACCTAACAAAACTGAACATCTTAGTGACCAGTATGGTGTGGTTATAAAACAAATTACACTCAAAATATGTACTGTACACTTATCATTTCTTGATAATATATGCAGATTTTTGCTGGAGGTTGTTCGTGTGAGTGTTAGTGAGATCAGAAGTGTGCGGCTCACCCTGCTGAACAGTGGACTACCTCCGGAAGGTGGAGGTGGACATCATTCTCCTGATATGTTGGTTCATCTGTCACACCACTTGCTGCTCACTCTCTTGCATCTGACCCTCTCAGGTGGGATGTAGTGCAGATCACTTGTTAAATTAGAGTCTCACAACTCACGAAATCATAGTAACATGATTGCAAACAATTCATGGAATGGGTGGTGCTTAAACTCCTGGCAGGCGAAGCTCACTCATTCCATGATTTGGAGCCTCATCTTTCTTGAGTTGAAAGACTCTATAGCTTATGTTTTTTAATTACAAATTAATTATCTTGTTTTCATACATTTTATTTGTAATATTAGTTATATTAATATAACTAATTCACACTGTAGTATAACATTATGCAGTGTGACTAAAATAAAATGTATTGCAGTGCATGTCATATCTCAACTTACTTATTTTTATTACCCTTAGGTCAGTGGAGAGAAGTGATAATTTCACTGAAGGACATTTGTAGCAGGGAAGTTGAATTAGCTGAAGAAATTAGTGAAGCTCTGCTCTTTGTATCAGGCTGGTATCCTCCCCTCACACTGCTCTGGTGCAAGCTACTCACCTGTCTTGATCTCACTTCCCAGAACCTATGGACCCGTGTGCTCAGAACCTGCCAGAGAAAATCAGTCACTAGTGTAAGGTGGGTTGGTGAAGCTTCTTTATCTTCAGTTAATAAAAACTACTTTATTAATTAATTTGTTACATGGAAACAAGGAAAATCTTCTTGAGTGAATTTTATTAAGTTATTGCACACAGGCTAATAAAAATGAATTAATATTTTTGCAGTAGTTCTGTTGTGAGTGAAGCAAGTGGACCTTCTAGCTGCTTGTCTTTAGAATTCTTAAGAAGATGTGGGCTTCTTGTGTTCTCAGAATTTGTGGTAAGTTAAAGCTAGCTTCTTGGAATCAGATTAATTATGTTGCCCTTATATGATTGCGTAAATTTTTAATGAAAACACAAATAACCTGCAGATAGAACTAAAATTATGATGATGTTTCAGTCCGGCTTGGATCATTTACTAGTTAATGCTCCAAGTTGGACCAAAATGTCGTAAGTTTCATTCTCCTACGTGCGAGTTATTTGTGTATTATTCCAGTCATGGTATTGTGCTTTTCTATTCTTTAATGAATGTTTTCAATGTTCAAGGTAATTTGCTCATGTAGCTAATTACTCAGGCAACTAAAATGCCAGGAGCAAGGGGCTTTTGTTTTTCTTTATGGGCCACCCTGCCTTGGTGGGATATGGCTGGTGCATTGAAAGAAGAAGCTAATTACTTTTATTACACTCATAATTAGGCTGTAGGGACATTACTCTTCTCCAGTAGATACCTAGTTATTTACAACTGTTTATTTTTTACATGTTTAATATCTTAGAGAAAAAATCTTGATGCTGGTGAAGGGCACTTGACCCAAGGAATTAAATGTACCCTTCCTCTCCTTGGATTAGACCTGATTACCCTCTGTTCTCCAGATACTGTATGACCCCTACAGATGTAAAGCTTTCCCATGAATGTAATTGAAAACATTTCTTGTTTAAGGTCACCTTACCTCAGCGAGAGATGACTGGGGTGTTAAAAAAAAATCTGCACGTTTTCAGTTCCTGTGGGTGAATCATGCTTTTGATTTTTCCCCACAGGTTCGTCACATGCAGGAAGGAGAGTGGTTAACTTGGCTCGTTGTGCAGCACATAAGTGATGTGGTTATTCTCCATGTGGAGCCACCGATTCATACGCTCATTCAGTCCATCCATGGATCTCCAGCAGCCTCAGCACTTCTCATTCAGGCCATCCACGCTCGCTGTGAATATGTCCAAAAGGTAGAAACTGATTAACTCAAAGTGCTTAAAATTTCTGAAATTCCTTATGTTACCTGTGGATGTGTGTGTTTTCAGGCAGAAGACTGAATTTTAATGTGTTGTAATGTAGTCATAATGACTCTATACTTGTTTTCAGGCAGAGTATGGTGGGCACATAATTTCACTGGTGTCAGGAGTTCATATATCACAGTCGGGAGCACTTATAACCTTCATAGTGGAGCGGCTGCTAGCACTGCCGTACTTAGTAGTGACGCGGGCTGCCTGTGCATTGGCCACTCAGCGATTGCACCTCTTGCTAGCCATGCCTCCGGGACAAGTTCTGATTCAGCTTCCTCTGGAAGATCTTACCAAAATTTCTAGTTATATGAAGGAAAATAACCTTGAGAAACGGTAAGTTATTAGCAAAGTTTTTTCATTGCCTCGATTTCCATTTATTGTACAGTAAAACTGCAGTTTACCTGATTGATAAATTTGAATTCAGCAAGATGTGATTGAAAAAAATTTAATTATAATCTGATTTGCATGGAAAAGGAAATGTGAGTAATTCACCATAAATTACAAAAAAAAGAAGCATTATGGAATTGAGTAACTCATAATAACATGAATGGCCACATGGTAGAATATTGTCTCTCCAGACCTGTAGGTGACTCCATTGTCTTTTTGGGGGAGGCCAGTCATCACCAATTGTCCTCTTCCCACCCGTACTATGTTTATCAAAGGGTTATGGATATTTTCATCAACCTGTCACATCTCTGAATATTACCCATGGCACCCAGAAAAATGCTGTACTGCTAGTGATGCTGAAGGTGCCAAAAAGAAAGTTAAGTATGAAACTCTGACAGGGTGGGAGGCAGTTTTGATGGTGGTTACTGTTACTGCCCTCCATGTTTGTACTAGTAATGTACAGGGATATATTAACTCTCTCCACACACTTGCAGATCATCAAAAGTAGCAACCAGACTATAAGATAAAAGAGATTGTTGCTTCTTTTGAATTTTTAAAGCTATTTTCCAAAAAATTTGTTTGGCTTTTTTTGAAGTTTTAGGAACACAGCCATAATTTTCCCATATGTTCCTCACTTCAGTTAGTACTAATTTAGGTGAAAAGTTGATTCTCAGGAACATAACCCATGTGTTAACTTGATTTTACTGTAAAAACAAAATCTTTTCCTTTTAAAAATGGTTAATATAAGCATAGTATAGCCAGAATTTTGTACAATATTCACCCTGCCTCGGTGGGAGACGGCCGACTTGTTGAAAAAAAAAAAAAAAAAAAATCCAATAACTAGATGCCTATGGTCATTCCAGTAATACAGTTTGATATATTCAGAATATTGATAGTTTATATGGAATTGATTGTTATTTGTTGTGTAGATAAACTTTTTAAATTGCAGATATGGGCAGTTGTATGGCCTACTACAACGGCTCTTGAACCAGGTCCATGGTGTCCATGTTCCTCAGAGCAGTGAGGCCTCATTACCCACTCAGTACCACCATAGTCCAACAACTACCACTACTCGTTTAGATCTCAACTGGTACCTGCAACTTGTAAGAAACAGGTAAATACTTCTTTTTAGCAAACCAGTTGTATCCCACCAAAGCAGGGTGACCCAAAAAGAAAAACAAAAGTCTTTCTTTTTACATTTAGTAATTTATGCAGGAGAAGAGGTTACTAGCCCCTTGCTCAAACAGGTAAATATTTTCTAAATTGTTTTATAAGCAGGTTAATCAGAGGTAAAGGAAATTCTTCGATGCTGGTGGAGGACTTCTTTCAGAGATCTGATGTTGTTCTGATCTTCCTTGGATCAAACCTGATTGCCTCCTGTTTCCAGACACTACACAGCCCAATGGCAGTGAACATAATAATTATTTGCTGTATTTGAATAGTAAGAGTTTGAACAGAATTTGTAATTTTCAATGTATGGAAGATGGAGGAGCATAAGAAAGAAGGAGCATTGCAGCAGACCTACTGGTCCAAGCTAGGCAAGTCCAGCTCACACCCAAGAATCCTTTTGAGCCTTAATTCATAGCTTTCATACTTATCTTATTAAGAATTATCTTATTTGAGGATTAAAATATTGTATATACACTACTAACTATTTTTAATAATAATAGCAATTGTATCAGTATTGATAATGATGTTATAGTAGATCACTGACAATACTTAGCACATACTATATATTTTTCTTTCAACAAATCAGCCGTATCCTACCGATGGGGGGGGGGGGGCTCGAAAGGAAAAATGAAAGTTTCTCCTTTAAAAAAAGGAGAAACTTTCATTTTTCCTTTCGAGCCCCCTCCCCCCCCCTTTGCTCCTGGCATTTTAGTCGCCTCGTATGACACTCATGGCTTACGAAGGAAGAATTCTGTTCCACTTTCCCATGGAGATGTGGAACAGAATATGATATATGTGCTGTATATATAAGTGCAGTGATAAATATGTAGAGACAAAATATGTAAAGATGGTTGGATTGGTTTTGCAGATGTATGCAGGGAGAAGGAGGTGGGCTGGAGTGTGGCCAGCTGTTGAGTCAGCTGGAGTATAGTGAAATTATCAACATTATGTCTGGGAAAACATTCAATGCTGCCATGCTGACACACACCCTGAGATTGGGACTTACCACTACCCTACAGGTACTTGTACACTGTATATATTTATTACAAAAGTATTGATCATAATACTCTTTAAAATTTAAGAGTGATTATGCATTACAGTAGATCATTGATTATTTTGCCCCTTTGGCAGGAGTGGGTGCTAGACTGCTGGGTAATTTTGGAAGCCAGATAACCAATCACCAAATAATACTGGACAATAACAAATGAATATAAATGATTGTTTGTGTGGCCTCTGCCATTTCCCAATTATTTGTTGGTCCTTCTGTTTTTTTTTGTGGTTCTCATGAGCAGTTGTTTGATATTAATATCTAATGATAATTCGGTCTGGTATCTGTCACTTTGTTATGTAAATGGTTCAGAAAACTGACAGGTTGATGAATGAGACACTCGTGCAACACTTGGGTATCTTTATCGTGGAAACATTTTGCCAACCATTGGCTTCCTCTGCCACTGAGGAAGCCAACTGGCAGTTGTGAGCTTTAGGAATCACTTACCATGAGTTCAAGCCCCACCCATTCTGTGATTTAGTGTAATAGTGTGTCTTTATGTAAAATATTTTGAAAATAGTCATATGAACAGGGGCAGTACCAGGGAAAAGAGGGGATGAAGCACTCAAAAATTCTAGCTTTTCAAAGCTTCCCTAATAAAAACATTAATGCTGGTTCAAGTCCCCTTAGACCCCTCGTCCAACTAAACTGCCACCCCTAAGCCTCTCCTATATAAAACTTCTGGAGCCACCCCTGAATACAAACTCATTTACCAATACTACACAAATAACCCAGGTATATATAGTAGAAAGAAGCATATGATAATGTTTTGGTCCACTTCTTTCTCTTATGGGCAGGTTTTTTGTGTATTCCAGTCAGGGTATTGTACATTTTTATTCTTTATTTACAAATATTCTTTTTAATTATGTTATTGATTATTTTAATATAAAATACCAGGCCAACAGAGACTGGGGTGATTGTAACAGTTCAGTGGAGACAGGTGACAGTGAAGAGTGCAGCAGTGGTAGTGGCACTGGGGAAGCTCCCTTGTACACTGCCAGCAAAGTAATATTGCTTCAACATCTAGCCCAGGTTGCTGGCTCCTTACCACGCCCACATCACACCTTCACCCCAGGTATGATTCACTAATGAATATTCCAAGCAGTGAGTACAGCCTCTCTTAACTTAGAGACGTACTCATTTACCGACACCTCAGACTTACGACAGGCTCTCTGACCAGTATTCATTTTTTTTTTCAACAGACTGACCGTATCCCACTAAGGCAGGGTGGTCCAAAAAGAAAAACGAAAGTTTCTCTTTTTAAATTTAGTAATTTGTACAAGAGAAGGGATTACTAGCCCCTTGCCCCCGGCATTTTAGTCACCTCTTACAACACGCATGGCTTACGGAGGAAGAATTCTGTTCCACTTCCCCATGGAGATAAGAGGAAATAAACAAGAATAAGCACTAGAAAGAAAATAGAAGAAAACCCAGAGGGGGTGTGTATATACAGTGGACCCCCGGTTAACGATATTTTTTCACTCCAGAAGTATGTTCAGGTGCCAGTACTGACCGAATTTGTTCCCATAAGAAATATTGTGAAGTAGATTAGTCCATTTCAGACCCCCAAACATACACGTACAAACGCACTTACATAAATACACTTACATAATTGGTCGCATTCGGAGATAATCGTTATGCGGGGGTCCACTGTATATGCTTGTATACATGTATGTGTAGTGTGACCTAAGTGTAAGAAGAAGTAGCAAGATGTACCTGGGCGGTTGCTGTCTACCAACCTACTACCTATAAAACCAGTATTCATATCTAAATAATGTATATTAGAGCTGATTTCCTCTATTCTGTTTATTTCAATGTACAGTACACTACTGTATAAACATTTAAAAATATGCCAGAAATGTTGTTATAAATAGTGCAAAGGTGACATAAAAACAATATCAGAGATGATTGACACAAACTCACTACCATTATAGTATGCTCCTCACTTAGCGACAAATTTGTTTAACAAGGTGGTCTCAGGAACGGAACTCCGTTGTTAAGTGAGGAGAGGCTGTATTATATCATAACGTTGATAGTGTACCTAGGTAGTAGGTTGGTAGACAGCAGTCACCCAGAGAGGTACTACCGTCCTGCCAAGTGAGAGTAAAATGGAAGCCTGTAATTGTTTTACATGATGGTAGGTTTGCTGGTGTCTTTTTTTTCATCTCATAAACATGAAAGATTTCAGGCATGTCTCACTACTTCTACTTACACTTAGGTCACACTACACATGCATGTACAAGCATATATATACAAACACATCTCTGGGTTTTCTTCTATCTTACTAGTTCTTGTTCTTGTTTATTTCCTCTTACCTCCATGAGGAAGTGGAACAGACTTATTCCTACGTAAGCCATGCGTGTCGTAAGAGGCGACTAACATGCCAGGAGCAAGGAGCTAGTAACCCCTTCTCCTGTATACATTACTAAAGTTAAAAAGAGAGACTTTCGTTTTTCTTTTTTGGGCCACCCTGCCTCAGTGGGATATGGCTGGTATGTTGAAAGAAGTAGTTAATAGTGTATAGTACAGTGGACCCCCGGTTTACGATCAGCTCCCAATGCGACCAATTATGTAAGTGTATTTATGTACGTGCGTTCGTATGTGTATGTTTGGGGGTCTGAAATGGACTAATCTAATTCACAATATTCCTTATGGAAACAAATTTGGTCAGTACTGGCACCTGAACATACTTCTGGAATGAAATAATATCGTAAACCGGGGGTCCACTGTACTTATAAGCTGGTGAATAAGACACGTGCAACACTTAGGGTATCTTTATTTTGATATAGAGATACCCCAGGTATTGTCTTAGTTCATCATCGAATATTATTTCTTAGCAGTTCATGAAGAATAAAAGTCACATGGGTGGAACAGTTCACTGCTGTCTCACATTCTGAGGTTTCACTTACAAACCACAGTTTATAAGTGATACTTTAGGTGATGTTCTGGACCTGGTCCTGGGTCGTTTTCAAGTCACTTGTGACTTTATAATGGTCTGAGATGGTCTAAAACTTTTTCTAATGTTTTAACTCAAAATTTTGGGGTAGTTGTGAATTTGCAGTTCACTTTCATTTGTAACCTTTAAACATGTGTGGCTGAAAATAAAATCACATTAAATAATCAAGTCTCTCCTTGAGATATTTTCAGGGTAAATTTTTTGTGTTGCAAACACTGTATCAAAATTTATTTTCCTCATTAGTTGAAGGTCTGATGGTGTTCAAAAACTTAAAATAAGTATTAATTTATGTACAGTATATGGAATACAGTTTTCTTAAATTGGCTTTCCAGGTAATCTACAAAATGGGTTCAATATACTTTATAAAAAATTATATTTAGCAAAAAATCTTCAGCCAGAGATTGATGCTTTTATTTGCCAAGGAAACAAAATGTGTAACTTTAAATTTAGTTTTGTCATGCAAATAATGATTTTCTAATTATCAAGTTTATCATTTACTGACATGTATTTTCAATAGCCTTAATGATGATGTTATTTTTTATACATGCACACCTGCAAACCCAGAAAATTTATAACCATTCAAAAGGTATTTTAGGTAAATAATGGATGACTATCACAAGCTGGAAATTTTTGATAAAATGTTAACTAATTAAGCTATTATCATAGAGTATTTTACTTTCTTTCATCAGCACTTATCTCTTCTCAGGTGGAGGAAACAAATACAGTGAGCGAGTGTGCAAGCTGCTGTCTGGCGACGATGGTATTGGTAGTGTGGTGGATACACTGGCTCCAGCTGTAGTGGAGTACCTTACTTCAATGACACGTCTTCCCTGGGGTGCCCAGGTCTTGCCGGACAACTCGGAGCATATACTGCGGTTTGCTCTCTTGGCTATGGAGGTGAGTCACGTATATTGGTGGAGGATGGATAAAAACGTTGCAGTACTGTGGCTAGAACAAATCACAAATAACCCACACTTAGAAAAAGAAAACTTATGAAGTTTTTGTCCATTCTGTACCTTTTCAAGTCACAGTTATCTTCTGACCTATGCACTGCTGGAGGCAGTGGAGATGTCATGTCTGAGGGCAATGTGTGGTGTGAATATAATGCAGAGAATTCGTAGTTTGGAAGTTAGGAGGAGGTGCGGGATTACCAAAACTGTTGTCCAGAGGGCTGAGGAAGGGTTGTTGAGGTGGTTCGGACATGTAGAGAGAATGGAGCGAAACAGAATGACTTCAAGAGTGTATCAGTCTGTAGTGGAAGGAAGGCGGGGTAGGGGTCGGCCTAGGAAGGGTTGGAGGGAGGGGGTAAAGGAGGTTTTGTGTGCGAGGGGCTTGGACTTCCAGCAGGCATGCGTGAGCGTGTTTGATAGGAGTGAATGGAGACAAATGGTTTTTAATACTTGACGTGCTGTTGGAGTGTGAGCAAAGTAACATTTATGAAGGGATTCAGGGAAACCGGCAGGCCGGACTTGAGTCCTGGAGATGGGAAGTACAGTGCCTGCACTCTGAAGGAGGGGTGTTAATGTTGCAGTTCAAAAACTGTAGTGTAAAGCACCCTTCTGGCAAGACAGTGATGGAGTGAATGATGGTGAAAGTTTTTCTTTTTCGGGCCACCCTGCCTTGGTGGGAATCGGCCGGTGTGATAATAAAAATAAAAAAAATAATAATAATAATAATATCTTTATTTCTACAAGTACATGTACAAGGTATACAGGCCTAGCCACATGTTATGCAGAGGATTTCCCGGAAATTGGGTCAGTTTTGTCCCAAGATGTGATCCACACCAGTCGACTAACACCCAGGTACCCATTATTACTGACGGGTGAACATAGACAACCGGTGTAAGGAAACATGTCCATGTTTCCATCCCTTCACTGGGAATCAAACCCAGACCCTCACCACGTGAAGCAAGAGCTTTTGCCACCAGGTCACGGGGAACTGTGTTGCTTGGGCGTTCCTTGACAATGGTTCAGGATGAACCACACTGTCGTCATGAGTTCATTTAATCGCAGGTTATTTGTGATTATTGGAAGAGCTTCAAGTTTTACAAGATGCTGAACTTCTGTTGTACAAGTGGGTGTAGTATTAAGTATACTAGCCTCGATCCAGCTTCATTTATTCACTTGTATTGCATACTTTATTTCAAGATTTTTTAAAATATTACATACAATGGTAGGGTAGTGGTGGGGTAGGTTGGAGGGGAGGGGGGTAAAAGAGGGCTTGGACTTTCAGCAAGCGTGCGTGAGCGTGTTAGATAGGAGTGAATGGAAACATGGTTTTTGGGACCTAACAAGCTGTTGGAGTGTGAACAGGGTAATATTTTGTGAAGGGATTCAGGGAAACCAGTTAGCCAGATTTGGATCCTAGAAGTGAGAAGTACAATGCCTGCACTTTAAAGGAAGGGTTTGGGATATTGGCAGTTTGGAGGGACATCTAAACTGTTGTATCTGAGTGCCTCTGCAAAGACAGTGATTATGTATGAGTGATGGTGAAAGTGTTGAATGATGACGAAAGTGTTTTCTTTCTTTTTGGGTCACCCTGCCTCGGTGGGAAATGGCCAATGTGTTAAAAAAAAAAAAAATGGAACATTGCAGGTGGTTTGATTGGGAAAAAGTGCTGTGATAAATCAAGTGTTGGGTTTATCTGCAGCCATTTGAGAATGGATATCAAGACCTCAAGATTTAAGCTTTAAATGCCAATACTTCACCTAACCTTACATAACACAATACACTCTGGTGCTCGATAAGGCATACAGATATTTGTGAATGAGTAATATAGTGCCTACTACTTGATTGCTGCTTAGCAAAATACACTACTAGCAAAACTTAATCACACATCCCTACATGGTTATGACCTTCAGCATATTAGCCTCATATGTTGTATAACATATAAGGATTGCTTTTTGGCTAATGTTAAATCACATAGGTAGTATTATATTTGTGATTAATTTTGGTATGAAAGTTTTTCTTGAAACTTTTTTTCTACTCAAGGGTTAATCATCTTTACATAGTTTTTAAAAGTTTCCTCTTCGAAATTTTTGCATTCTAAAACCCTTGAAACATTTCAGTATCTGCACTGGCAAGTTTGGCTAGGCAGTGTGAGTGTTGAGGTAGCCAGTCTGTGCCTAAACTGTGTGGATGCTGTCTTGCGTTGTGGTACTTTATCCGGCCTGTTGGGTCTACCTGACCGGATATCTTATGTCTGTTCTATGGTGGCCGCCCTTCATGCTGCTGCCTCTTATCTCGTCAAACCTAGAGCACTTCCAAGGTATGTTAATGTTTCTTTTGCTTATCAACTGTGATAACCAAAGAGAATAACTGCAGTGTATACATTTAGGTAATTGAATACTGCACTAGATGAAGAAATGTTATGCAGCATAATATAGAAATCAGAGGTAATAAGCAAAAAACAAAATGTAAATTTAGATGTGTTGGAACTGAAGGTTTATTACAATACTGTATTTACTCCTAACATTCAGGAGTAAAATGCATTTGTAATAAAACAGGAGATTAGAATGTTTTGAGTGTTGGGGCCTTGAACATGCAGAAGACTTGTGTGAGCGTGTTAGATGGCAATGAGTGGAGGCAGGTGGCTTTTATGACCTGATGTGCTGTTGGAATGTAAGCAGGGTAACGTTTATGATTTTTTTTTTTATTAACACATCAGCCATTTCCCACCAAGGTAGGGTGGCTCAAAAAAGAAAAGCTTTTGCCATCATTCACTCCATCACTGTCTTACCAGAGGCATGCTTATACTACACTTATAACACTGCAACATTAATGAGACTTGAGTTCAGGAGGCAGGAAAATACACTGTCTGCACTCTGAAGAAGGGTGGAAATGTTGCAGTTCAGAGGGCCATCTCTGAACTGTGATGTCAGCATTCTTCTGGCAAGAGAGCCATTGAATGAATGATGGTGATGTGTTTCCTCTTTTTTTTTTTTCTGGGTCACTACATCAATGGGATGTGGCAGATGTATTAAAAAAATGTTAGGAAAAGTGTGAGTGATTTATGTATGCTGTGAATAAAAATTTTTAATAATTTAGCTTTTTCTCTTAGTCTTCCACCCAGCTTGACCCAGTGTCTAAATGGAGTAGAGAGCAGCCTGCTGGTGGCTTGTCGAAGACTCATGCAGCTGGTGTCATGGCTGGAGGCTGGCAACTTGCGGCATCTTCCAGCTTGTATTGCTTACCCAATCAGGTTAGAAACTCATAGCATAATTCATGCAACTTACCCTCGATCCCAACCCTTCAGGGGAATTTCCTTGATGCTGATGAAGGCCCCTTGATTGGAACCACCCTTCCCTTCCTTGGATCACACCAGATTACCTCCTATTTTCCAGGTGTTGTATGACTCATGTGGGTTTAGCACTACCCCAGAATACTACTACTACTACTATCAACAAACCGGCTGTATCCCACTGAGGCAGGGTGACCCAAAAAGAAAAACAAAAGTTTCTCTTTTTAACTTCAGTGATGTATACAGGAGAAGGGATTACCAGCCCACACATGGCTTACGGAGGAAGAATTCTGTTCTACTTCGAAGCCCCATGGAGAAATACTGCTACTATTAGTACTGATAATAATCTTCTCCATGGGAAAATGGAATAGAATTCTTCCTTTGTAAGCCATGTGTGTCATAAGAAGCAACTAAAATGTTGGGAGTAAAGGGCTAGTAAACCCTTCTCCAGTATACGTTACTAAATTTAAAAAGAGAAACTTTTGCTTTTCTTTTTGGGTCACCCTGCTCAGTGGGATATTTCCGATTTGTTGAAAAAAAAAATCATCTTAGGCACTCATTTTTTATTAAATATTGTATGTAATATTTGCATTTGTGTTATAAAACCAAGCAAGATTTTTCATGACGTAGATTTGTATAAATAGTTAATGTATGATATTTATAGTACTTTTTGGAACTTGATCTGTATTTTCAGGGGCATTGTGATGGGTTTGGGGCGCATGCCAGTGGTGAACAGTATTGTGAGAATACCTCCTGACATGTGGAGACTAGGTTGGGCTCCACAGTTCTTCGGAGAACATGGTACAAATTTACCGCCTATTCAGGTAGAATTTCTGCAAGAAACTGATGTTCTCAAGCAGTTTATATTTAGGTAAGCTGTTACCTCGGATCATTTATTATTGCAATTTTAGGGATGGTTTAGAATGCTTTATTGCAACTTTAAGGGTAATTTATAATGCATTTTAGCAACTTTAGGGGTCATTAGGAGTACATTATTACAATTTTAGGGATGGTTAAGAATGCATTGTAATTTTAAGGGTAGTTTAGAATGCTTTATTGCAATTTTAGGGTTTCTGTATTGTCACAGAAGTATGACAGTTGACTTTTGAATTGCAGAGTTTCTCCTTCTCTATTTTCCTTACAAATATTGCTTTGCTGGTCCTTAACCCACGTCTCCATCTGTAGTCTCTTAATTCAACATTAATGAATACATACAACACACCTCGTCATTCATGGACCCATCTGCGAGCTTTTCTGCTCCCAGATATCTAAATACATTTACTCTTTCCACATTCCTTCTAATCTGATGGCCAGTATTTCACTACCTAAAGCTTCCATTACTCTCATCTTGCTCTCTGTTTGTGTTCACTTAATCTTCTTTTGCACAGCTTCTCAAACTCTCACACTTCTTATGTTTTTTATATATATTTTGCTTTACTGTATCATTTTTTTTGTTTTCCATTCTGAAATAAGTAAGAAGGTTCACAACTTTTTACTACCAGTCTGTTTTGGCACTTTATTAGGGACTCTAGAAATGCTTGCAGTGTTTCTTGAAATTTTTTGCATTTTTGTTTGACAGTGACACATGAATCAATTGTCTTTCAATTAGGTGTACATGTTTTGTCTCAGTAAGTTAGCACAATTAATAGGAAGTGGACAGTACAACCATATTAAACTAGAGGAAACAGAGAAGGGTACTAAAATTTTAAATTTTCTTTCTGTGTTTACCTTAGAAACTTCAGCCATTGTAGTTCCTCAAATATTCAGACAAATTTGGCACTTATGTCTCATGAAATTGTAATGACACAATTGCAAACAAACCATACCACGGGCGGGATTTGAACCCGCAGTCAGAGAGTCTCAAAACTCTGGAGTTTTGAGACTCTCTGACTGTGGGTTCAAATCCCGCCCGTGGTATGGTTTGGCACTTATGTATTATTTTTTCTATTCTAAATAGTTGTTAATTCATGTTTGGGTTTTTCAGAATGGAACTTTTTGGTTGGATAGGACGGCAACAATTTGAAGAGACCTGGATGGCACTGTTATCAGTGCTAAATTCTACTCCTAGTGAGAATACCCCAGCAGAGGAACTACCTTTCATTAATCTGGTAATTTTCTACATCAGGAAGATGTATAATTTTGTCATGCCATTCAGTCATCCAGATGGTGGCTGGATGGTCAAGGATGTCATTATTAGAGCTAAGAAAACAGGCAGTGGAACATAATTAAGGATGAATAACTAAAGTGCTCAGTAATAACCCACATGGAAACAGAAACACAGGAGGTTGATTGATCTATATATTTTGACCCCCTTTCTGGGATCCCTTTCAGCTAAAGAGGATCCGAGAAGGGGGTTGAAATATACATATCAATCAACCTCCTGTGTTTCTATTTCCATGCATAATTAAGGATAATTGAATGCCAGGTAATCTATCAGTTATTGTAATTGAATGTAAGCTCTGTTTCAGTAGCAGTTGTAATAGTCTTGGCACTCACTCAGATGGAAACCTTACTGATATTAGGCATTGTTCTCTTGCAGAGTTTGTCGCTGGCCGTACGAGGAATCACTGCACTTTTGGTTCAGACCCTTCTATTACCCACACCTGGCAACCCTCACAGCGGCAACCTATTAAGTATCCCAAGAGACAAACCTCCACACTACCTGACTTCTAAGTGTGTATAAAGTACTCTTATCTGTTAATGCTATTAAAGATATAAGTAAACATTTACAATTGATTGTTTCTTGACATACATTCTGTATAAAATTAAAATATCTTAATAACAGTTGCTCCAGTCTTTTTTAACTAGTCGGCCGTCTCCCACCGAGGCAGGGTGACCCAAACAAGAAAGAAAATCCCCAAAAAGAAAATACTTTCATCATCATTCAACATTTTCACCTCACACATAATCACTGTTTTTGCAGAGGTGCTCAGAATACAACAGTTTAGAAGCATATATGTATAAAGATACACAACATATCCCTCCAAACTGCCAATATCCCGAACCCCTCCTTTAAAGTGCAGGCATTGTACTTCCCATTTCCAGGACTCAAGTCTGGCTATATAAAAATAACCGGTTTCCCTGAATCCCTTCACTAAATATTACCCTGCTCACACTCCAACAGATCGTCAGGTCCCAAATACCATTCGTCTCCATTCACTCCTATCTAACACGCTCATGCATGCCTGCTGGAAGTCCAAGCCCCTTGCCCACAAAACCTTTACCCCCTCCCTCCAACCTTTTCGAGGACGACCCCTACCCCGCCTTCCTTCCCCTACAGATTTATACGCTCTCCATGTCATTCTACTTTGATCCATTCTCTCTAAATGACCAAACCACCTCAACAACCCCTCTTCAGCCCTCTGACTAATACTTTTATTAATTCCACGCCTCCTAATTTCCACACTCCGAAATTAAAGCATAATATTTACACCACACATTGCCCTTAGACAGGACATTTCCACTGCCTCCAACCACCTCCTCGCTGCAGCATTTACAACCCAAGCTTCACACCCATATAAGAGTGTTGGTACTGCTTTACTTTCATACATTCCCTTCTTTGCCTCCATAGATAAAGTTTTTTGTCTCCACATATACCTCAATGCACCACTCACCTTTTTTCCCTCATCAATTTTATGATTAACCTCATCCTTCATAAATCCATCCGCTGACACGTCAACTCCCAAGTATCTGAAAACATTCACTTCTTCCATACTCCTCCTCCCCAATATGATATCTAATTTGTTTTTTATCTAGATCATCCACTAACCTTTGCAATTTTTCTTTAGAATCTCCTATAAGCACAGTATCATCAGCAAAAAGTAACTGTGTCAATTCCCATTTTGTATTTGATTCCCCATAATTTAATCCCACCCCTCTCCCGAACACCCTAGCATTTACTTCTTTTACAACCCCATCTATAAATATATTAAACAACCATGGTGACGTTACACATCCCTTTCTAAGACCTACTTTTACCGGGAAGTATTCTCCCTCCCTTCTACACACCCTAATCTGAGCCTCACTATCCTCATAAAAACTCTTTACAGCATTTAGTAACTTACCACCTATTCCATATACTTGCAACATCTGCCACATTGCTCCCCTATCCACTCTATCATATGCCTTTTCTAAATCCATAAATGCAATAAAAACTTCTCTACCTTTATCTAAATACTGTTCACATATATGCTTCAATGCAAACACTTGATCTACACATCCCCTACCCACTCTGAAACCTCCTTGCTCATCCGCAATCCTACATTCTGTCTTACCTCTAATTCTTTCATTTATAACCCTACCGTACACTTTTCCTGGTGTACTCGGTAAACTTTTTTTTTTTTTTTCAAGAAACTGGCCGTATCCTGCCAAGGCAGGGTGGCCCAAAAAGGAAAACGAAAATTTCTCTTTTTAAATTTAGTAATTTATACAGGAAAAGGGGTTACTGGCCCCTTGTTCCCGGCATTTTAGTCGCCTCTTACAACACACATGGCTTACAGAGGAAGAATTCTGTTCCACTTCCCCATGGAGATAAGAGTAAATAAACAAGAACAAGAACTAGAAAGAAAATAGAAGAAAACCCAGAGGGGTGTGTATATATATGCTTGTACATGTATGTGTAGTGTGACCCAAGTGTAAATAGAAGTAGCAAGACGTACCTGAAATCTTGCATGTTTTTTTTTTTTATTATCACACTGGCCGATTCCCACCAAGGCAGGGTGGCCCGAAAAAGAAAAACTTTCACCATCATTCACTCCATCACTGTCTTGCCAGAAGGGTGCTTTACACTACAGTTTTTAAACTGCAACATTAACATCCCTCCTTCAGAGTGCAGGCACTGTACTTCCCATCTCCAGGACTCAAGTCCGGCCTGCCGGTTTCCCTGAACCCCTTCATAAATGTTACTTTGCTCACACTCCAACAGCACGTCAAGTATTAAAAATCATTTGTCTCCATTCACTCCTACCAAACACGCTCACGCATGCCTGCTGGAAGTCCAAGCCCCTCACACACAAAACCTCCTTTACCCCCTCCCTCCAACCTTTCCTTGGCCGACCCCTACCCCGCCTTCCTTCCACAACAGACTGATACACTCTTGAAGTTATTCTGTTTCGCTCCATTCTCTCCACATGTCCGAACCACCTCAACAACCCTTCCTCAGCCCTCTGGACAACAGTTTTGGTAATCCTGCACCTCCTCCTAACTTCCAAACTACGAATTCTCTGCATTATATTCACACCACACATTGCTCTCAGACGTGACATCTCCACTGCCTCCAGCCTTCTCCTCGCTGCAACATTCATCACCCATGCTTCACACCCATATAAGAGCGTTGGTAAAACTATACTCTCATACATTCCCCTCTTTGCCTCCAAGGACAAAGTTCTTTGTCTCCACAGACTCCTAAGTGCACCACTCACCCTTTTCCCCTCATCAATTCTATGATTCACCTCATCTTTCATAGACCCATCCGCTGACACGTCCACTCCCAAATATCTGAATACATTCACCTCCTCCATACTCTCTCCCTCCAATCTGATATGTTGCATGTTTATGAGACAGAAAAAAAGGACACCAGCAATCCTTCCATCATGTAAAACAATTACAGGCTTTCGTTTTACACTCTCTTGGCAGGACGGTAGTACCTCCCTGGGCGGCTGCTGTCTACCAACCTACTACCTAGAACTCGGTAAACTTCTTTCTTTCAACACACCAGCTGTATCCCACCGAGGCGGGGTGGCCCAAAAGGAGAAACGAAAGCTTCTCCTTGTACATTTAGTAATATATACAGGAGAAGGGGTTACTAGCCCCTTGCTCCCGGCATTTTAGTCGCCTCTTACAACACGCATGGCTTACGGAGGAAGAATTCTGTTCCACTTCCCCATGGAGATAAGAGGAAATAAACAGGAACTAGAAAGAAAATAGAAGAAAACCAGAGGGGTGTGTATATATATGCTTGTACATGTATGTGTAGTGTGACCTAAGTGTAAGTAGAAGTAGCAAGACGTACCTGAAATCTTGCATGTTTATGAGACAGAGAAAAGGACACCAGCAATCCTACCATCATGTAAAACAATTACAGGCTTTCGTTTTACACTCACTTGGCAGGACGGTAGTACATCCCTGGGCGGTTGCTGTCTACCAACCTACTACCTAGAACTCAGTAAACGTATTCCTCTATAATTTTTACAATCTCTTTTGTCCCCCTTCCCTTTATATAAAGGGACTATACATGCTCCCCGCCAATCTCTAGGTACCTTCCCCTCTTTCATACATTTATTAAACAAAAGTACCAACCACTCCAACACTATATCCCCCCTGCTTTAACATTTCTGTCATGATCCCGTCAGTTCCAGCTGCTTTACCCCCTTTCATTCTACGTAATGCCTCACGCACCTCCCCTACATTCACATCCTGTTCTTCTTCACTCCTAAAAGATGGTATACCTCCCTGGCCAGTGCATGAAATTACCGCTTCCCTTTCCTAGGTAATTTGCACATATGATACTTGTACTTATACCTAAATAACACTGTCACCATCATTCACACTATCACTGATGCCAGGGGCACGCAGATACGACAGATTAGATGTCACTCTCAACAGCAGATATCCCAAACCTCTCATTATTTAGAGTTCAGGCACTGTGCTTCCCATCTCCAGGACTGAAGCCGGGCTAATCAGTTTCCCTGAATCCCTTCGTAAAACATTACCCTTCTCACACACTAACAGCTCATCAAGTTCCAAAATAAATTTCCTTACTCTTATTTACTTTCCCTAAACAATTCTGTTTTTCACACAAATTTGGTAAAGTCCTTCTCATCTTGCCATCATCCAAATCTCACCCTAATTCTCTCTCTTAACTTACATATATAGGTGATGGTATGAGCTACTGACAGTTGTAGAGAGAGAGTAATAGCTACAATGTATGAAACTTTTAATGACAACTTTTCACCCTTGCGGTGGGCTTAAGTCATGTTTCACCCACCGTGTATGAGTGAAGTGTCCTTTACAAGACTCTATGTAACTGTATTTGTATCTGTACTTTCTATTTTTTTATTTACTATACTGGTATATAAATATGCCTTGAATATTATTTGTTTTTAGACACTGGTATGTATGTATGTGTATATGCACACACTTTTCTACTCTCACACTCTCTCTCATACTCTCACTTGCTTTCACTCACTTTCTCTCACACTCTTATGTTTTTAATGTTTATTGTTTGCCTGTTGGTACTGTATTTCAATTCAAAATAAAAATAATAAAAATTATGTATTACTTTCAAAATATTATACAGCATAATAAATTCAACAACACACAGTATTCACAGCATTTCAGGGAAAACTTAGACTAGGAATATAACTAATTAATATTAAAAAATTACATAGATGTAGAGTTCTCTATTCTTAAAGAATCTAGTACAACATACTGGAAAATAGATAAAAATAGCAGTTAAAATATGAATTATGATATATTACTATGAATATTCATTTTATTCTGTAATATTTTAAAAATTTCTGTGAATTTGTTTTAGGTCAGGGCGGAAACTTCAAGAGATTATGTCGTGTCTTCACGAAAAACTACGAGAGGTACAACACCTAATCAAAGGAGGACCGCGACAGACCCCACCATATCAGCTGGGCCAGGTGTCAGTCGAGTATCTAGTAACAGCTCTCAACAGTCATGCAGAACCACCAGAATCTCCTGACACTATCTTACACACTGGTATGGCCATTCTTTATGTCCTTACCAATGCAAAAATATTTAACCAGTTAGCCAGACTTGAGCTCGGGAGGTGGGAAGTACAGTGCCTGCACTCTAAAGGAGGGGTTTGGGATATTTGCTGTTTAGAGTGACATTTAAACTGTTGTATTTGTGTGTGTCTGCAAAGACAATAATAGTGTGAATGATGGTGAAATTGCTTCATTGTCACCCTGCGTCAGTGGAAGACAGCCAGTGTGTTTAAAAAAACTGTACTTTTAATTAGTAGATATGGTAATGAGAATATTTAGGTTGACTAGTTTGGAAATTGTAGCCCCTACCTCAAGAAAATAAATGTTGCATGTGATTCAAATTGTATGGGCTAGAGGTTTGATTTATATGCTAATCCATATAGCCAAAAACTTTGGGTTTATACTATAGCAAATTAGTTAAAAACTCAAAAGCAATGTTTACAATACATTTTTAATTTAACCATCAGGCCCAAAATTGAATATTTTTAGTTAAGGTTTTAAATTTCAATTTGAGTATATGGTAAAGTAATTTTATTACATGTTAACCCATATATTGTCATTAATGTTTATATGTGCATTCAATTTCTAGGCTGTTATGAGTTTGAAATACGAGAGAGACAGTTAGCGAGCTGTGGTCTTGACGTCCAGTCCTGTCTTCACTTCCTTCACTACCTGTATTCCTCATGGCTGCGACCCCAGGTAAGTGATATTACTGCTGGATTTTATTGTTTATTTATTATTTATTTTTTTTTTTTCAACAAGTCGGCCGTCTCCCACCGAGGCAGGGTGACCCAAAAAAGAAAGAAAACAATTTTCTTCTTCTTATTCTTTTTAGTAATCTTTACAGGAAAAGGGGTTACTAGCCCATTGTTCCCGGCATTTTAGTTGACTTTTACAACACGCATGGCTTACGGAGGAAAGATTCTTATTCCACTTCCCCATGGATATAAAAGGAAAAGTAATAAGACCAAGAACTATTAAGATAAAATCAAAGAAAACTCAGATGAGTGTGTATAAATAAATGTGTACATGTATGTGTAGTGTGACCTAAGTGTAAGTAGAAGTAGCAAGACATGCCTGTAATCTTGCATATTTATGAGACAGACAAAAGACATCAGCAATCCTACCATCATGTAAAACAAGCACAGGCTTTCGTTTTACACTCACTTGGCAGGACGGTAGTACCTCCCTGGATGGTTGCTGTCTACCAACCTACTACCTACTTTATTGTTTATCTTTCTTTCTTTCTTTCAACACATCGGCCGTATCCCACCGAGGCGGGGTGGCCCAAAAGGAAAAACAAAGGTTTCTCCTTTTACATTTAGTAATATATACAGGAGAAGGGGTTACTAGCCCCTTGCTCCCGGCATTTTAGTTGCCTCTTACAACACGCATGGCGTACGGAGGAAGAATTCTGTTCCACTTCCCCATGGAGATAAGAGGAAATAAGCAAGAACAAGAACTAGAAAGAAAATAAAAGAAAACCCAGAGGGGTATGTATATATACGCTTGTACATGTATGTGTAGTGTGACCTAAGTGTAAGTAGAAGTAGCAAGATGTACCTGAAATCTTGCATGTTCATGAGACAGAAAAAAGGACACCAGCAATCCTACCATCATGTAAAACAATCACAGGCTTTCGTTTTACACTCACTTGGCAGGACGGTAGTACCTCCCTGGGCGGTTGCTGTCTACCAACCTACTACCTAGGTTTATTGTTTATATTTATAAATATTGTAGGTAGTAGGTTGGTAGACAGCAGCCGCCCAGGGAGGTACTACCGTCCTGCCAAGTGAGTGTAAAATGGAAGCCTGTAATTGTTTTACATGATGGTAGGATTGCTGGTGTCCTTTTTTCTGTCTCATACACATGCAAGATTTCAGGTACATCTTGCTACTTCTACTTACACTTGGGTCACACTACACATACATGTACAAGCATATATATACACACACCCCTTTGGATTTTCTTCTATTTTCTTTCTAGTTCTTGTTCTTGTTTATTTCCTCTTACCTCCATGGGGAAGTGGAACAGAATTCTTCCTCCGTAAGCCATGCGTGTTGTAAGAGGCGACTAAAATGCCGGGAGCAAGGGGCTAGTAACCCCTTCTCCTGTATATATTACTAAATGTAAAAGGAGAAACTTTCGTTTTTCCTATTGGGCCACCCCGCCTCGGTGGGATACGGCCGGTGTGTTGAAAGAAAGATTTATAAATATTCTAGGTAGTAGGTTGGTAGACAGCAGCTGCCCAGGGAGGTACTACCGTCCTGCCAAGTGAGTGTAAAACGAAAGCCTTTAATTGTTTTACATGATGGTAGGATTGCTGGTGTCCTTTTTTCTGTCTCATAAACATGCAAGATTTCAGGTACGTCTTGCTACTTCTACTTACACTTAGGTCACACTACACATACATGTACAAGCATATATATACACACACCCCTCTGGGTTTTCTGCTATTTTCTTTTTAGTTCTTGTTCTTGTTTATTTCCTCTTACCTCTGTGGGAAAGTGGAACAGAATTCTTCCTCCGTAAGCCATGCGTGTTGTAAGAGGCGACTAAAATGCCGGGAGCAAGGGGCTAGTAACCCCTTCTCCTGTATATATTACTAAATGTAAAAGGAGAAACTTTCGTTTTTCCTTTTGGGCCACCCCGCCTCGGTGGGATACGGCCGATGTGTTGAAAGACAAAGATTTATAAATATCCATTCAGTCATATGTCAATGGAATCGTAAGAAGCTTTTGTTCTATACAGGTAAAATTAATGATTGCCTTTAGGTATATTACTAATAAAGAAATCCAAAAACTGTCCAATGTATGTCAAAAAAAGTCAAATAACATAGTACAAAATGGTTTCCAGCGCTATAAATAAAAAGACTCAAAATATTAAAAAAATCTTGTTTGATTAAAAAATAGCTCTGTTGATTATTAAAAATATCTTTCTAGATTAATTTTTCATCATCTTTCTCAATATGTTCAATACACTTATATTCATTGTGTATTATCAGGACCAGAACTAAAACCTAAGAGCATATGAATGCTCAGTTTTGGTCTTCTGTAACAGAATGGATGTAATTGTATTAGAGAACACGCAGAGAAGGATAACAAAATTTATCCACACTGTAACCACTTTTAAGATCGTTAAAGGGTCAAGAATATATGTAAAGTTTTTGTAGTACCATCAAAAGGAAAAATGAAGCCACAGTCGTAAACTAAAAAAAAAAAAAAAAAAATCGACAAGACAAATGAAACACCGAATATAGGACATTACAAGCACAGCTGCGCTCGTGTAGCTACAGACACTGAAAACAGGACACCACAAGAATAGATTTGCTCCTGTAGTCTGTATGACTCTTATGGGTTTAGTGCTTAGTTATGATTATAATAATAATTTATTTATTATTATCACACTGGCCGATTCCCACCAAGGCAGGGTGGCCCGAAAAAGAAAAACTTTCACCATCATTCACTCCATCACTGTCTTGCCAGAAGGATGCTTTACACTACATTTTTTAAACTGCAACATTAACACCCCTCCTTCAGAGTGCAGGCACTGTACTTCCCATCTCAAGGACTCAATGCTTCTGTAGCTATGAATAGGTAATCATACAAGTTCACACATGAAAAAATATAAAGAGGAAATAAGAGAAATTAGATTGGTCCGTTAATCTAGAATACTGTATAGTAGTCAAGGAGGATTCCTTCCTTTAAACACAGTATAATTCTACAAATTATTTACAAACAGAAGTGTACCCTGTATCTTAGCAAGAAATATTATTTTGTTCAGTGCATTTAAAGGGCCATCTAGTTCAGCCAATGAAAATGATTAAAATATGATGAATGTTTAGGCCCATTGATCAGATTGCAAGATTTCATTTTCTTAACCCAAGAAAATCAGTGTGTCATCGAGGACTGTCTTCCTTATTTCCATTGAGGTCATTCAATCTTGTTTCCCAGAATACGTCCCATACCAGTCAACTAACACCCACGTACCTACTTACTGCTAGGTGAACAGGGACAGCATGTGTAAGGAAACATGCCCAACAATTCCACCCAGTCAGGGATTGAACCACAGACACTCAGTGTGTGAAGTGAGTGCGTTGCCTATCAAGCCATGGTCTAAACAGTACTAAATTAAACAGACAATTAGACAGGGACTTGAACTGTAGTCTGGGCATGTAGCTGGCCTGATTTTGGGCCTACTACATGCCAGGGCCACAGTCTGAGTCCTTGTCCATTCTTCTGTTTATTCACTGACAGACATTTATTATGACTTAATTTGAGTTTTGAGTATTAATGACTCAGGAAGTCGTAATAATATGATTGCAAGCAAACCATGGAATGGATGGGGTAAGGACCCATGGCATGGAGTTTTACGATTCACTCACCATGGGTTCTTACTCCACCTATCCTGCGGTTTATTAGTATTAATTCATATCCTGCCCCCAGTTCAAACTTGGTTTGAGTTATTTTGTAGGCGATTGTTGCCTATGGCCTTAGATTACGGAAGTGGCTTTATAAAGCCAAAATGTGCAGTACTTTGCTCCTTTGTATATACTCAGCCTTCTTATCAAGGTTCATCTGTGGGTGAAGTGTCATCAGTAAATGATTGCTTTATACTTCATTTGCATTTCTTTACTTCAGTGTCAGTATTTTATACCATTTTCTCTTTATATACAATATGTACATATCTTCCGTATGCAGTTTAATGTGATCCTTTATTGACAACGTTTCGCCCACACAGTGGGCTTTTTCAAGTCACAAACAGATCTGTTTGTGACTTGAAAAAGCCCACTGTGTGGGCAAAACATTGTCAATAAAGGATCACATTAAACTGCATATGTGTGTATGTTTCCATTGTGTCGGTATTTTATACCATTTATTTTCTTCATGTACATATCTTCCATTTTATTGTTTGCATGGAAAGTTATGTGTACCATGGAACAGCATTTATTACACTGTGTTTATTATAATTTATATGTGATACATGAGTACTCACTCACCTTTGGTAGTTGTATATATTTGGGCTCTGTTTCTCAGCCATGAATAATCTGGTGTAATGACACTATGACACTATGTAATTTGTCATATCTAGAAGGCATGTCTTGTTCAGTTTTCACTAGGGTAGGTCTCTTTTATATGCATTAGTCATAAATAATTTGGAATACATTAAACATATAAATCTTTTTGTATTACACTTTATCTTGGTGTGAGTGATTTTAAAATAATGTACAGTACCTGTACTCTGAAGGAGGGTGGGAATGTTGCAGCTCAGATTGAATGAACAACAGAGAGAGCATTTCTTATTTTTTGGGTCGTCCTACCTTGGTGGTACATGGCCGGTGCATTAAAAATATATATTATTTCCAGAGTGGCTTGTGTGCGTCTGTTGTGGCAGAAGTAGTAAAGTCTGTGAGTTGTTTATGTGACTTATTCTGCTCAAGTGCTCACCACCGCTGGGTCCTGGAAGCACTTCTGCCTCTCCATACCCTCCACCCTATTGAAGACCACATCACCCAGCAGCACATCATTCTGGCTACCTGTAAAGCTCTTGCAACTCTTAGATTGGCCAAACAGGTGAAAAAAAAGCATGTTTTTTGAGTCGTGGATAAAATATTGTTTCAGTCGAAGTCAATTGAAATGATTATTTAAACTGTGGATAAAAGAAGTGAAATAAAGTCCCACCTGGATCATTTATATAAACATTTTCTTATTATCCAGAAAGATAGAAGGGGAAGCCATGAAGAAATTGCACAAATAGATGAAGATGAAAGAAATTGACCTGAGTAGAGTTATTGTGTTAACTTCAAAATTCCTACACTATTTAAAAATCTACATTTTTGTATTTTACATATTGCCGTTTATAAAGCAGTTATTTGTATTATTTTTCTTGTAGGAGGTGAGCTCATCACTGAGTGAAGGTGTGATACACATAGTGGAGAGTGGACTCAAGAGTGGACAGGTGTCTGTACGTACCTGCGCCGTCCAAGGCCTCCTCTACCTTCTCCAGGGACCATCGGAGGAGAGCCCGCCCCTCATTGTTCTGGCTGCTAACTACATTCTCAAATACAATGATGGGTAAGTTGACAGCCTTAACTCAAGAGCTGTAACTGGCATAAAAGATTTTTTTTTTAACACACTGGCCGTCTCCATTGAAAAAGAAACACTTTCACCATCATTCACATTATCATTGTCTTGCTAGAGGCATGCAAATGCAACAGTTCAGATGACCCTTCAAACAACAAATATCCCCATGCCTTCTTCAGAGTGCAGGCACTGTACTTCCCACCTCCATCTTACATGAGATTTTCTTTTTCCTGCTTACTGTAGAATCTTATATTTATGAAAAGTAGTAAATCAGTGTGCCATTGCACACTACTATGCAACTGTGAGATGATAATGAGACCAAAAAAAATTAAAACCTTAGCTGACCATACTTATATGGTAATAAATTTTACACTCTGATAAGAGTATTTTTTTCATCGTCACTCTTGCTTTATTTTTGTGTTACTGTATACATAAATAGTTTAGAAAACTGACAAGTTAAATAATGAAACACTTGTGTAACACTTGCACAAGTGTCTCATGCTTTATTTTGGTTGATTTTGAATAAGATAATGGTATACAATACTGACAAATTGATAAGTAAGACAGGTGCAACAATTGGGTGTGTTTATTATGAAATGTTTGACCTACACAGTAGGCTTCTCTGACTGAAGAAGCCTACTGTGTAAGTGAAGCATTTCAGAATAAAGATACCTAACTGTTGTACATGTGTCTCACTTATCAACTCAGTTTATTTTAAATAGCTGGTGCTCAGAAATATTGACATCTAGTTAAAAAGCTTGGCAACTCTTAAATGTATTTTTATGCTAGATTTCAGAATGGATTTTCTTTGCAGGAAGAGTCGAGAATGTGAGAGTCATGAGGTGGCCGTGTGGGAGGTGTGGGTTTATTTGGTAGAACACTATGAAACACTACCTGATCCCACTCTGCCATCTACTGCTCTCCACATGGCCCTTTCAACAGCAGCCACTTCTTCCACAACTCCACGTCTCCTCCACCAAGTCTTGAAGGGTGTAGAAAGACTGGTGTTAGTTCAGCAACTCTCCAGTAACACTGTAGAAGTGATCTTCAAATTAGTGATGGACTTGGTTTTAAATGGTTCTCCTTCCACCTCTTTAGCTGCCTTGCCATTATTCATCACTGCTCTTTATGCTAATGTAAGAAACACTGCATCTCTTACACATGGTGTAGCACAAGATGACATGGCATCAGACCCAGAGACTCTCTTACTTGTCATGGAGAAACTCTCCATATTTTTTGACCGGATTCGGGTTGGGTATCCCCATGAGGCAGGTGTTATTGCTGGTCTGCTTGGACCATGCCTTTTAGATGTCCTTCCTGCTAGTCAGATACTGAATAAAGTGATCACAGAATATATTTCTAGCCATCAACCACATCCTCATCTACTCGCCTCAACCCTTTTCCAGGTATTTGAAGGGGCTATCAGTGAGAGTGGGGAAGGTTTAGTACAAGAATGGGTTCTACTTTCGCTTAGCAACTTCACACAACGTAGCCCTATTTCCCTTGCAGTTTGGTGCTTAACTTGCTTCTTCATTGCAGCCTCGAGTAATAGATGGCTCCGAGCAGCTTTTCCTTCCGTTCAAGCACGTCTGGGAAAACTGGATGTTCGTGACATCCAGATATTTTGTCTGGCTGCTTCTCATTTCCGCCAGAGTTTGGCAACGGAAAACCAGAGGGCAAAGTTTGAGGCAGTGTTCCAGGCTGTGGCTACTCCAGGATCACCATTTCAAGAGTTATTAGATTGTATTCAAGATTAATTTCAGTTGCAGCCAGGTTTAATTGTTCGTGAAAATTGTATATATATCATTGCTAGTCAATACATTGACCTAGAGACCCCTATTTAGTTCAGTAACAATTATTTTCTATCCATTGTGCAATCTCAGAGTGTTATTATGTGCCAGAAAATCTGACTGAAGTGGGTGATTGTTCATCGAGGACATTTCTAAGCTTCATTTGTAGTTCAAATACTGAGTGTAAACGTCTCACTGGTATGAAATTTTTTGAGTTAATGAAATTAGTTGTAATAAATATTGCTTTGAGAGATTTCATGGATGCTGGTATGTTGTACTGTATACTGTATTTAAAATTATTGTATTGCATACAGTATTTAAAATTACTGTACTGTATACTGTATTGAAAATTATTTAAGTACGATTACCATGAAAGATATTTTTCTGCATAAATATTTTAGAAAATTACCAAAAAAAGAATGTACTTTTATATCATTATTATTGCTGTTGTAGTTTTGCATTTATATACAGTACAGATATATGGAGAAATTGTATGGTAACTTTAAATTCATCTGAACTAATCCATGAAATTTCAGGAGTAACTGTATGAGTTGTAAGTCAATATACATATATTTTTTGCATGGCTGTGATAAGAAATAGATTAGTTTCTTTATCCATGAGATGGAGTTTATTTGAAAATTAATGTCAAAGATGCTATTTTTTTTCCAAAATAAGGCTTAAATTTACCCAGCATCTTGGGGGCCGAAGTACCATTTATCTTTTTTTCCCAAATTAGCCAGTCCAAATTGAGGGAGGGTGTTCTCGACACCAGAGGGACTTCTTCGCTATAAAATGTGGTACTTGCTGAACTATGTATAACAGTGGTGATTGTTTATGAAGAAATTTTCACCTATTCCCAGGCACATTCTTAGTTGGTCCCTCACCTGTCCCTCATTCTCACCGACCCTCATATTCAAAATACACGCAGCCTTTTTATTCGGTGTTGAGAGTAGTAAGGGAGAACTCGACATCTGCAAGAAATGCCTTGAAATGATTTTTAGGTATGTAAGATCATGTCAAGTGTAAAAGTTTGGAAGCAAAAGATCCAAATGTTCAAGATATGTTTTCATAGTATTTTTTATAATTTTGTTTGGTTACTAGGCAATATTTAAGCAAAATTTATTGTACAGGAGGTAAATTTCTTTTAATATTATTCATATTGTAGTGTTAGACTCGAGTCCTGGAGGTGGGAAATACAGTGCCTGCACTCTGAAGGAGGGAAGTACAGTGCCTGCACTCTGAAGGAGGGAAGTACATTGCCTGCACTCTGAAGGAGGGAAGTACAGTGCCTGCACTCTGAAGGAGGGGTGGAGATATGTTGCAGTTTTTGAACTGTAGTATCGACATGCCTCTGGCAAGACAGTGATGGAATGAGTGATGATGAAAGTGTTTCTTCTTTTTTGGGTCACCCTGCCTTGGTAGGAAACGGCCGATGTGTTAAAAAAAAAAAATCAGTGTCATTATGCCATGATATGGTTCCCAGAATTATCAAACTTCAGTTCTGATGGAACATTTACTGAACCTTTAAACTTAGCAGCAATGGAGATAGGATGTATGTATGATTGTTTCATAACCCTTATATATCTAAAAAGGTTTTGTGTACTCTTAGTTTTAAAGCCTATATAAAAAATATAACTGCCAGTAGAGAGTGTCAAGCTTCAGTCATCATCAGTATTCCTTATAGTTGGCTTAGCAGTCAGGCCAGTGTGCCTCACATGTCAAGAGTGACCTACTCAAGTTGGAATCGTCCTAGACTGCCAACCCACACAATGGAAATTTAGTTTTACAATAAGATGGGCTTGGAGAGGGATTGTGTTGTACACAGCTATTGGAGAGACTGTTTGTGTGTTGTACACAGCTGTTAGAGAAACATTGTGTGTTGTACACACAGCTGAACTACACTAGTTCTACTAAGATTATTACCTGAATTCAGCATTAAGAATGCAGGTTTGTTTTTAATTCAGGTTTAAAATGGTTTGAATAAATTCACTGTATACTGCATTTCAAGAAGGTTTTGTGTTTTGTGATGCAGTGCATTTATTCACTGACCGGGTGTGTATTGTGTTTTAATTTTACATGTTACTTATGCCTTCTACAATTGAAGAAAATTATAAATTAATGCTCTCCATGTTTCCTTCTATCTTACATCTTTGATTGTTCTCTAGGCTTTAATTGCATACTGTCTTTCATAATTTATTATATATTATGACGGTTTCCGTTTTAATGCAGTATATGGTTAATTTCACGGATCATATCAACTTGTACGAGTATGGGTTATGCCAATTCTAATCAGGCGAGTTGTATGACCTTCCATAGTCATTAACCTTGTACTGCACATGCCATGTTCTCACTCTGGCATATATCCTGTGATTAACATATCTCTGTCTGTTGTCTCGAATATCAGTGGACAATGCGGTATAATTTAAATCGCTTACATTCTTTCAGTAGTTATGATGTAAGTGTTCTAAACACTGATCAGTGACAGGTAAATCCCACATGGATGAAAAATAAAAGAATGGAAACGATCTGTATTTTTTAGCCTCAGTTTCCTGAGGTTCTTGCTTAAGGCTGAAGATACACATGCTTTCTACCTCTTATTTTTTGTATAAGGAACTTGACTCTTTTTTTTTTTTTTTTTTTCAGTAGAATAACGTATGAAAATGTGTATCTACATGCCACCTTATTTGACAGTCTGAAGAATAAAAAGGCACAGTGCCATGACTGGAACAATACACAAATAACCTACACATAGGAGAAAGAGACTTATGAGGACATTTCGGTCTCACCTGGACCATTAACAAGTCACACAAGAGTTAATGGTCCAAATCAGACCGAAGTGTCGTCATTATTTTCTCTCCTTTGAGTGAGGTATTTCTGTATTGACGGTCTGATCTGTCATTCCTGTCTCACAAACCCCTTGTAGAGTAACATTGATACAATACACTTGTGAAGTATCTTGTAATAGCCTGTTTTTTTAAACTCATTGAAGTGTCATGCAGATCCTCTGTAAAAGGAAGTTATGTTATTCTGTGGGCAACCTTAAGTTTTATTAATAGCTAATAAAATAATGTTTTAATTTTCTGAAGACTTAATGAAATAAATTCACAATGTAGAGGCCACAGTTCTCTGGCTGGAACAATTCGCAGCTAACCTGCAGTTTGGAGAAGAAAATTAGATGCCATTTTGGTCAGTCCTGAGCTTTGTCACTGCCTTTTCATCTCCCATTCTCACTGTTGTGATGATATTAGTCCAGGATACACAGAAATACTGTTACGAGTTCACTTTCCAAATTAGGGTTAGTTATTCTTTCCCAACTCGCTGAATTTATGAAAGATTCTCAGCCTTTGATTAAAAAAAAATAAATAATGATGGTATGGTTTGGAACTAATGAAGAAATGTGTAATTCTAAAGCCCTTTCATAAATGCAGTATTCATATATGGTTCTGCTTTTTAGCTTCTGGAAAGGAGTTTTACAGCGCATCAGTCGAACATTTCTAATTTTTAACTCTATGAGAAAAACATTTTGGATGTGTAAATTAATATACTTCAACTGTATTTGAAAGAGAATTAAACCGAGAAATAATGTAAAATCATTACTAATTATTTTATGACTATTTGGCAAATGGAGTTTAGCATTGGTTTTTTACAGGTACATAGGAAGTTTGGACCTATCTTAATAAACTGGAGAAAAAAGTTTTGTTTTTGAATTCTCTTCAAAGGGAGGTGCCTTGATGCTGGTGTAGGGCTAATCCAAGGAGTTGGATCAACCCTGATTACCTCACATTCCCACCAGCAATGTATAATCCTTGTAGATGTAGCATTACCCCATGATTGAAATATTTCGTGCAAGAATTGCCACAATTGATTCACAAACATTTATACAGTACAGTTCTCCATTGTTTAAAGATTAAGCATACAGCTCTGAATGGCTGGAAGAGTTGATGGTAAAATTTTTTTTATTATATTCAGAGGCTGTATGACCTATTCAGGTTGTGTGTTTGATTGTACTGTATTTAGGAAAATCGTTTTAAAAAAATTCTTAGTTGACTAAATATTGTATATAAGACTGTTTTTCATTTCTACTGCTGGTAAAGATGTTAATTATGAGAAACGAGTAAATGGTGATGAAGGGAAGGCAAGACATTTATTGAAGGTCAAGTAAATAACCTCAAAATGAGGATTATATCTCCTATCATTATATTATAATTTTGTTGATTTTCACTCAGCTGTAGATATGTGAGCTTCCATTCACTTGGGTAGCAATGTAAATTACTAAAGCATTGGAATAGCTGTATATAAATATAATGTATATACTATATATATATATATAAATAAAGGAATTGTATAGATGAATATTATGTTAGCTTTTGTTGAGAATATCTGGTAATAAAATAAATTATATTATGGTTGGTTTTGTTTTTATAATTAAACGAATTACCTTATTATTTTGAAATATGGTCTTCCTTTACTCTTGTGCTCGTGAAACTCGTGCCATGACCCACGTGACATAGACGACCAAAAAGGCACAATACCATGACTGGAATAATACACAAATAACCCGCACATAGGAGAGAGGAGCTTATGATGTTTCAGTCCGACTTGGACCATTTACAAGTCTCACACTGTGATTTGTAAATGGTCCAAGTCAGACTGAAATGTCATAAGCTTTTCTCTCAATGTGCAGGTTATTTGTGAAATGACACAGGAGCCTTCCTGGAGATGTCTGTCATTGATGCTGGAGAATGGTTCTGCATCTAGAAAAATGAAACTGACCCTTTCCCTCCCCACTTCCTCAGATCAAACCAGATGACGGTAATAATAGAGAAAATTTTCAGTTCAGCAGTTAGATGGCACCCACAGTTTTAGCATTTAGTTTTGATTGTAATAATAATAATGTGGATTAATTGTTACAGAAGAGAAAGTTCCAAGTTAGTTTACTATCCTTGTTTTGCACTCAATGACTATCCTATGGATGGTAACCCACTATAAGAAGGTTACTCAATGCTGTCCCTCAAGGGAGGTTCCTTGATGCTGGTGAGGGGCTCTTGATCTAGAGAATTGGATCTGTGCTCCAGTCCCCTGGATTAAGCCTGGAATACCTTCCATTCTCCCTGCCCAGGCGCTGTATAATCCTATGGGTTTAGCGCTCCCCCTTAATTAAAATAATACTCAATGCTGTTGAGGGCACTCTTGATTCAACGAAGTGAACTTATCCTCCCCTGCCTTGGATCCAAATTTTAAGGCTTCTTGTTCCTCAGGCGCTGTATAGTCCTTGTGGCTTAGCGTTTCTTTTTGATTATAATAATAATGTTCCTCAGGCATACCCCTCAAGGAAGGTTCCTTGATGTTGGTGAGGGGCTCTTGATTTAGGGAATTGGATCTGTGCTCCAGTTCCCCGAATTAAGCCTGAATGCCTTCCACATCCCCCCCCCCAGGCGCTGTATAATCCTCCGGGTTTAGCGCTTCCCCCTTGATTATAATAATAATAATCCTCAGGCATAACCCCTACAGGTTTAACGCTTCCCTCCCGACTAAAATATCTTCCATGGATCAACCCAGACTGCCTCCCATTCCCACTGTGCTATAACACTCCTATGGGTTTAGCGCTCCTAACTCCCCATTAGTAAAATATAAACAAGAACGATACATCACGGTTTAGGCTGTACAAATGACTAAAAAAGGCCTAGTAAAACCCACTGAAACTGAGTGGGGGGGTGAGACCCCTACCCACCCTCAGGATAATTTACGAAAAGTTGAATTTTCGCATGACCCTTGTGGGTTTAGCACTCATGCTTGCAATAATAATTCCTCTCAAGGGAGGCTCCTTGATCCTGGTGAGGGGCTCTTGATCCCAGAATTGAGCTTGGAATGCCTTCTACCCCTTAACAAGTGCTGTATAATCCTTCCAGGTTTAGCGCTCCCCATATTAATAATAATAATAATCTGCTATTCACTTCCTCTTTCAGATAACTTACGGTATTATTTCCGGTCTCTTAATTAACATCAAGGTTCACAGGATGTTAAAGCTTTATTTACAAGCTCTAAGCTTGTAAATAAAGCTTAGGAAAATTTATTCTAATCCTCACTTTAAATAATAAGACAAATTGAGAGGTTTCCTTGGGGGTTTCCTGGTTATTAAACCTCTTCATGATTAATTGTCCTCGGGTTAATAATGTTCTAGGGTTAACAACCCTGCGAGGTTAACCATGTGAAGTTAACAACTCTGTGAGGTTAACCCTGTGAGGTTAACAACCCTGTGAAGTTAACAACCCTGTGAAGTTAACAACCCTGTGAGGTTAACAGCTCTGTGAGGTTAACCTTGTGGGTTTAACAACCCTGTGAGGTTAAAATTCCTGCAAGAAAAACCCTTCAACGTTAAAAACCCTTAGAGGTTAAAAACATTGCGAAGTTAAAAATCCTTTGAGGTTGAAAACCCTCAATGTTAAAAATCTTGCAAAATTAAAAAAAAAAACCTGACGTTAAAAAGCCTTTGAGGTTAACACCCGTCAAGGTTAAAAACCCCGCGAGGTTATCATGGAGTGGAGGAGGGAGGGAGGGAGGGGAGGGTTGACACTCCCTCAGTAGAATGTATTAGTAACCACCACTTAATTACCCCTTTCTATACCACTTATCCAGGAATTTTATCTACGCACAAAGGGAGGGGGATGCTGATCCTTTTTAATCCCCTTCTGTGATCCACTTAAGTTACCACTTTCTACAGAAGAGAACAAGAGAACCTCTCAACTTCTTGCCAGACCACTTACTAAATTACCAATGCCCTGTTATTAATGACCCTAGTGTAGTCGATAGACTTTAAGCCCCCCCGCCATTAACTTGATCTTAATGGCCCGAGAGGTTCAAACTAGCTTGAGCAATTACTAGATTAATAGCCTTCCAGCAGGGGTTTATAACCTTGTGGGTTATTCCTCTGGGGTTTTATTTCCTCTGGGTTAGCCTTCTGGGTTTAATGGCCCTCTGGGTTAGCTCTCTGGGGTTATAATTCCTCTGAGTTAGCCTTCTGGGTTTAATGGCCCTCTGGGTTAGCCCTCTGGGGTTATAATTCCTCTGGGTTAGCCTTCTGGGTTTAATGACAATCTGGGTTAGCCCTCTGGGTTTAATAACAAAGTCTGAGGCGGCTACAGTGAAAAACTCTGTTCCATAAGGCACAGTACTCGCTCCCATCTTGTTCCTCATCCTCATATCTGACATAGGCAGAGCTGTCAGCCACAGCACCGTGTCTTTCTTTGCAGATGACACCCGAATTTGCATGACAGTGTCTTCCATCGAAGACACCGTAAGACTCCAGGCGGACATCATCCAAATCCTTAAATGGGTCACAGAAAACAATATGAAGTTCAATGATGAGAAATTTCCATTACTCTGATATGGAAAACTCGAGGAAATTACCTGGAGTTTACCTGGAGAGAGTTCCGGGGGTCAACGCCCCCGCGGCCCGGTCTGTGGCCACGCCTCCTGGTGGATCAGAGCCTGATCAACCAGGCTGTTACTGTTGGCTGCACGCAAACCAACGTACGAGCCACAGCCCGGCTGGTCAGGAACCGACTTTAGGTGCTTGTCCAGTGCCAGCTTGAAGACTGCCAGGGGTCTGTTGGTAATCCCACTTATGTATGCCGGGAGGCAGTTGAACAGTCTCGGGCCCCTGACACTTATTGTATGGTCTCTTAACGTGCTAGTGACACCCCTGCTTTTCATTGGGGGATGTTGCGTCGTCTGCCAAGTCTTTTGCTTTCGTAGTTTACCTGGAGACCTGGAGAGAGTTCTGGGGGTCAACGCCCCCGCGGCCCGGTCTGTGACCAGGCCTCCTGGTGGATCAGAGCCTGATCAACCAGGCTGTTGCTGCTGGCTGCACGCAAACCAACGTACGAGCCACAGCCCGGCTGATCAGGAACTGACTTTAGGTGCTTGTCCAGTGCCAGCTTGAAGACTGCCAGGGGTCTGCTGGTAATCCCCCTTATGTGTGCTGGGAGGCAGTTGAACAGTCTCGGGCCCCTGACACTTATTGTATTGTAGTGAGTGATTTTCGTGTGCAAGTTCGGTACTAGTCCCTCTAGGATTTTCCAGGTGTATATAATCATGTTTCTCTCCCGCCTGCGTTCCAGGGAATACAGGTTTAGGAACCTCAAGCGCTCCCAGTAATTGAGGTGTTTTATCTCCGTTATGCGCGCCGTGAAGGTTCTCTGTACATTTTCTAAGTCAGCAATTTCACCTGCCTTGAAAGGTGCTGTTAGTGTGCAGCAATATTCCAGCCTAGATAGAACAAGTGACCTGAAGAGTGTCATCATGGGCTTGGCATCCCTAGTTTTGAAGGTTCTCATTATCCATCCTGTCATTTTTCTAGCAGATGCGATTGATACAATGTTATGGTTCTTGAAGGTGAGATCCTCCGACATGATCACTCCCAGGTCTTTGACGTTGGTGTTTCGCTCTATTTTGTGGCCAGAATTTGTTTTGTACTCTGGTGAAGATTTAATTTCCTCGTGTTTGCTATATCTGAGTAATTGAAATTTCTCATCGTTAAACTTCATATTGTTTTCTGCAGCCCACTGAAAGATTTGGTTGATGTCCGCCTGGAGCCTTGCAGTGTCTGCAATGGAAGACACTGTCATGCAGATTCGGGTGTCATCTGCAAAGGAAGACACGGTGCTGTGGCTGACATCCTTGTCTATGTCAGATATGAGGATAAGGAACAAGATGGGAGCGAGTACTGTGCCTTGTGGAACAGAGCTTTTCACCGTAGCTGCCTCGGACTTTACTCTGTTGACTACTGCTCTCTGTGTTCTGTTAGTGAGGAAATTATAGATCCATCGACCGACTTTTCCTGTTATTCCTTTAGCACGCATTTTGTGCGCTATTACGCCATGGTCACACTTGTCGAAGGCTTTTTGCAAAGTCTGTATATATTACATCTGCATTCTTTTTGTTTTCTAGTGCATTTAGGACCTTGTCGTAGTGATCCAATAGTTGAGACAGACAGGAGCGACCTGTTCTAAACTCATGTTGCCCTGGGTTGTGTAATTGATGGGTTTCTAGATGGGTGGTGATCTTGCTTCTTAGGACCCTTTCAAAGATTTTTATGATATGGGATGTTAGTGCTATTGGTCTGTAGTTCTTTGCTATTGCTTTACTGCCCCCTTTGTGGAGTGGGGCTATGTCTGTTGTTTTTAGTAACTGTGGGACGACCCCCGTGTCCATGCTCCCTCTCCATAGGATGGTAAAAGCTCGTGATAGGGGCTTCTTGCAGTTCTTGATGAACACGGAGTTCCAAGTTCCATGAGTCTGGCCCTGGGGCAGAGTGCATGGGCATGTCATTTATCGCCTGTTCGAAGTCATTTGGCGTCAGGATAACATCAGATAGGCTTGTGTTAACCAAATTCTGTGGCTCTCTCATA